AAGAGTACATTTGTTGAAGGTGCCTTATGAAAGACAATGGATAGCATTTAAAAAGCTCAGCCCGAAGACCATCTTCTCCTGGAGTTTTGTTGGCCTTAAGCTTATGGATAACTGAAATTATTTCTTCTTCTGTTGGAGACTCGCAATTGCAAACGTATACTTCTAATCAGCTATATCAGGGGCAACAGATGGCGCTTCATGGTTAAGTTTGGCTTCAAAGAATTTTTTCCATCTTATGAGGCGATCCTTAAAACTTTTGATTAGTACGCCATTGCTATCTCTTACTATTTCACTGATCGTTGCTTTATGAAGAAGGCAGAATAGTTTCCTATTGTCGCCTAATCCAGCCGCCGCCTCCATTCTTGAGGCCATGCCACTCCAATATTGATTTCTGTCCCGCCTTGCTGCTTTCGTTGCAAAGCACCCGGTAGTCAGGACTTTGATCTTAACGAAATATTACTGATAAATGCTGAAAAATTTCAACCAATAACAGCAGTAATAGGATTTATTATTCTAAAATCTGCTAGGAGCCTTAACGTATTGCAGCATACCGCTATATGCACAACAATTTAAGAGATTTCGACGATTTTGTACCTTAGAAATCATCATGCAACATACAATAATAAGCTACCAATTAAACAAATTACAGAAATTCAGAATCAAACAAATTCAACGAAAATTAAAAAATTGTTGAGAAGTTGCATCACAATTAAAGGAAAATGAAATCACTGAAGGAAATTGACTGCAGAAGAAAATTAAGAAGAATTCGAAATTTCTTATTCGTGTTGTCCACTGCTGAACCGAACCGAGATTTGAACTATTCAACACGCAATTTTGAAAGATTTCATTGAATTCATTTAGCAGTTTTTAGAGATTTCTAGAGAATAAAATATCGAAATAAAAGAATTTTAGCTAGGTTTTTATTATATTTTATTATATAGGCAAATTGAAGAGGAACAAAAAGAGAGAACGAATGAGAAGAACTATCAGACAGTTCGGAACAAAGAAAGGAAATCTGCAACTCAATTCTCCTTCTTCTCCTCCTGAACCGTATTTTCCTTTTCCTTCTCCTAACATTTTTAGGTGTTTCAAGCATCGAAATATGCCTTTTTGCTCAAAACTTTTCACTGTCCTATAAATCTATAAATAAGTATAATAAACCTGTAATTCATTTAGAACGTTGGCTATTATCCACAACATTCTAAGTCTAATTATACATTTTGAAGATACCCTAAGTTACACGTAAATTAAAACCACAGTTAGATTAGATTAAAATTAGATTGAAATTAGAGGAATTCGCTAGACCGATCCGCAAGCGTTCAACGCTCTCCCTGCTCTCGGTTGGCCCCCTCCGCTTGAGTCGCCACTACGGCACCGATTAATGCAGTTAGTTCTGAAGGAGACAGAACCGATAATCTGGAAAGCACACCACAAAGTTATTAATAATATGGCGTTGTTCCTTCTGTAGTTTTCTAAGTAAATGAGTTAACGAACTTAAAAAAGAACGAATTTCTCCTCCCCGAAAAATTCCACTCCATGAAAGTTCACAGCAATAATTCCTTACTTATTTATACTTTAAAACGCTTTGCCACATTTCATAACCTTAGAAAAGTCCAACTTAGCTGCAAAATAAGAATTACGAAGACTGCTAATTCTCGTATTTTTGTGGTATTTATGAAATTTTATGAGCTGAGTTGTGGATCCTTTGTAGGTTTGTGGTCGGTTTTAATATTTCTATGTTTACTTTTATGTTGGTGTGCTTCGCATTAGTGAATTGCTGAAGTTCTTAACACGACGTCCGCATCCTCGGGCATGGTACTTCCAGCGCATCGGATAAGCATGCAATCCAGCGTAAAACTATCCAAGACTTGCAAATAAGATGCTTATAAGTCAAGGCAATTCCTCGAAATCTGTCAAGGCAAATGGCGCAGTGGGGTATTAGTCGTAGCAGCATGGAACGTCAGAGCGCCTATGGACGTTGCAAGCCAAGCGATCACAATCCACACTCTTTCTAAATATCTTGTAGATGTCGCATGCTTGTTGGAGATCCGTTTTCCTCATTTCAGGTCTGGAATGATTACAGCAAACCTGGTTTCGAGCAGGGGTACTGGCTATATTTCTAATAACTCGGGGCGAAATGGCGCTGCGATTGTCTTGTCTGAAAAAGGCTCATTCCACTTTGATTAAGTAACAATCGGTAACCGAATGGCTTATACCGACATTGAAAGAAAGAAATATTTCGGTATTGGTATATATTCTCCAACTTTGTACTGAGATGACGGTGATGGGGATAAGAATTCGACGCTGGAGGCATGCACGTTGGAGAACGCGTGCGCCGATTATATTCGCCAGGGCCTTATTTTTTTTGAGTAAACCACTTTTTTTCCCATCATCATAATCATTGGGATAGCTAATTTGTTCCCCGAGTCATACGTTTTCAACTGCGAAACGCTAATAGAAGAGGAAATAATCTGTTATCCTTAAACTTCAGGCCAATAAGATGGTCTTTGGGTCGGACTCGTCAAATGTTATTCATTATTCTTTATAATGCACCTTTAATAAATATACTTTCTGGTATGGAAGAAAGAAATTATCGATAATTATCAGGAATTCTGCTCGCAACTCACAAGAATGGTGACAGGACTGCAATAATTATCGAGAATTCAATCTACTAGACATCTCAGCAAAAATTTTAACATCCCTTTTACTCAATAGACTAATGGCAGTATGGGACAGCAGGATCCCTAGTCAAGCTGTATTCAGGCCGGGGAGCGATTGTGCTGACCAGATATTCACGTTAAGAACAGTGTTGGAACATATCTGCAACACGCTATTACGTGTTTCATCGCCTTTTCGGATGCCGTCGATTGGCAAAGCGGAAGATAATGAAACGCAATGGTGTTCCAGAGAAGATCATTCGCCTCATAAAGGTGTTTTATCAGCATATAGAAAACTGACAGACCTTTCGAAATAAAAACTGGTGTCAGTCAAGGCTGCATCTTTTTCCCTGGAATATTCAATTATATGATAATGACACCGTTTGTCGACATTCAAGAGATATATGTATGAGATGAAATCAATCCGGAGCATTGTAGCACTTGATATAATCATTTTTGCTGACAGTTATGACGAATGCAAATAATGCTAAACAATGTGCAATTGCAGCACGAATTGTACTTAGAATCAATGTTAATAAAACAAAAGCCTTATATACAAAATATAAATACCTATTTTTATCAACTCATTGTCGGTTAAGGAAATGGCTTTAAATATCTTGAATCCACTTTAATCTTAAATGGCCAGGCAAAGGATGAAGTTGCAACTCGGATAATGACAGCTAGAAATGCCGTAAAAACGATAGTTTCCGATATCTTATTTTTATCGATAATTAGTATTCGGCAAATTCCTTGCAAAATGATGTTTGTGATGTGATGTCGCATCTGGCGTTATCATGCAGAATGTTGTGGTCTTTTTTATTAATCAGTGCAGATGGCAGTATTTATTATTCCTGATGGACTCTTTCCAGTTCTTTCCTATGTGTCTATGCTCTGTACCACTGTTCCACTGTTCGACTGTTATCACTGAAACAACAGGTTGTTAGAAGCTATTTTGTATGAATCCAGCAAGCTACCAAACAATAACCATAGTCTTCTTAAGGAGGTGATCGACTTTTCGCATGAACTGAAGAGGTCTGTCTTTGTCTAGCCATTGTGCCAATCTTTTCCTGGTGCAGAATTTATTTTTTGTTGAGTAAAAAAATCTGTTCATGAAAAGGATCGTTTTTATGTCGTATTAGCACCAAAGAACAGGTACTGTCTGATGCTTATTCAATTTCTGGAATCCCCATATGGCAAGCTTTTTTTCTTTCTTATTGTACGAAGGTGATTTCACATGGCATAAAGTGAAATTCCAAGTTGTCGCACTAAATCTGCACGACTCTTTCTGGGATCAGATCCCATCAACTGCTGCAGAGATTCATCTTTGAAAATTAAGAGATATGAATGACATGCTATATCTTTGAGATATATATTTTCGCAAAACTTTTTCACATTGTTTTTTAGGAACATTGTCGTAAGAACATGTTTGCACATACTGCCTTCGTCGCTCGATGCAGTTTACTCATAAAGTAAGCGGCAACTTGAAAATGCCATTGCATATCAGATTTGATCACCTAAATGACCTCGAAAAATTAAAATTACCTAGTGAATAAAATCCCAAACGAAAAAAAATAGGAATTCACTACGAGCAGATAATGACAAACATTAGAAAAATATATGGCCAAACACAAATTCCAAAAAATAGCTTGAATTTTCTAGTAACTTGTACTTTATGAATATTTTTTCATCGTGGTCTTCATTTGTTCAAAAATTTAAAAATATTTTCAAGCCAGAAAATGGACATAAATTTTTCTTAAAAAATTTAGTTTTTTCAGATGTTAAAATCAAAGACAGTATATTTTGAAAACAAAAAAACTGATCCATTTGAATTCAAATATGCGAAGCTGCAAATGTGCCAAGATTTTTTTCAGTATTCACCTGTAAGTTTCAGAAATTTTTCCAATCATTATAGTTTTTTATAATTTAGGACTCCAGGTTGTATACACGTGCAACATATCAAATGATTGAATAAATTACTATAAATAAATAATTTTTAATGATTTTTTGCTTTTTCTTTAAGTGAACTCTTTTTTAATCAAGTAAGATCCGCTTAAATTTACATTTAAATTAAATTTTGCAAGGGAATCACTTAAAACAGTGGAAATGCAAATGGGTATCTCCACCTGCATTTTTGAAAGGCAAGTTCGCTCCTACCAGGCGTATTACTTCACCATCGAATAAAATTAACATCAGTTATAAAAAATATAAATAATATTTTAAAATTAAAATTAAATAATAATAGATACATTAAAATAGATCAGAAAAGAACAATGAAATGAAAAAGAAAATGATAAAATTTTTAGTTCCATACGTTTGGACCAAACATTTTTACGTTTATTTTAGGTATTAATAGATTTTATTCGGCAGTTTTTCGCAGGCACGCGAATAGAAGAGGAAACTTTGGACTATGTTGCACATTTTTGTCAAACTGAAGAATTTTGTAGGTTTATAGCTGAAAAAGTTTTAGTTTCATCCGTATGGGCCGAGTATAAACCACGACGTGGGCCGTATTTGAGAACATTAAAATACATCATAAATCATGTAAGTCTTTTTAAAAAATTTTATTGGAGAGACGTAAATTCCTGGAAGGAGCGTGAGAGATGAATTCAAATTTTTTTTCAATAAATTTTCTATATTTTTAGTTAGAAGAGAAAGGAATTGAAGTGTATGATAAAATTTACTATGCATATTTGAATGTACAGTTTAATAGTACTAATCATTATTGCCACAGAATATTTTTAAATAGAGATTTGAGCAGATTTATTGCTCTAAAAGAAGAAGAAGCGCAGTTATCAAAAGGAACTACTGGCTTATGTTGTTGGCAAGTAATCTTTTTTTTCAGTTTATTAAAATTAAACAAATTCTTGAATTAGTGGGGAAGATTAACTATTGACGAATTTCGTTAATTGCATTTGACTTTAGCATTACTTGGTGAAAGCTTTCGAAATTCAGTAAATTAAAGTCAACAGATTAGTTCCAGTGACCTTGAAAATTAAAAGACAATGTACCAGAGTTTTTTATTGTTTCAGAGTGCTTGTCATTTAGCTCATTATTTTCTGGGCAAAGGCTCTAATTCAGTGCGTGGTAAACATGTTCTCGAATTAGGAGCAGGATGTGGTCTAGTCGGTATTGCCTTAGCTATAGCAGGATTAGCTAAAAGTATCACCATCAGTGATGGAAATGCCGATGTATTTAAATTGCTTAAGCATAACATTTCTACAAACTTATCAAATGTAGGTTTTTTGATTTATGGATTAACAAATTAAGTTTTTAAGTCTTGAAAATTTTGTTATCTGAAGAATTTCTCCACAAATTATTGATGCACTTTGGTTCTTAGATAAAGAAAATTATTTTTGCAGAAAATGATGCTTGAAATGAATATCAATGTAATTCAATTTGTTTGGGAAGAATTCGCTGACATTGCGTTGCCATTTCAACCAGATTTGATTGTTGCTGCAGGTATTGTTAGAGTGGAAATAAATGTATATAGAAATATACATATATACATTTATACATAATTTTGCAGATGTTTTATATGATGAATCAATTCATTTATGCCTTGCAAATGCTATTTATCATATACTTTCTGGCAAGACTGATGGTTCAGCAGAATGTATAATTGCGAATACGGTAAGAAATGAAATCACGATTGACAAGTTTTTTCATATTGCAAGTAATTTGTTATTCCTTAGTTTTATTGTTTAATTTAATTATTGCCTGTGGTGTTGAAGTGTATTATGATAGAATAAAAAAAGTAGTTTACATAATATAATTTGTAAAATGATGATCGAAAACTTTTTTGGTTTCTGCAATTAATTTTCTTATTCTCCACAACTAATAATAATATAATAATGGAAAAAATAAAAATAATAAGGATGAAAAACAAGATTTTTAGCCAGTATTGGACTGAAGTTGATTGAAATTTTGCGATATGATGGAGAAAAATGGGATTTTGATAATACATCTATGGCGGATCGTTCTTTTTTTCCATTTAAAGATCTAGTTTCTTGTCCAACATTTTTTTGTAAATTAAAAATTAATCCTTGAAATCTTTTTTTTGTTTTTTCTTTTTTTCATTTGTTTCCATCAAATCTTTGCTGCATTACAACTGTACCACTGAAAATTATAAATCAAACCGTCGACAGCGAGTATAATTTCTGACTTATCCGATGCTTCCAACATATCTCACCATATTTGACTTCAGTGCTTCAGTGCTTATTAAGACCACACTTTTTTTAAGGTCGTTTAGGATGGAAATACTGTCGGCCCCCTCACTAGCCCCCCATTTTAATTTTTAACTTTCAATATTAAGTTTTTTTTGGCAGCGGGTTAGAATTGGACCTCTAATAACCTAATAACTTATCATTAGTCGAAGCAGTATGTCACTGGATCATTCTAGACCACATAAGGCTTCTCGGCACCATACGAGTTTTTCAGGCTCACTCTTTGTAGGGTTTGAATTTTGGTCTTCAAGATGATGATTGGAGGAATCAATCCATTATCTTGCTTCCTGATATTGATTTAATGTCTATTGAAGACATGATTCTAGACCACATAAGGGGGGTTAGTGAGGGGGCCGACAGTATTTCCATCCTAAACGACCTTAAAAAAAGTGTGGTCTTAATTGATATAAATAATAATTGATGAATTTTTGAATATTAATTTTATTTGGGTATTAGTATGGTGTTTATCATGAGCAATTATGAGGAGATGTAAGTAATATACAGAGGATCACTGAAAATAATTTGGATTAAAAATAGAAAGGGATTTCCTGGATGCCGAATTTCCACTTTCTTGCTTTTGATGCTTTTTAAATTGAGGAATGTAATTATTTTGAAATTTGCTAAAAAATCTTTAGCCAAAATCTTTAATGAGTGAACACAGAGTGTTTGGCAACATTGATAACTTTGAAGTGGATAAATAAATGGCACGTTTTCTTGCATATTTGGGTTGTAACCTGAATAATTCTTTTTATATAATTATTATAATTTTTATATTATATATTTCCGTTTGTGTTCTCAAATATTTTTTTTACACATTTTTTTTCATACATTCTGATTTTGAAAAATTGAAAAATTGAATATGTGCTCAAATTTCATATTTTATATATTATTTTATATATTATTATTTTATATAAATTTCATATTTTATAACATTAATATATTATTTAAAACTTTTCGAATATTCATTCGCCTGGGAAGAATTTGGAGCAGATTTTTCAGAAAATTTTTCTCTATGGATTTGTCAATTATTCGGATAGATTCAGAGAAGGACGTACAATTTTATTTTGTTTGATTGTATGATTGTATGTGATTAATATTTTTTTTAAAAAGAAAATTTCTTAAATCGTTTCAAGTTGTGGATATTGTGGATTATTATCATTCTAAGCTTTATATTGTTTTTTTCAATAAATTTTACGAATTTTTATAAAAATTTTTGTTGATAATGAGAAATTTCAAAAAACTTGAAGTTGAAGACTTATTCTTTAATATATTATATTATATATTTATAAAATATTTTAGTCCAAATTAACGACAAATAAGAATTTGTTCGAAAAGCAAACAGTTTGAAATTTATAATAAGGTTGCAATGGGGACCGATGAAAATTTCCATAAAGAGCTTCAGGCAGCTGTAAAATCGTGTGGCACTGATGATAACGGTATGGTACCTATAAAAAGCTTAAAGGTTCCGTTACGTACTTATTTTTTTGTAAATCTGTTTTTTGGTTTGGTTGATTTTGGGTATTTTTTTATCGCCTTAATTTTTTAAATTCTTTATTATCGTGGAATATTTAGGTTACGAATATCTTACTGCAATTCAGTTCTGTATCGAAGTTCATTTTTAAAGTTTTAGTGTTTGAATTTAAAATTTATGAATATTTTTTGATAATTTTTCATGTTGTAGCTTATCATGCGTTCACTTGGTTTTGAACCGCGAAATGATGAAATTCGCCAGTTAACTATACAATTAATGCAAAATACAGTTAAACGCGAAGAGCATCCTGGTATTCTCATTATTTATTTTCTTATATTTTTTTTGTTTCGACATTGGGATTAACAATTGGAAAAAATGGAATAGAAATAGGTATTTTTGAAAAAGTTGTAAAAAAGATTCGCGTTAAATTGCTCTTCTTTTGTTTCTTTTACTGATTAAGTTTTTTTATTGGACGAATAAATCAAGATAAAAAGAAAGACTGAATTTCGTCCTATTGTATCGAAAAAAACAAAAAACAATGGAAAAATCAGTCACTCTTTCTTATCCTCTGAGAATGATGAAGATTCATCCTCATTCAATCTAGCATCGAGGAAACTGAAGGTTCAATATTTCTGCAATATTTTAGATGTTCTTAACAGTTTGGATAGAGATCTCTGATGTTGTTCCTCATGATATTTCCAAATGTTCCAATACTTTGGCCTACCTCATTTTCCACATTTTCTTTCCACATCCTCACCAGTTTCTCTTTCAGGCCTAGTATTTCTCCAACTTTTCATATTCCACATTCCCTCTTAAACGTTCCCGTTACTGATATTCAACATCGCGGATAGATAATCATTAAGATTTTGCCTAAGGATCTTGCGAGAAAGGTAGAGGCTTTGACTGCGATTCGAACTAAAGTTTGCTGTTACATTCCACATCAACCGCTGCATTAAGTATTACGCTATGCTGGCATAGTAGTAAGACAAAAAAATATCAATGTGTCAATTCATCATTTCGTTATTTTGCACTAGCTTTTTAATAATGAGGTACACAGTTGTAAAGTAGCTTTTTTAGACATTGGATATCTTCCGGCTTTTATCGTCTTCAAAGTTGGGGTTAGTTAATCGTTCCATTTAACTCTAATCTAGATGAGATTAAATTTGGTCAAATTATTCTGTCAAATTATTCAGAAATTTCAGACAGTATTAGTGTTGATGAATTAATGGATCTTCTACGAGAAAAATTTGACGAAAGAAGTGGTTTGAATGAAATGAGAACAGCATTCGAATTATTTGATAACACCTCTAAAGGATATATCTCAGTGGATGACCTTCAACGAGTCGCTAGAGAACTCGGCGAAGAAATCGATGATGAGCAGTTAAAAGTATGTTTTTTTTGAAAGATAACGCAAGGAGAAGGGCACTATGGAAATTAATAAAAGGCATTTAAGAAGACGTTTAGTGCATTGATCCTTTTTTCCATATACAATATTTTATTATAGGAAATGATTGTTGAAGCAGACTCAGAAGGATTCGGCAAGGTTTCAGAAGCTGATTTTTTCACAGTTATGAAGAAAACTGCTCTTTATTAAATAACGACTGAGATTCATCCCAATTGTCACCTTAGTTTTTAATTGGTAGGCCTCACTTTACCATCAGGAAGAAATTTACTCAAGATCTTTATTATTCATCGAGTACACCAGTGGTACTTTGGACTCAAATTCTTAAATTTAAATTCGATATCACTAATAGCCAATAATTTCATGACCGAGAACTTTCATAAATAATGAATTAATTAAATCAAAAAGTTGTATTGAATCATAATTTGCTTCGAGAGACAAAGTGGGTTTTCCGCTTTTTTGTTCCTTTTTGATGTCTTTTTTTTGATGCATTTTTTATTAATTAGTCGACTTTAAAAGTTTTGTTGGATCGCAATATTTTAAAATTAATTTTGAAATTCTTATTATGTTTGATATTTCTCTGACTATTCCTATCAACTAATTTTGTAGAATATTCGCTGAAATCAATTGTTTAATTCATTATAAATAACCAGTAAGTTTGAAAAAAGTAACAAATAAACTGGTGATTTAAGAGTAAATCTCCATTAATTTTAATAATTCCGAAATGATTATTTTGGTTTCGTTCTCTGTTACATTGAAGAACAATTTCACTGAATTCGTTACAGTCTAGGAAAGAAACCTGAAGGACGAAAAATGCGCGGTTTATCATAAAACATATTTCTTCGCAAATCTGGTCTTGTAGATCGAGCCAGTGGAGAGCCTACAACTTGCGAAAGAGCAGAGCACGATCTAATCTAATCTAAGTATAATCAAAGAGCACGATCACGGTCAGCTCTAATTCTTATAGAATCCTCTCAATAACCAATTGGTCTACTTATGCAAGTTGCAGAATTCAAATTGTAGGTCTTTGTACTTATGTTGTACGTAGATATTAGATAGATTTTTATAAAGACAAATTAAGTTGCTAACAACATAACAATATAGCAAAAAATGGCTATGAAGTTGGAATATGTGCTCAGGACGTTGCCCATTTTCATTGCGCGGCAGTATGGTCAGATGTACATCGCTTATTTGGTCATTGCTGTGGGCTCACAATTAGGAAGAATCTTCTCTGGTTGGAAAACTGGTTATTGAAAGGAGTGGATTTTTCTGCCAGTACATGCTTACACTTCCAGCGCATGGCAGGAAAAGACATCTCGAAACTCGCTTTATATTCAACTAATTAAGTGTCTTGGTCAATCATCTTAGTTGGAAGACTCCCAGATAGCCATGCATATCGCAAAGCCAAAATTGGCAATGCACTCTAAATACAACACACAAAACATCTAAAGGCACATTAACGGAACTGCTTGCGGAACTACCAATGAGCACTGGATCCCGGTTGAAGTCCTGAAGTTCTTCCTTCCGTTAAATCAGACAAGTTTGATCCCACAGGGAACGGTTTAGCTGTGCAACCGCACTGCCGGAGCGCCCATGCCAGAAGGCGTCAACCTCGGTCGCCGAATGACGGAAGAACCCATAATTTAGGAAACCATCTGCACCACGCCTGCAGCTTTCTTACCATATTTCTTGCATACCTCTTTCCTCGCGATGATAACATAAAGAAATTAAGAGGGATATAAATCATCGACAAAATTATGCAAGCAGAAATCTAAAGCAATTAATTAAAGACTGTTGTACCATACTTTTTGAGGAAGTGAAAGGTAAAAAATTGACGAAAACCATCTCCGCCAATCCCAAGGCCTACATAAACTCCCAAGCAACTATTGTTAGTCATTTGGGGATCATGGTGAGCAAAGGAAACGAACGGGCAATACAAGAGAATGGGAGAAGAGAGGTAAAAGGGGTAGGCAATTTGGGCTTTTTGGGAGGAACCTTTTTCGCTTGCGTACTTTGAAGTTCACGTGTGCATCAAGTGCCAGCCTCCCTCCTTACCATATTACTATTTGGATGTATCAGTCGCATCGTAAATGAATCAACTTATAGTAGTTATGTATGTAGTGCTGTTCGCATATTATTCATAACAAAACGGCTTAATTACTCAAGAAGATCCTTTGGGCCAATATTTTGACTCGAGCAACTCCCGGTTACTTGAAAAGTGAACGCCTGGCTACAGTATTTGGATGGATAAAGAAAAGAAGACAAAATTTGCGTGATAGCAATATTTAAATACGAACAAATCACCAGAATTGACGCTAATTTATTCTACCTATTTAGAAAAAAATAGACAGCTCCATATACTCATAAATGCGGCGAAACAGCACAACAGCCAATATTTGGATGATATCTCCTTGAATGTGAAGGTGGCAGCTCAAATAGGCGATGATCGCAAATCATTCCTCTTACTTTGAAACTTTTCAAGGCTCAAGAAATGATTCGAGATAAGGATGGAAACGTTAAAATTACCAAAAATCGCGCTTCACCCGTGGTTCATCGATTTTCGCTGTTTTTAATTCGATTGATAGAGCAGTATGCTACAAGTCATGCAACATGATGTGCCAGGGAAGAGAGTTATCAGATATGCAATACTGGTAACTTGTAATTTATATAAACGATCCGAGAAATGTCATACCTTGAATATCTCGGATCATAGCTAATGCTATATGATACAAATCGTTTTTCATGATTGCAGATGATTACATGCCTTCAAAAGGCGATTGTTGAAATTCCAACTGGGATGGTACAATCAGAGAAGCTTCGATCTTAATTTAGAAATTTATAATTCGAATTATAATTCTATTTTTTTGAGTGGTTGTTGCTCAGTTTGGAGCGCCCATGCTAAGGACCTATTCTTCTAGGGGTAAACTTGTCGAAAAAATCGAATAACGCTGACGACTCACATCTATTTATATCGTCAATGGACTCCTTAGAATATTCATTCAATGTTAACAAATCATTTTTTATGATTGAGATAATTATATTCCTTCACAAGGTGGAAAATTTAATAAAACTGTAAACTTATTGACAAAATATTATTGCTATAGACCCATGGATTTTTATCGCACCATCCACAATCTCCATGAAGAAAAGTTTGACACAACCACTGGTGTCTAAATATTCACTATATATTCTTAATTAGCAAAATATTTTTTTAAAAATTCTATCAGTATGAGTAGAATAGAATAAGTTTTTGGGACAAACAAATAATATCATCCAATTTGCCTTAAAATTCCTAACAATCACTGATTTTTTCGACTAAAATATAACATATTAATATTTAAATACATTAAAGCAGAATACTGGGGTAAAACAACGGATTTTAAAGGGTCTTAAAAGGATATTTATTTGAGGATACTTTTCAAAAATACAACAGGTTTAGGAAAATCTCGATGAGTCACAGTGAACCGGTGAATGATGTATGTTTTGAATTATGGCAAAACACCGCATCCACCCATTGGCATGATTAAGCCTGTCATCAAAAAATGAAATATAGGTGGAGTTAAAAACTTGTTTGTACCTCTTTTAGAGCAATTTTTTGGCGAAAGAATCTCCATTATGCATTAGTGCTAAAAATCAAACCAAGAATATGCTGTTAAATGAAACCAAATTAATTTTCAGAAATAGTTTTAAGTAAATACTGGTAATTTTTATCAAGTTCGGCTTGAAATATTCTTTCTTTGGATAGACAGTTTATATGATATTGTCGACGTTGTGTAGCAATGCGCCTTTGTTCACTTATAAGACGATTCTCCTCGTATATCTTAAAAGTTCAAATATTTCATCCATCTTTATTTCTAATGTTTGTGGATAGAGTGGCTCAGTTGGTTGTTTCTCAGTTTCGGGCGCCGATACTGAGGTTCTCCGCAGGAACAAACCTGTATAAAAATTTGAGTGATGCTGGCGATTCACCTGTATTCTTATCGCCAAAGCATATTGCCCAATGCGACAAGCCAGTGGAGCCAGTTTAACGCGTAATGGTGAGGATTCTTTAAAAAAATTTGTAGCGTTAATCGATTTCCTAATAAAATATACTACCAGTTTGCAGAGGCAGCCTAACGAGCAATAATGAGAGCTTCTTTTACTTCTAAGTTCTTTTTTAACGGATAAACGATGAAGATTAATATGAATGGAGGCGCAGAGGTTTTTAAAATGGGTTATGCGTCACTGTTAGAGGAATTTTGGTTAATATAAGGTTCTTTCTCTAGAAAAGAACTTGGGGTAGGTGCAGGTGCAGGAGCCCAGTATTTCCCAGTATTTCCTATTAGATTTCACTTTTGGTGACTAATTACTCCTACTGCTTGATTTTAGAAGGAGCAATCAGCAGCAAATAATAAAAAAACTTATCCATCAAGGTTTTTTTGCTAATTTTGTAATTTCCTACTTCCATTAATTATTTAATTCTTTGATTTCCTTAAATATATGACATAGAAACCCTCATGCGTTCATCACATATGAAGTATGCCGTTTTTCTAGTACGAATCTTGCTGCGTATTACGCCACTCTCCTGCTAGAAGATTCACATAGTACCTTTTGTCATGCTTTGTTATGACTTTTGACAATGATCAACTAAATTTAAAATAAAACAAAAGAATAGAAAGTTTTTAATAAAACCAAGTAACCACTGCCAGAAGTTTGTCGTATTCATCGCTATTCGGATGATCAAATTTTTTCTCCTGAAACCGATTAATTATTTTGCGGCAACTCAGTGCGGTAATTATTTTGCTAGGCTTTAAGCATCATCTCGTTCTTTGCTCGAGCTGAATCCGTCATCGAAAGAGAAATTTTATTGCGATAGCGCAGACCTGACCTGTGGAACAAATGGGTTCCGTGCTGACGCAGTGCTTATTCGCTTTCTTTCGTTTACTTCCCCGCTGCATTTACCACTTTGATTGCTTTTTTGCTTTTTCACATATTTTAGCATATTTTTGGCATTAAAAGTGATTTCGACCTAAAATCGATTAATTAATTACTGAATACTAAAAAATAATCAATAATAAAAATAAGGAAGGAAACCTTAAATTCATTTACTGCGGAAACTCTCTAATAGCACAAAATATTTTATCGAAACGAGTGGAACGTTCATCGAATAAACTTTCTGAATGAAATATGCCTAATTATGTATGAACAGAATATTCCAAAAGAATATTACAACATAATTCCGCTGCCCGGTGAAATGCGAGGATAATCTACCACCCTCTGCACCAAAACCAATTTAAAAGAATCCGCTCAACAAGCTCCAATTAGCGGATCTGCGGCTGAGCAATAGATGTCAGATAATTCTCGTCTTGACTTTTATCAGTCTGGGAAGGCTGAGGGCGAGTAGTGTTAGTGGGTTAGGGCTTATTGTAAGCCTAGCGTTAGAATAATAAAAGAATTACCTAAATAATAGAACTGAGGTCAAGTAAATCAGCGTTAGGGATCTTCGCCAAAACCCCTTTATTTTGCCTCTGAACCGTAGGGAATGGTGCATCTTAAATTTGGAAATTTGAATTTAAAACTTTTGTGGAGACCGAGCTCAAATTTCTTTAGTCTTAATCTTGTTTCACCGTTGGTTTCTTTCTCGAATGCGATTTGCGATCAGGCAGCATTCGGCTATTCTCAACAATGATTTTTCGCCCTGGCATCTCCATCATAATTCCGTATGTCTGTTGTTTCTTATGTCTGATTTCTTATCTTTGATGTGTCGAATGCTAACGCTTGGGAAGAAGTGTGGCTGCAACTTTAAAATTATCAGTTGACTGCCCGCCTTAACGTTGCTATTGAAATCTTTTCGCAGAATATACCTTTCGTGGATTATTCCACAATGCTGTTATATTCTGTTCAAAACTTGCCAAAATCAATGTTATATTCTGTTCAAAACTTGCCAAAATCATTCTATATTATACTCATCAGAATCACTTTGAGATTTCATCGTTTTCACTATTTCGCTATTTTTCGCTATCGTTTTCGCTATTTTTTTACCTATAATACATTACAATCACACGGCGTGTTAGAATTTACGCGAATTTCTGCTTTACGCGACCTTGTATCGTATTATGCTAATTTTTTTTGCCTCTATAGGAATGGCAAAATATTTTAGATTAAACACTGTTGAAAACTATTGAATCGTTTTGTTTAATTATGGATGAACTCAATATAGCACGAGAACCGATGAGTGCTGAAACAATGAAACGACAGGCTTCACAACGAACTCGAAGTGATTTAACAGCTTTTATCGTTTTTGCTATTGCACTCGAACTTGGTTTGTTTTATTTATTGGTTGGGTAGGTTAGCCCAGTGGCTAGCAATTTATTATATTGAGAGGCAAGGGTCTCGACAAGAAGTAAATTTCCATAAAAAAAGTCTGGGTGCTGGCGACCTATCTGCATTTTGAATGGCGAACTGACTCTTGACAGATATTTTTAACCGTAATAATAGCAGAGATAACCAGGAATGGTGCGAGCTAACCACTTATTTTAAGAGAAGAAAACGAACGTAATCTGGATAATGCTGGAGATTTGTACTTCTCTTCGAGAGGTTAAGAGGTTATTTTAACAGAAAATAATTTCACCTAATCCAGAAATTATGAAAGCGGTTAAAAGAAGAAATTAATACCACAAATTATATAATAAAATATTTAATGAAATGAAAGTGCTAATAATTTACTAATTTTTTTCCCTAAAATCTTTCGAATCTTCAAAGACAATCAATTAATAAATAAATAAATAAGTGGTTATCTCGCACCATTCCTGGTTATTCTATCTCTGCTATTATTACGGTTAAAAATATCTGTCAGGGAATCAGTTCGCCATTCAAAATGCAGATAGGTCGCCACTTTTCATAAAATTATAATTGAACTAAAATTGAAATAAAAATATCTAGTTGAAATTTAAATTCGTATTGCAATAAATAACCAAAATCACTTAATTACTAAATTATGTTAATCATTACCATATATATATATAATTATTATTGTTTATTATTATTGTTAATTATTATTATTGTTAATTATTATTATTGTTAATTATTATTATTGTTGATTATTATTATTGTTATTATTATTAATTATTATTTATTATTATTACGTTTATTATTATTATCATTATTATCATTATTATTATTATTCAGACTACTCTCTCGTTGGTTATACTGCCACTGAAACTTAAAACACCCGGCGAGAGAATAGTGTGAATTGTGTCTGCATGGTTATTGCACTAAGCACAGCCAGTACGAGGATCGCTTTCCAAAACTTCATATGTGCTAGTCTGGTACCAGTGAAACCCTCATGCGTTCATCACATATGAAGTATGCCGTTTTTCTAGTACGAATCTTGCTGCGTATTACGCCACTCTCCTGCTAGAAGATTCACATAGTACCTTTTGTCAGGCTTTCCCAGGAGTTCTCAAATTATAATACTAATAACAATAATAATTATTAATAATATATATATGGTAATGATTAAAGTAATTTAGTGATTTTGGTGATTTATTGCAATATAAATTTAAATTTCAACTAGATATTTTTATTTCAATTTTAGTTCAATTATAATTTTATGAAAAGAATTATCCATTAAAGTGATGGATTAGAAGAGGCAGTCTTTTAAACATCTGGATATTTTTCTTTGGTTTTTTTTACATTCAGTATATTAAATATTGAATATTGAATACATTATAAAATAACGAGTTCGGTGGATTAGAAGTGCGTTCGGAAAAAAAATGGACTTCAGCGTCAAATTGCGTTATCATGGCCCATAAGTAAACTTCGACATTCTACGACACTTATTTTCTAAAAAAAATCTTGCTATATTTTTTTGCCTTAATCCATTAGTAACACTTCTACTTGTTAAACCCATTTCTGGTACTTCAGTTTTATTGTTTCCAGCTCCAATTGCTTAGTATTATTCACCCAAATTTCTTTTAAGCCTTCTCAGACCTCGAAGTTTTTTTTGGCCACACACTGTAGAAGTTACAGAAATGCTATGAAAAGATTGCAGGATTCCGAGGGATGAGAGAAAACATAAAGATCTTTGAAAGAATATCAAGAGGTATAACTGGATTTGCCTATTCACAGGTCAAGTTTTAAAGGATGCTAAGGCTATAATTGCAATATTTTTACTGAATTTAGGTGCCGTTGCTTGTGTTTTTCTCGGAGGAATGAAGTCAGTTTATCTTTGACATTGGTTATCAATCATTCAATCATTTGACAATTATTATCAATGACGGAAATTTTGTTTGATGTTTTCGTAACTGTGATCAAAGATACTTTGAACATTTCTATGAATTTCGATTTATTTGCGTATTTTATTATTGATAATTATTTTTCTGTTATTGTTTTGACTGTTCTTCATTTTTTTCAAAATATAATATTTCCGTCGTATTTTTTTATTATAAAAAAAGTCTAGTTAGTTTTTCAATACGAAAACATTCGTATTTTCCTAAAGAAGCGGAAGCAAATTCTCTTTTTTTGGATAATTTTAGATTCATTCCACTTTCACTGCAATATGCAAAAAATTTTTTCCTGACAGACTCATCTAATGCTTGATATAAGGTGTTGAGAGAAGATGGAAATTTTTTTGTAACATACGATAGTGTTTTAAAAAAAAAAGTAAAGGTAAAAAGGGAGAATTAGCTTTAGTTTTTCTCTGCAGTTATTCTGTGAGGAACTGGAAAGCAACATGCATGAAGTTTTGAATTTTTCTCGAGTTTTCTATCGTGTCTCTCGAGTGTCGTCATCATCAAATGCTAACGGTTTCTGTTGTGTTGAAAAAAATGAAAGCTTTGTTCTACGATAGGTTGAGATTGCACTCTTCCAAAAGTTAGTGATAAAGGTAAATAATGAATAATGAGTAATTATTAATAATGGTATTAGCAGTAAGTGGGAGTGTCGTAGGTAGAAGGGCAAAGAGGAATGGCAATATTAAAAGCAACAGTGAGAATGGCATCAATAATTGAAAATAAAAGTGAGCACGAACAAGGATTGATGGCAGTCACTAATATGAATACGTCGAATGATGCGGCAGGAATAAACCTATCATTAAAAGTCTGGGTGGTGATGGCGATTCACTTGTAATTTTTTAAAACTATATTGACCGTCAGCGGAACTCGGCCTACAGGGAAATGAGTGCCAACCACTTGCTTAATTATGCAACCAGCAACTTTGAAGTTCTTTCATAGTATAGCTTAATTTGTTTCCTTCGGGCTTAAATTCTTAGTTGTTCATATTTCTGAAAAAAGAAATCAAAGTTTTTCATCGTCATTGCAATGTTTTTTTAGTCGAATTTTCCATGAATAAGCCTATTAGGTTTATTCTGATTATATTTACTATTTGTTTTAATATTTACTTAACTCATTTATTATCATAAATTATAGTCAGTGTCAAACTGTAAATTGTTATCTTCAATTGTATTTGTTGACAGTCGTCAAAAATTCGATTAGCCTTGGCAATAATCACTCGCTCCTTCAACCTTTCATTATTCATCAAACTTATCCTTCAAATTAATCTACTAATAACTGAGGCACAACGAATCAACGTGTACTCATATTCCTTCACTTAAAGACACGACATTCATCATTTCCGAATCTACTGGCCACCAGGATGTTGTAATCACTTGAGATTAGAATTTACAGTAAGCCTCTAGCGACATCTGGAGTTAAAGATATCAGTAAATTTCGTAAAAATTATAATCTATTGATGCTGCTGAAGAAATCCCTTTTCTGTATTTTCGAGGAATTATAAGTAATTATTTGGTAAACAAAATATATTACCACTTGGCTCAGAATTTATCAGAATTAAAGGAAGTTGCTTTTTCTTAATTTAATGTTCAATCAACGGTTAATTATATTCCAAATTCCAAATAATACCTGTATAAAGACAAGACATATGTGGTCGGCGCGCATCACTACTGGATGACCTTGAAACACTGTCATGCCATCGAGTCATGTTTTCGGCTTGAGTGTTCTAAACTTGGAATAATGCCACTCTTTATATTTCCTGAATGATTTCCCTTTCGTTGATGTACGTTACGAAGTAAACTTAGTTTTTTAGATATTACTTCTGTTTTAAATTTGGCTACCCAAATTAATAACCAAAATAAGCCATATTTTGATAATTTCTTCAAAGAAAATGCCTCCTAAATTCTTTTATTATTTGCCCATATAAATTCTTTCATATTTCGTTAATCGGTGAATTCCAAATTCTCGTTGACCTGCATTTCAACAGGTCGCTCCCCATCCGGATTTTTAATGACAGATTCACTTCAAAGTTCAATCCGTACAAATGAATTTTTTTCACAGTTTAAATTATAAATTTCCCAATTCTTTTAAAATAAGTAGTTTCGCATAATCAGTGGAGACGAATGGTTCACTGAGTTTTATTATTCTAATTTCGGTGCATAGGAGCGAGCATAACCAGAAGTGGTGAGTGTTTTAGGGAAAAAATCCAGTACCAATTAGGATTTACGTTATTGATTCGTTTCATATATCTAAATTCCATAAATTCATACATATTTAGATAATGTCGGTTATCGGAATCGGAAATTAAGTTGGATTTGCTATTCTCGTAAAAATAATATGCGCTTATTGAGTTTTAAATATGTTTGTATCGCTGCAATATTTTTTACCTTAATTTTCACCCTTTTTACATTTCTCATTTTTCGCTCGGTCCGAGCAAAAGCACCATATTGCTTTTTTTTAGGAGAATAAGATGGGTGAAAGCACAAATAATACAAACAACAAAGCAAATTTCAAAAGGTTATCCATTTGTTTTTTCTTGATTTCTCAAATAAAATTACTTCGGAGCAAATCCTTCCTATTCCTTTTTCCCAATAATTTTTGCATAACAGCTCGCATCACTGCTGATTTGGCTAGCACCATTGGCCACAAAGATAAGTTGTCTCCAAGCTTTCCGATCTAAATATTGCATAAGGTGCCAAAAATTATTCCATCAATTTTTGTATTTTTATTCCCTTTTCAAAAAACCTTTAGTTTGTAACGTTAGTAACCCAAGAGATTTTACCTTTATTGGTGAATAAATTTGTTTCTCACCACAAATCTCTAGTTTATGCAATCGCTTAAATCTTAAGTTCTCTTCTGTTTTAAAGTTGGAAAAGATGTTTCAAATCGTTTCATTCGTATTATTCAAGCTAAATGACAAAATTAAACGATAGTACGCATTTTATGTAACTTGTCATCCATAAATCTTCTTTTTCCTTAGATGTATGCTTAGTTTGGATTGGGAAAATTTTAAGTTTTCGCCAGAGATTATTTTGAAGGCATTAATTATTACTCATCTTTATCACCCAAATTTTTTTCCGATAATTTAGGTGATTTTGCTTTTTCTGCTCCACAGTAGTTATATTTGTGATATTTGGCTTTGACACTGAAAAAAGTTAAGCCTATCGCAAATTTCCGCCATTTCACTCCTATATTTTAAAATAAATTAAAATGAAGTATTAATAAACAAGTTCCCGATTAATTGAGCTCTTTTTTAATTATATTTCTTTTAATACTTTTAGAAATCATTCTGAGAAATCATATGTTTAAAAAAAATTTCAAAAATTTTTTCCAAAAGGCACATCGATAAATTGGCAGTCGCTGATTCGGCAAATCCATTTACCAAAGAGGATCGATGGCGTATCGTTATGCGCCACAAACTAAATATCGCTGCTTATATATAATATATGTCAATTATATTTGTATCCAAAAAAATATTTAAGGAAATGGCGAAATGAAAATGAAAAGCGTCGTCGTGATGCTTTTAACCGATTAATTAGTGAATTGGCGATTATCGTAGCCCGTGATGATCAAAAATTAGATAAAAGCAATATCCTCAAATGCACCATAAACTTTCTCAAACAACACCAACGTTCGTTTTAATTATAAATTTTATGTTAGCGCTCATTTCTTACCATTTCTAATTGAACTTCACTGGCGACAAAAATATTTGACATAGAATAATCTGGCGACCTAATCTGGCGACGGGCGTATAGCACCACTCGATTGTTTTAATGGTAGACTTGTAAATTCAGACAAGATAGATGGTGGTGATACAATTTTGTCACCCTTTTCGATACAGGTCCGAACCCTGCCAGTAGGCTATGGAATAATCTATCTTGCCTCGTAATATAATGGTAAAATTGGTTGGTGCGAATACACTTTCGCTTTTTTGGATTATTTTAAAAAACAATCAATCTAAAATCAAAGGTGACAAAATATAAGCATATTATAATTATAGTATTTTATATATTATAATTATAGTTCGAGTGATGTTGTAGATCCACCTCCTATTTTCCAATTAACCCTTTGGAGAAAAAATCTCATCACCCTAATAACCAGTGAAACTGGCCAAACAATGACGAGTGCAGTTAGAAGAGGAAAAACATACAATTTAAGGTTTTTAGTTCGTGCAGAATCGACTACAGATGATGGTGGAAATAATTTATACTCCGAATTAAATCGACTAGTTGGATGTTCAGTTCGAGATTTGGCTGGATTGTATATGGATGCACTTGCTGTTGGAACATTTTGTGTAGCATGTTCCGGTGTTATAATTCGAGCTTCTTCAGCTTTCGCTGCTTTTTTCAACAAATCAGTATGAATAATTTCATGTGGCTCATGCAGATTTTAGAATGTGGTGTATTTTTAGGTCTCATTAATATTTCTAATTCAGGTAACCGAAATAATTGGTCTGAATCTGCTTCAAATGCTCGAAGAAAGTTCAGCCAAAAATCTTAATGAAAAATTTACGCATGAGATATTTCGTATTGTATCGCCACCATCTATCTTGTCTGAATTTCCAATAATATCTATAAATATTGAAACCAATCACCATAAGCGACGAATTTTAATGGTTGGTTGGTTCAAAAAGATCAGTATTAGTCGAATTCATTCTCCAAACGCCGACCAATTGTTTGAAGAGCAATTGGGAAAAGGTTTGAGCAACGACTCTGATGAGGTAAGTTAATTTCATTAATGACAACAGATTGGATCCGACAGAATAATTTTTATTCCTAAAAATCCCTATTAAAAAATTCGTACGGTGCATAGAGCTCAGCTGTATTTTCATTCCTCACTTGACTCTCTGGCAGAAACTTTCCGCAGCGAAGGGAAGAGTGATAAAAATGCCGGTGGGTCGGCAGTACCACCCATACTTTTAATAGCAGGACTACTTGTGCCAGGATAAGACTCGAACCTTGACACTTAGGACCATAATTTGAGCAACAAACATGCGCCTATCCTGCCTCTCATTGCTAATTATAAGAATTGAAAAAAATCTGCCTACTTTTACTCAATTATTATGCAACTATTATCCAATTTTCTTTACCTGTTGATGTAAAAGAAGAAACGACACAAAAACTTAATCTTGCAGAAATCTCAGCCAATGATGTGTTTTGTTGGTATTGCTCGACCTGAATACGACGTTCCCTCGATTATTCGCACTGCTAAACTAAAAATGATAAATGATTTCACAATAACCTACAACGCAGAATTCAAATTCCTTTACACAGATCGCAAGTAATTTAGTAAATTGAATTTTATTAAATCCGTGGAGGTTAATTTGTCAATTATTCCAGATTTTTGATTAATTAATGAGCCTATAATTTAAAAAATCCTGGTGGCACTGAATTATATTTTTATCGGCTCCTTTGCTCATCATATTTCTCATCATATTAATAACTAGTGGAGATAGTCCGACGAAAAATGGTGAATGCTAACCATTTACTTGCTCATTTAACAATCATGATTTTTGGAATTTTTTAAACGCTGATGGAAAAATCATATTTTATTCTTTAATGAAAACCAATTGAGGGGATCTTTATAACCACATTTTCCGCATTCAGCAATAACCGGTTTTTAATTATGTTTTTGATCGTACGCTTTCTGATTTTTTTACTATCTAGATTTAAGCATTTTTCTAAAATGTAATCAGCAATATAAATTAAAAGGAGTTACCACTGTTATTAGACGAGAGAACGGCGAAATGTTATTATTTACTGAGCACCTGAGAGGTTTGGATTCTGGTCGGAGTAAACCTGCCATCCGAAAATCCAGATGTTTCTGGCGATGTATCTCCACTTTAATTGCCAAACTGACCACCTAGAAGAAAATTTTACATCATAACGGAGCCGATGAAGTGAGAAATGTTGAACGCTAATCACTTACTTTTTTATACTTATTACTATTTCCCCATCCAGATTTCTACAAGTTTATATCTATCATCTGTCGTTTTATATAATACTTTGCAGCTGTGTATATTTGCTTGGTTATAGTAATTACGAACTGATGGGAACAAGCGGGTATGAATACGTACATAATGACGACTTGGAAATGCTTGCTGGTTTTCATCAACAATGTTAGTTAGTCGTTGATTGGTAAATGCGGTTCCTTTATTAAATAGGAATTTTTTTCATTATTGCACCATTTTTGGTTAATTTTGCTCTGTGGACTTGTCGTACCAGATTTTTGGGCAGGGAATCTCTTGATGATAGGAGTACAAGTGGATCCCATCATGTTTTGAATTTTTGAAAGTTTATTCCTGCCAGGAATAGAAGTCCACTGCCAGAGTTTCGAAATGATAACAACAAACGACTAATCCACTTCATCCCCATTGAGTCGGATTTTTTTTTTATCGGATATTATTGAGATTAAGAAGTATTTAAATCAGTTTCTGACGGTACCTGCAATTGGTCAACATTTATAAGTGGTTAAATTAGATCTGCTAGCTGTTGGTACTGTAATACATTTTTCCCAGAAAGCCACTTGTTGATAGTGCAAGTGAGTCGCCAATATCACCAAGACTTTCAATAGCAGGATTAGCTGTGCCAGAATAAAATCAAAAACTTGATGCTTGAGACGAGACGATAATCTGAGCAACAAACATGGCTCTACCTTTCAATGCTAATTATGAGAGTCGAAAAAAAATCTGTCCACTTTTACTTCACTTTAATTATTATTCAATCAGTTAATATAAAAGAATAAAGACAAAACAAGAAGGCAATTTTCATTCCATCCAATAATATTCCGATTTTTACAGTAATTCATGTGTCAATTTGTCAAATTGGTTGTCATAGACTGCGTACGAAGAGCAATGAATGGTTGTTAGTGCGATGCATAGCTACCATAGAAAACCAGTCCTCATTAAAACAAATTCGATGTACATATAGGCTAGCCGATGAGAGATATGACCTTGGAGAAACGAAAAATCTCGATATTGAAACTACCAATGGAGTCAGCAGTCATCAGATTTCACCACTCAGTGTTATTATGCAACCAGGTAAATTTATACTGTTCAGAATAACATCCTCGAATTTTCGATTCGGTTATTTTTTTAACGTTAATTCCCATTCCTCACCGAATGTTTTCTTCATGCGTACCACATCAACAGCTATAATTTTTTATTAAACGTCAGAATTATCGAATATCATGGAAAACTCTGTAGAATGCTATTTCTTTTACGAAGGAGATCATTAAATAAATAAATATTTTATCACTTCTCGTTGAACTCGTCTTATGACTGTTAGTACGACGAAAATTTTTCGCCCGTAAACTTCAAATCACTCAAATATAGAAATATAGAGAAGTACAGGTAGATACCCCGCACCATCCAGATTTGACAAATCTAATGGAAGTAGGACCAAACCTTGGTACTAAACTGGAAATCCATTCCACTATCTTGCATTCTGCGTCCATGAAGAAATTTAAGTTTTATGCGAAATATTACGAAAAAAAACTATCCGGCATTACAAAGATAGTCGAAAAGGATAGTCGAACAGAAGGGTTGAAAGAAGTTTCAAATTATTGAAATCACAGAAAAAGTTCTAGCTATAATATTTTTATCCACTGAACAATATACATTTAGAAACAGGAACTGTTGCAAATACCAATGTCATCGAAAATTCTTCTATTGGCATATCTTATCAATTTATAAATCCTATTTGCCGTAAACTTAACGGTTCATTTATTTTATGCTTTTCCTAAAACTTTTCCTAACAAAATTGATGGATGATTATTATAATCGGGATCATACAGGGGTGCACTCTCCGACTTTTCCGTGTCTCCGTGGCACCCTATTCGTCAGATCCCGATTCATAATTCCTGTCTTTCACGTATTCCTATAAGTATGTCATATGACATACTTATAAGGATATACCTGGCCCCCCCTCCAGGTGTTCCAGGTATATCCAGTTACTAATAATTATTTAAGATCTTCTAAAATGAAGTCTTAAATAATTATTAGTAAGTATACATACATTATTATATTATATTAGTATATATATACATATATATACTAATATAATATAATAATGTATGTATATAACATATATACATATATATTTGTGAACAAATATTATATTATATTATATTATATTATATTATATTAATTATTAATTATAATATTTTCAGGTTCTTCCCATGTGTCTCAGTGTAGTCCAGCGACATCTGAATTCTTTCATGAATCACCGCTACCTTTATTTTCTTCTGCTATGAATTCAATGGTTTCAACTGCATCACGTAAACGACGATCTGAACCACCACTCGTTTATATTAAACATTACCCTTTGCCAGAATCGAAAAAAGGAAAACAAGAAGATGCAAGAAACATCGTCAACGTCTCATCTTCATTTTCAAAAAGCGACAATGATGCGGTTGTTGTACTTTATTGATACTTTGTATTATTTCGTAAACGATGGTACTTAAAATTAAAAAAATTTACAAGAGTCAACACCCAAATTCTTCCATTAGCTTCCACCATTTCTAACTTGTCTGGTCCAGTTTATTAAGAAAAATAACAAAACAGAAAGAACGGAAGCAGAAATATGGGTTCATATGGGTTATCATCACCGCTCAGCAATGTGCAATATGTCATAGATTTTGTTATTTTATAAAATTTATATTTTGTGAGTTGATTAAAGGTTTTTCCCTATTTCAAATATCTTAAACAAGTTTCTAGTTCTCTTCAATTCTCAAAATTCTTATCAATTTAATTAAAATTATGTGGTAATTTGTCGAAATAATTTATATATTGATTATATATTGATTAACTACAGGTAAATTCATCCATAAATATATCTCCAATGTATCGTCACATATGGGAAGAATTGCAAAGAAGAAGTGAAATCTTGCGACAGCAAGTTATCCAGAAAGAAATCGAGCTTCGCGAACTTCACATTAAACAGTTTCTTGCATCAGTGCCTAAGAAATAAAAATTGTTCTTTTAAAATCTTAATTCCCTGATAATGACAGTGATAAAGAAGACTTGCAATGGTTTCTGGCGACAGGAATTTTTTATTGCCTAGGAATTCTTAAAATGAGAAGGAAAACTTGAAGAAGCATATGTTTAATATAAATCAAAAAGCTGAGTGCAAAATTCTTTATTATACATTCATTGGTTTTTTTACGGGTTTCTTCATTTTATCAATATCATCCATGCAATTTTTTTTGATTTTTTAACAGGTTTATAAGCTTATCTTCGGCAGATTTTACAGATTCTCATAAATTATACCCAACACGTACATATTAGATATGCATTGCAATTTATCTTTCTAAAGTTAAATAAAAATAAAATTAATATATCTTATTCGGCTTAGCCCAGTTCAACTTTGTCAACAGTCATTTAAAAAAAACCAACGAATTTAAAGTTGGAAATTTGATTTTTTCAATTAAATATTTTCAATAAAAGTTTTTCGAAGTAAAAATATTTCTTCGTTTTCCAATGGTACTCACCCATTTCTCCTAATTCAATATTTTGCTAACCAAAAAAAAAAGATGTACGGATGGTTATTCACCACTATTCAGATTTCCTTTCAATTATTTTAATCAAAACAGCTTTATTTTAATAAAAATAGAAATTTTATTTAAGGTTGATGAAGCTATGGTCGTCAAAATTTTTTTTCTTTATGGATCTGAGATTATTGTAACAGCTCTTACCATTACTGGTTAGACTGACTCCAATAGCTACAATGGTAAGGCGCTTGTATGTGGCGTGGTGCCACCCGATGCGATCGTCGACAGTAATGGAACCCATTCCTTTTTCCGTCAAAAAAGAGAGGCTAATCAAGACCTGAACTGATAGAGTCAGAAAAGATTTTGAACGTATAGGCCGACTAGCGATATATGGACTTAGAATGTAAAAAAGAATGGCTTCTATTACATCGATGGACAGGTCTTAGGTGTTACCCTTGTGTCGAGCGAAGCCAGCTTAACCAGGACCTGTCTGCAAAGCATTTGTTTATGCATTCAGCTTGGTATCGATCCTTTAAGTAATCTGATATCCATTTATACAAATTGATTGCAGTGCCGTGACGATTAATGAAATGGTATCTGTCGCTGAATGCGATGTTTCTATTATTTCAAATTTATTTAACCCGGTGACCCCGATATGCCAATTTTTTTAATCGATTTTTTGGTTATGATTTGATTTTGCACTTTACATGTCAATAAACATAAAGGGCAATTTACATATGTGTCGTATTTATAAAAATCTTTCTTCTGCACTTTAAGGCGCCATATAATTCTCCACCTTTTAAGCGCCATATTATTCTTCCCCCTGTTAGGTGCCATATCGTTCTTATACCATTTTAAGGGGCATTAATGGACCCAAGCGGTTGTGTCCCAATATTAACATTTTAATACTAATATTTATTTTTAAAATATTCATTCACTTAATGTGTACTTTATTCCTTTATTCTTTCTCCTTGTTTTGCTTTTTAATCTATCGGTTTAATTACTCTAGTTTGAGGTAACGAATAAAGATTTTTATTATACGTGCGGTGATCTGTTCATTCTACTGTTCCTGATAAAGCAGTCGGATCAAGATTACGAATAAGATACTAATTAACGCGTGGCAGGCGAGCATCTCATTGCTTCCAATCAATAATTTTACGATTTATTTTTTACGATATCCATTGCTTTGGCTAGATTTAGCTAGGCAACTGATATCATTTTTCCATTATCAAATGATGTTGACCAATCAGAAAGATTTGCCAATATTTGTGAGGAACTGGATTTTTTCGAGCAAAAACCATGCTGATAGGAGAATATTAAATGGTTGGGGTGTTGGCATCAAGGCAGCTAAATGACGCAACTTATTACAAATCGGTCTCCTGTACTCTATAGTGACCCATGTTAGGCTAAAAGGATCATAGGTGTTTCTTTTTCTGTGGATGGGAATCATATGGGACAATTTCCAAATACTTGGATTTGGGCCATTCCTCACAATATCCCCGTAAAAGAGGAAGACTAGAGAAACTACGCACTTTTTATAAAGTATTTATGGAATAACATCGGGACCAGCTGAAATGGATGGCTTGAACCTTTTATTAAACCTTTTTAAAAATCGAGTGATACTGGCGATTCATCTGCATTTCTCTCTTCAAGGCATATTCGTCCAGTACAATGAGCCAACGAAGCAATTCTAACCAGTAATAGTGAGGGCTGTTAAATTTAAATGCAGTTACTAATGTTTCCATATCACAATAGCCTTGTTATGTCATTTTATACTTTTGTAACTCCAGAACAAAACATGAGTAAAAGTCAGGTCAAAGTGAGATCTTCCGTGCCACACAATCCGTCTGTACTATATTTCATTGTACTACTACCGCTATATATAGCATTTTTGCAACGTATTTGTAACATATTTACAATAATAAAATATTATCCTAATATGCAATAGAACCACTCGGCAATTCATAGACATAAATGCAACGACCTTACCAAACAATTGTTTACAATTTAAGAAAAATATGACCGTGGGGTCAGTTCCGATAGTGCCAGCTGATTAGGCGAAATAGAGGAATTGACTCCTCTCAGCATGTGAACTAGCCTTGTTGCTTCCTTTCCAGTCATCCATCAGAACAATTAACCTTCCTCGACTTCTCCATCATAAGGGATTTGTAACAATATAACTCTCTATTTGCGACAATTCCTCACGATCAAGCCATTCCACTGAAATAAAACAAATTCGTCTGTAGAATAGAATTCTGTACTTCGCAGACGAGCATGATTTGTTCTTATGAAATATTTCGAGTTATTTCTGCGGTTTTCTAAATTTTTTGGAGAAAGCTTGTGGATTTAATTAGTGGTGCAGTGTCTTCGCGCTTTTGTCGTTTGTTGGGTCTCTTGTAAGTTCCACTTAATTTGGTTAGTTCGTTAGATGTTCCTCGTTCAGTTTGGTGTGGAGAATCATTTTGTATTACGTTTTATATGCCCAGTGCTTCCGTTTTTCGTAGTGGTAGGCCTTCGTGTTCTTCGGAAGAAAAGTCTTTAACACTGCAAGATCTTTTACTTGTCTTTCAGCCTTGTCAGATCGCACCAGTTTAGGAGAATAAGCAAAGTACTTGAGGATACAAGGAAATATAGGTTTGAGTCCTCAAAGATATAAGCAGTAACGAGACTCTTAGAGTGGATATGGGGATTTAGAAGCTATGCCGAGGTGCTTTCAAGATAAACTTCTGGCGCCACAGGGCTTAGTAGGTAACGAAATATATATCATTTCTTGTGGTGCACGACGAAGAACATGTCCTAACCAGCGAAAGCGACGAACTGTGCGCTAATGCAAGTGGAGATCTTACCTGCCCGGCGGATCTGTAAAATATATTTTAGGTATGTGTGGATAGCTAAAAATAACTTAGTATTCTCCACTCTCATGTTTTGCAGGCATTTAACAAGCGTGCGAATTGTTGGCATATAACCAAGATCTTTATAGTGGTTTTATAATGGTTTTGCGACGACTTCATTATAATTTCGTCAACCGGAAGAACATATTCCGAGCTACCGTTATCCATATTGTAATTTCGTATTTCGCTTGTTCGTGTGGGGTTAGAGGCGATCAAAGATATTTAAAATCATACATCCTCAACCGACAGTGAATTGATTTAGTATTATTTGCATTTCGTCATAATTCAGGAAAAGGGACTACACCGCCAGCGTATTCACGATCTGTGATACTATATTTTGGGCTAATTCGACACTTCTGAGTGCCGACAAGTGATGTCCATTATCTAGTCTCTCGTATAGTTGAATATTGTAGAAGGAAGGATATAGCTTTGGTGGTCACCACTTATTATTTCGAAAGGTTCTGTTGTCAGAATATGCGAAAGAATAAAGGCAAACAAACGAAAACTAATTTCAAAATGAGGAAATTAAATAAAGTTACCTTTACAAAGAGGTATCGTGATTTGCTCGGCAGCGTTGGTGTACGCTGATAAAATTTATGAGTGAAATGTCTGGAATGGCGCCACAACCATAGGCCATACAGTAGTTAATCGAATTCCAGTCAAGTGAACCGAGCTTTTTCAGATAAGAAATGTTACGCCATTTTTCTCTCTTGAACGCCCGAAACGCCGCGATGATATAGCCAGCATCTCTCTTGGAAACAGGTTTAGCAATTACTCCAGATATGGAGTGAGGACCTCCGAGGAACACGTGGCATCTACACGGTATTTAGAAAGAGAGTGGAAAGTAATCATTTTGCTTGCAACGTCCATAAGGCCCTGACAAGCAACTATGACTCCTCGCCGCGCGTGCAATGTGCCAACGGATAGTTTCTCGTTCTTCCTGGTAGATTTCGAACAGTTACCCTGGCTCGCGATCATATCACATCCCCAAGCCTTGGAGTCGTTTTACTACGCCCACATTGCATAATTATCGCATGTATCACCAAGCTGGGAGCATGCACGTTGGAGAACATGTGTCATTCATATTCGCCAGGGCATTATTTTTTTTTTTTTTGAAGCCGCTTATTCCCATTATGATAATCATTGGGATTTGTATTTTTTATTGCATCTGCTGTAAAAATAAGTTTGACCAGGCGTTAAAGAAACGTCGGAATTGAATGGTACCAAGATAATACAATGCATTAATATAAGAGAATTGAAGAGAGCTGTAGCAATGGGTTATAGCAAAAAAGTAGTGCGTAATTTGTCGGGATTTTAAAATTGTCGAGATTTTTGTCCATTTGGAAGAGAACTTTTCAGTGTGCTATGAAGTTGTAGTAGGCATTAGAGAAAGTCAGAAAATTACGATGAGAGTAAAGAGTATGTTATGCGGTTTTTATCCGAAAAAATGTTACCTTTACGATAAAAAAATAGTGTTTGGCGAAATGGCAAGATAAATTAGCCAAATTTCGGAGTGATCTGTGATGACGTCGATAAGTTCTTTAGCGAATTTAAATATTAAGATAAAGAGTTTTAAAGGAGTTCAGCCAATGAAATGAGTTTATTATATTTATATCGAAATAAATAAACAAAAATATACCTGCTTTCGATATTATCAATGACTTTTCTGGAACGGTAGATAAATATTGATCCTAACTAAAGGAATGACTCCGAAAATCGGCCATTTCCATGCTAGGGCATACTAGTAGGGAGTGCTCTAGTTGGGTATCAGGAGCAGTTGTCCAATTGTTTGAAAACAAATATAGAGCAGATCCTGACTACCGAATGAATTATAACTGGGAAACGATCAGTGAAATGGTAAGAGATAGTGATGATGCACCTGTTAAGGATATTAAGGATCGGTCATATGGTGGAAGAAATTTTTTGAGATAAACACAACGACAGGATGCCTTCTGTTGTCCTGGATATAGCTAATTCGTTTGTTGCTGCGAAACGCTAATAGAAGAGGAAATAATCTATGTTATCCATAAGCTTCAGGCCAATAAAAATCCTGGTGAAGATGGTCTTTGGGTCGGGCTCTTGTTGTTCATCATTCTTTATAATGCACCTTACTTTCTGGTATGGAAGAAAGAAATATTATCAAAAGCAAAACAATTCTGCTCCAATTCACAAGAATGGTAACAGGACATACTGCGATAATTATTAAGGATTCAACTTATTTTTACATCCTTTTTACTCAATAGACTTATGACAGTATGGGATAGCAGGATGCGCCCTAGTCAAGACTGGGGAACGGTTGTGTTGACCAGATATTCACGTTAAGAACAGTGGAACAACGTTTCAAATATCTGCAACACGCTGTTACGTATTTTACCGACTTTGTGGGTGCCTTCGATTCAATTGATAGAAGGGAGCTTGACAGAACGGAAGATGATGAAACGCAGCGGTGTTTCAGAGAAGATCATTTTCCTCATAAAGGTGTTTTATAAGCGTACATCAGTATAGGTCTTTGTATATAGGGAATTGACACAGTCTTTCGAAATAAAAACTGGTGTCAGTCAAGGCTGCATTTTTTTCCCTGGAATATTCAGTTATATAGATAGACTGGATAATGGACACCGTTTGTCGACGCTTAAGAGGTGTATGTATAAATCAGTCCGGAGCATTGTAGCAATTGAATATATTGATAATATAAATCCTTTTTGCTGACAATTATGACGAAATGCAAACTGCTAAACAATTGCAACATTTGCAACGAGAATTGGACTCATAATGTAAATGAAAGTCTTTTCGTTTTATTTCTTTTTGTAACAAGAAATTGATAAAATGCCTCTTTTTATAAACACAATATCCGACTTCAAATATCTTTTTCCATTTTAATATCAAGTGGCTTAGCAAAAGACGAAATTACAATCAGGGTAACGTTAACCAGATATGTTTTTTCGGCCGATGGAACCTTTATGAGCCTCTTACGAAATCACCATAAAATACGGAAATCAACGTCTATATAGTTGCATAGTTGCATCTACCTCGATCTTGCAGTACGACTGCGAGACATGGCCAATAAGAGTCAAAATTATTAAGAAACTAACTGATTTTGACCATTCATATCTAAAATATATTCTAGAGATTCCCCGCATAAAATCTGCATCCACTTGCATTAACAGTACCACCATAGAGCGGTTTGGGCACGTTCTTCGTTACCCACCGCAGGAGTTGAGATTTTATTACTGGCTAAATTCCGTGATGGATGGCGTCAAAAACGAGGATAGCAAATCAAGACCTGGATTGATACAAAGGAAACGCTTAAAGCATATAGATGTACTAGGGATGTATGGATTTAAGTAATGGAAAAAGGAATGGCTTCTCTCATTGTTAGTGATGTCGTCGAGTAGCCTGGAAACATTTTACTCTTGTAGCCAGCAGGAGCCAGTCCAGTCAGTATTGGTGAGAGCTGTTAGAAGATAAAGAATTTAATACCTAAAGAATTAGAAGGTGCAATTAATTATGTATTTCTTATTTCTTATCTCTCCGCAAAAGTTTATAAAAAGAAATAGAAATAGTAAAAAGTAAATAGTAAAAAGAAATAGTCTTTGTAAAAAGAAATAGTTCATTTTAGATTTTAAGTTCAAATTTAAATTCAACATTTAAATTTTGAGGATTTCGCTTGGGCTTTGTCTCGTTTCTTTTCGTATTTTTTTTAGAATTACGATTTTATTTGTAATTTAAGGAATTAGCGCTGCACATCCATTATTTTTCTATTTAGATTTCACAGAAATGTCTGAGGCATTTTTTAATATTGATCAGATTTTATTATGCATTCCAGGATCACTTAAAAATGGCTGAATTTCCGGATTTTGGTCGACACTGTAGTGTCAGGAATTGTCATCGATTAGGTTTACCTTTTTCAAAATTATTTTTGTTACTTGTTGTAATGTGAGGAAGTTTATTTGCTTCGCACCATATTCTTTAGTCTTTTGACAGTTTCGAATCATGGTTCTTGGTAATCTTTCGGGGATATTTATCGAGCTAGCTAGATTTTTAAAATTAATAGCCATTAAAGGATTTGGACTTTGCATGCCCTTGCTCAAGATGAACTTTCATGCCAATGTAACCTTTTAGTTTCCTTATTACGATAACTTAATTAATTAATTAATGTGTGGAAGAGAATATTAACTGTATTTATTTGATAATTCTTGATAGTTCTTGAATTTTATTCAAATTCTATTTTTACTCCTATTTTTTAGCACTCCAACTAAATTTTATCAGTTTTATATATCAACGTTTCAAAATTTCAATTTTATTTTTATTTTAGAAATATTTTCAAATATTTTATTCCTTTACATTATGCATTTATTTTATTTGGCTTTATTTTAGGGTATTTTAATTTTAGATTTTTTGCCAATAAGATGCGATGCTTGCGAGTTATACTTCTGTTCAAATCATTTTGCTTATGAATCACATTGTTGCAATTCGTCCTACAAGAAGGTAATTCATTTTATTTCGTTTTGTATTTTTTATAATTCATAGGTTTTTTAAAGGATAGAATGGATGAGTGGGTTGCTGCTCAATTCAGAGCGCTGATGTTGAGGTTCTATTACCCACAGGAGTAAGCTTGTCCAGAAATCGGGGTGTTGCTGGCGACTCACCTGTATTTCTGTCGCCAGGGGATCCCCTGGCATATTCAGTGCGAGAAGCCAGCGGATCATGGTGAGGACTCTTAAAAAAGCAGAAGGATAGAAATTTTAAGGATCATCAAGTGCCGATTTGCCCATTGTGCAATGCAATAGTGCCTGTACCTCGTAATCAGTCTCCTGATTTAGTAATCAGCTCTCATATAGATAACGAATGTAAATGGGATTCGAATTGTCAAAAAATTTATATTAACAGATGTACACAACCTGGATGTAAAAAAAAGGAGGTATTTTAAATGGTATTTAAATAATTTTGCTAAAAAATTTTCGACGAATGGTTGCAGATTAGTTCAAATATTTATTTAGATCGTTCATATAAGATAATTTTTAATAGTTATAAAATTTAATAATTTTTTCATTGTTTTTAAAGGATTATTATTAATGTAACACCATTATTCTATAAAAAATAAGTGCTGTTGAACTATAAATTTTTGTTGTTAATTCTTCAATTCTTCATCGAATAATATTTAAATATTTAATTTTTTTTTTTGATTATTTCATTTTCATTCAAATCTATTTTTTCAGCTTATCGCCATAGCATGCCTTGAATGTAATCAGAATTATTGTCTAAAACATCGTCTGCCAAGCGATCATATTTGTAAAAAAGAAATCGAACAGCCACCATCTGCGTAAGTACTTTCTTGCGTGAAAAGACCTTTTTTTCTGATCTACATTCTAGAAATTCATTTATTGTCATTTGTTTATTTAGTCATACTTTCCAGTTCTTTCCAGTTCTTTCTTCTTTTATTATTAATTTACACTTCCAGTAAATGGAGAATTGTTTTAAAAATTTCCTTCAGTTTGGTTACCGTAAATCGAAAGAAGCAAACGGCAAATCATCAGAATCTGGCAAAAATGAAAAGTTGTAAGGATGACATTGTTTCATTGGTACTATTATTCTTTCTTTTTCAGTGAATGTGAAGAGTTTAAGTTATCAAAATTAGGTTCATCGCTTGCCAAAAGTGATTCAGTAAACCAAGATTTATTAATCTGCTGTATATAAATATAATATTTAATATAAATTGAATATTTTTTTAGTCAGAAGATGAAACTTTAGCTCGAGCTTTACAAAATTCTTTAAACGGTAGTAATTCGCAGAAAATGACGCTTGAAGAAATAGATCGCACATTGGCCGAGCAGTTACAGCAAAATGAATATGAGTATAGCTTTTTTTATTCTTTTATAATTTTGATCTAATATTTGCGAAATATTTCGTAAAAAAAAAGAAAGGAATTCTAATTAATTAATTGCTGCAATTTTTCGGTTTGCGGTATTTAAAAAATTCCTTCATTATAAATTCCAGGATATTATTTTAGAAGTACATCGAGAGAACAACGTTCAACATGCAATTCGGTAGCTCAGAAATGTTGCGTTTCTTAAAAAAAATTGTGCAAGTTTTTGAATTAATCCTCAATTTTTTGTTTGTTTTTCTAAGTTTTTTTTTGAAAAATGTCTCGTCATCATTCTTCACTTATCTTTTTCATATTTTTAAAGTTTCAGAGTTCATCATTCTTTTTAATTTCACTTCAGCCATAAATTTTTCAAGATTTTAATTCTCCTAGAATTTTGATTAATGCTCAGAATTAATCAATCGTATTAAAAGTAATTGTAATAGTTATCGTGTCAAGTGATAATTTTAATTTAAAATGTTTCAGGTGAATAAGATTTTTTAAGAAGCTAATTTCATAAAAAAAAGAAAGGTTTCATTTAGAAATAGAAGTTAAAGAAAATAAAGATAAGACTGTTAAGTTTTTATTGTCTTCAAAAAAATAATTTTTTTGTAATGAAAAACCTAAATTTTCTTTAAATTTTGCCTTTTATGGAAATTCATTTTAAAACTGACTCTAATTTGATTTAACTTGATTGATTGACAAAATGATTTAAAGTTATTTTTTCTGTATGGATTCTTTTCGGCAAAGATAATTTTTTATTTATTTATTTATCTTCACATTTATTTTCGTATAATTGGCTTTATTATATTTATATATTCTTATCGTTTTAATGATATTTTGAGATGATGTCGTTTGTTAGATTAATTTTTTCATTGCTTTATTAAAGAGGATTTTCTTGAATATTAATGAAAATAATGATAAATATAGATTAAAAATTTTTTATTGGACCATTGTTTATCATTAGCGACACAGAACGTAGCTATAGTATTGCTATAACAGTTTTATTAAACTCAAGCATTGTTCAAGCACTATAGAAAATAGATCACTAAATCACAGTGGAATCCATTAGATATACAAAAAGGCAGAAAAAAATCAGAAATTAAAAATGGTTGTAGCGAAAAAAAAGTTGTAAAAAGATTTGTTTATTTAATATATAATATTTACTGTAAAATGGCTGAAATAGTATTTCTCGGACGTTATATTATGCATTTCGAAAACTGTGAAGTAGGTTGGCAATCATCATATTACAATACAATAATTGTCAAATTTCTTATTATAATTTCTTACATTACGATGGTGATGGTGGGACAAGTGTCGTCCATTCGTCGGTTCGTCCATTTACGTGACTAACGTATGGTTTTTTATTGAAAGTTGCCGTTTTCAGTCGGCCTTCTCGTTCCTTCTTTTTCATTTATGCTAAATAAGAAGCTTATGTTAAGAAATCCATAATCTGTGTTAAATAAGCACGCGACAAGAAGTTTAGCCAGGGAGTCGCTTGGCGAGAGAAAATAACGGCGTATTAGCCAAGAGGCGAATGGCCCAGTGAATTGTTGCTGTCGTTCGAAGCGCCGAGAGGCAAGAGTTCTACTTTCAGTTGAAGTAAATCTCTTGAAAAATCAAGTGGTTTCTATCGCTAAGTGGCTACCTGAAAAAGTTTGTCTGTTTTGAGAAGCCAGCCAGCGAAAAGAATTTGTCCAGAAATGGCAATGTGGATAATTTATGCAAAAGAATTTTAACAGATTTTTTTGGTAAAAAATTAACTATTTAAAGCGCTTTAAAAGAGTTTTCATCCAGCTTAGAGGTGAAGGTTAAGGACGATGAATTATTATGTGCGAATTTCGAACACTGAATTCGTTTAGAAAACTCTTTGAACTATTGAGCTTCGATTTAAGAGCAATTTCACCACATGTACGATTTTATTGCCTCGATTGTAACAATTTTATGCAGTATTCAAGAAGCGCTAACTTCAGCGTCTGCATATGGTTTTGGTGACAATAATTTATATAACCCTGCTGGTGCAATTTATGGTGCCTATGGTTTAATGTTGGTTTTATTCACATTTAGCTTTCACTGCAGTATTTTTATTTTTATTCATCATTCAAGTGAAAGAAATTTAAAAAGTAATAGGAATCGTTTTTGCAATGTTCATTTGCTCCGGAAGTAAATCTGCACTGAATAAACATAATGAAAACAGAAATTTTTAGGAATATTTTTTTCAACTTCCTTTCTTTCACAAAAAGCCTTTAATACATCATGGCCTTTTCTTATAGATGTCCACCAAACTCATGGTTCTACTATTACGCATTTTGCGCAACGAGTTATGAATGTTGCTTTTATTTCGACAATTGGTTCTTGTAAATATTTATTTGTTTTTATATTTCTGTAACTAATATTGCTATTCTATTATAAATTAGTGGATATTATTAGAAATCACTAAGAATAAGGCTAGAATGGCCGAATGATTATGGCTTAAGTTATCACCTCGAGCATCACTATCTCGACTCCCACTTCCACCGTGAGCAGATTTATCACAAAACAAGTCGAGTAGTCAAATCTAACTTTTATTTGCGAATCTCTACTGCCAAGTGGATCCCTGGCGAAAATTTCACATCGTATTAAGCAACAGGCGGAACGAGCCGAACGCGAAATGGCAAAATACTGATTATTCATGCGCTTTCATTATAATTAATAAATTGCTATTTCTGAAAAAAATCTTCCATTTAATACATTAATTCTTTTTTTCAGGGTAATAATTGCATTGTTTTTTATTGCACTGTTCCTACTGTGCTGTTTGGTCTGTTGTGGTGGAACAGCTTTCGCAGTAGTGCGAACGGCAATGGAGAAATGAGAATGAGGTGACTTGAGGTGGCAAAACTGGACTCCTCCATTTCACAAAAATTCAATTCCTGAATAGAACTACCACACTTATTGTATATAAAGAATAATTTTAACTTTTATTAATATTTGTAATGATGAATTGATTATTGTTGCAGATTAATTTATATAAAGTTCACGCTAGGAAAAAATTCTTTTCCATAAAACAATTGTGGATAGCGTTTTTTCTGGGAACGCTTATATATGTTTCTTGTTTCTGGGAACCTCGGTCCATCCATCTATTTCTTCTTCTAAAAGCACTCGTTTTTGGTTTAATTGGTTCCATTAAATATTAGGTTAAGAGAGTTATTTGGGGAGTGCAGGTGAACCACAAGAGTCATCCGCATTCCCCTTTTAATGGTAGCTTTGCTAAGAAACAGGAAATGCAAATAAGATTGCTTGTTCGCAACGATAAAATCAATAAAATCTTCATTTATCGACTTAACTATATTTACCTTATTTATAGTTTGCAGCTGTTTTTTCGCATATATAAATGCCAAACTTTTGAATGACTGAATTTAGTCGATAATCGACAGTTATTATAGTCAGCACTTTCCTTTCTTTTATTCATTTCTCTTAAAAAATGAATAATTTTTCATATTAAGTGCATCATAGTGGTAGATGACAGCCGACTGGGTAGTGGTTCAGATTGTTGCCGCGTCGAGAGGAAAGGGTTTAGCTCAGACAGAATAAGGGGTCCGGATGGTGACCGGACCGGATGGAGCTGCTGTCGCAACTACACGGCAGTTTAGTCTTTAACCGTGCTGACCAGTCAGCGGAACGAGCTTAAGCGGAAATGATAAGCGCTTTATCACATTTATACTATTGTTACTGCCATTATTTATTATTCAAATCGAGTTGCTAGAGAATTTTTTTCTTTTCCCCTCTGAATGACTGCCAGCTACGAAACTAATTTTGAACTTTACACAATTTTTGATAAAAGATTTAGGACAGTTGAGAGCCCTATGACAATTGCGCGTCTGAAAGTCCCATCAAAATCCTTTAATTACAAAATTTTAATGTTTTAAGGTCAAAATATCAATTTAATGTGATTTCATTGTTTTATTTAGCAAAAATATTTCAGAGAGGTTCGGCAATTAAAATATATATTTTGGAATTACATATAAATACTTACATAGAAACAACACAGGATTTGAAGAGGGTTAGGCGAGAAACATTTGGAAGGAGACGCAACGCTAAACGATAAAGTTTAGATAGACAACATGTCAAAGAGACGAAAAAGAAAAATTTTAGAGAAAGGGAGAAACGATGGAGAAATGGGGAAATCAGAGGAACGACGAAAGATCAAAGAAAATGGTGGTGGAATTTTGAACAGCAATGAGAGTAAAACACAAAAAGAGCGTGACTTGGGAGACCTAGAGAAAAAAGAAGAATTGCGGAGCGCTTAAGCTCATGAGGAAAAAAATAGGAAGCAAAGATGGATCGATAAGTTAGTGCAGAATTCAGGGTGCGCGAGAGAAAGGGAGAAAAAGATCGAAGTGCATGAAGAGAGTTGGTAGATGCGAGGGCAGAAGGAGTATATATGACAAGTGGAGTGGCGAGAGACGAGAGAAATACCCACTGGAGTCTTTTTCTCTGGATTTCCTGCCAATTATCAGGCATTGATTTGTTTGCGTTAGTATATTATTGGGCGGTGCATTCGCGCCCATTGTCAGCATTGTTTTGTATCGATTTTCATGGTACTTGGCAGTCAGCCAGGTCGTGTGCTTGCTTCGAGAGACCTGTTGATTCATTCATTTGTTTTCTCCGTGTTTTTTCTGATGACATGGCGTGATTTCCTTCGTTTTCAGTTATTTTAATCGTTCCATTCAAATATTCCTTCTCTGTTTCCTTCAATTTCCTACGAATTTCGTGTTTCGAGTAGTTATTTTTAAAAATTTTTTTCATCACTTTATTGGTTTTCTCTTTTTGCTCTCAACAAAATGTTGCATTTATTTTTATTTTTCCACCAATTTTATCTCCTTTTTCCGCTTTTTGCATTTATTGAATTCTGTGGGGTTTGAACTTGAGAATTTTCTTCTCATTGAAGTTCTGGGTTCGAGTTCAAGCTTAAACTTCCAAATGATAAGGCAGATTTTCTGTTTGACCATTGTTCAATAAAAATAAAGCACATTTCATCTAATTATTAGTTATTTAATGTTTCCTGTCGAAGGCGAACACGATAATTTTATATTTGTAATTAATCCAGTGGCTCAGTGTTGTTTCTTTCATTTCGCTGTACCGGTAGGGTTTTATTCCCAACATAAATAAGCCTTCTGTCAAAAATCGGTGTATTGCTGGCGGTTCATGTGTTGCGCAATGACTCCCTGATAATATTTATCCGATTTACAAACCAGTGGAGTAAGCTTGGTCAAAGGTGGGAGTTTTTCAAAAAAATAATTATTCCACCACTTTTTTTTTTGTCTTTTTTCAAATAACATGGAAAGGGAATTGGGGCACGTTCTCTGTCGTCCACCACAGGAGTTGACGTATTTTGTTACTTGCTAAACCCTGTGATTGGCGTCAAAAGCGAGGAGGACCAGTCAAGACCTGGGCTGATGCAGTCAGGAAAGATTTTGAACGTATAGGAAGACCAGCGATATATGAACTTATGGAAAAAGGAATGGCTTCTATTACTACTAGCGATGGCATCGGATAGAGCAGCTTGGAGACGTCTTAGTCGTTGGAGCCAGCCTAACCAGTAATGGTGGGAACTATTAGAAGAAGAAGAAGATGGAAAGAGAATTGTTTAAAGATAGGTGAGGTTTAGAAAGGGTTGGTTCTCTCGCCTGTGTGCGGTAGAAATTTTTGTTTTAAAAATTTCCCTTATACTCGAATCGTTCTTTTCATTTTTTTTCATTTATTGCATTTATTCACTTTTTTTTCGAGAAATAACTTTAAAAAATAGGAATTTTATGTTTAGGCTTAGATAATAACGAAGACGGTGAACGATTGTTTCTTCTGTCGTTTAAAGAAATTTGTTTAGAGATTTTTTCTAACGTTGAATTTATTGATTACAAAGTAAGTGTTGAGTGCAATATGTGCAGTGCAATGCATCGCGATAATGTTGCAGTAAGCGAACATTTTGCAGTATATATCTTCAAATCGATATTTTTTTCTTTTTTTTCTTTTATTATTTATAGGAAATAAAAAAAGAAAGAAACATGCATATGTGCATGTGTGTAAATCTTTAAATGCGACAATTTGCTTCGCATTTTGCCAATTTTTTCATTTTTCATTCAAACTTTCATTTTTTATTGTTTAATTAATTTTATCTTTGACCTCGGGAATTGATATTTTAGAATTATTGAAAAAATTTTTATTTCTTGCAAAAAAATTTATCACATTTAATGAGTGATGTTTTGCTGCATGTACTTTTCATTTCTGGCCTATGTGCTTTCCTTACATGTTGCATGTTGACCTGAGCTCCGCGTGCTGTTTTTTTCCTACATATCCACTCTATCATTCATCCTCTCGACATATCCGTCAATGGTTTTTGGTACCATCCAAGTTTCTTGTCTCATGTGCATTTTTATTATGTTTCTTGTCTCATCTTGCCTAAATACTATGTTTTTGTGCTTTTCTTTTCCTCTGCCAAATTTGTTTGGTTTGTGCGATCAATTATATTTTCGCTTTTTCTTTTGCCATTTCTTCATAATAAACGTTGTTTTCTCATTATTATTAATTCGCATTATCAATCGATAATCGATTCTTTCTAGTTAATCAAGGCGATTTCAGTTGCGTTTTTTATATTGCTTTATTTTCGTCATAACGAAAAGGTTAACAGATCAGTGGTAGGTGAACCAGAGGTGCCGAGTTAACTTGAATATCTTGAATAGTGATGTTGGTTTATTTTTCCCAACTTTACATTTTTCATTTTTTTACAATAGACGTGATCCTCTTAAAGTCCATTTTTTTATTTTTATTCCTTGGTCTTCAGCTCACGTTTATTAGACCTTCGAAATTTATAAAATTTATAAATTTATTTATTCGATTATAGCACTGTTCACATAAATTCATTTTAAATTGGTTCAATTGGTTCGCTGCTTTTCATTTCGCTCGCGCAATTCATTTTATAAAGGTCTGGAAAAGGTAAGGTGGCACAGCGGATAATAATTATCCATATGTTGAGAGGTGTCATGCATCCAGTAATACTTGTCATTAAAAAATCCAAGTTGGATCCACTATCCAGATGATTCCATGGCAAAAAATTTTATATATTTTATGTATTTTTATATTTATAAATTTTTGTTTGCCCGAAAGAAGAAAAAAGTGCTGACACTACAAATAGCCAGCGAAATAAGTCATAGTCTAATCATATGGTAAGCATCACTTTTGGTTCTCTGATTTCCAGCAATTCACACTAAATTCATTTTAATTATTCTTTTTGCTTATTTTGCTAAAATTTTTTTTATATCTTTTTTTGACAAGATGAGAAATAATTTACAAATTTTCGATTCAATTCTTCATTTTTTAATTGAAAAATCATTTTCTTTTTGTAATTAAAAGTTTATAATTGTAAATATTGATTGGTTGTTATAAGAACTGTTTTGCGGAAGAGTTGATTTTTTGCGAGAGAGTTGAAATAAGGTGTAGTAATGTATACATGTATACTTTTCTATTCATTGTACTGCATTTTTATTGAGTATTTTTATTTTGTTTTTTATTTTTATCATTAATTATTATTTTATTACTGTAATTGTCATTTTTTATTAATTGTTATTATCATTAAATATTATTACATTATTACATTATATTAACTGTAATTACATTAAATATCATTAATTTTTGTTAATATGATTGATTATTATTATTCATTATTATTATTAATATAAATGGTTATATTTATAATTATTTGCGCGAAGGAAGAAAATATTTTCATATTTTTTCATATTTTTTCGCATTTTTTTGATTTAAAATATTTTTTGTAGGCATATACTGGTGAATTAGATTTTCGAAGATGGTCATTGCTGGTAAACAAAAAGTTTTCGTTGTACTTATACAATGTTATTTTTTATTATTGGTCATAACTGTTGGCGCAGTAACAACAAAAACAATTCGTAATGCTGAAGGAGCTGTGGCCGCTGCCGCTGCTGCTGCTGCTGCTGCTGCTGCTGCTGCTGCATCCGTTTTAGATGACGATTTTGCTGATCTGTCTCCAAGTGTTGGCTTTTTATTAATTATTTTAACCAGCTGATTTCCATCTATTGTTTGCTAAATTATAATTTAGATTATTTTCATATGTGCATAGTTAGTTTTTTTAAAAAAAACATGAAAAAAATGAAACGGTTTTGTTCAAATTCATATTTATGAAAATTTTAAATTCATATTTATGAAGTTAAAAAAAATTTTTTGTTTATTTTACACATTTTTTATTTTTATTATTGTTCATCGTTTATAAATTTATGATTATATTTATATTTGTTGTTTTTATTTTAATATTATTTATTATTCACAGTTTGATGATTTCCTTGTTCTTTTTTTTATTTTTAGATGGATGAATTTATAAGTAATCTTTTCTATATTCTGCAACAGTACTTACAAAAAAAGAGAAATGTTTTTGATACGATTTACTGGATAAAATGAGCGATTAATAATTGAAAATAGATCGCTAATTTTTAATAAATATTAAATATTATAAGGAAATATTCACTTTCTTCTTTTTTTTCCTGAAAAAAATTTCATTCTTTTATTGTTATTTTTTTTATTATCGTTTTTCAGCAATCTGTTAATGAGATTTCAGTTGAAAAATGTTGCAAATGCAGTTAAAGTTGAACTGCCAGCAAAACCAGCATTCCTTGAAAGGTTTGGTCAAGAAGGCGTTAATTATGATCTTGATAATCGATCAAGGCCTTTTATACTTTGTGAAGTAACTTCAAATTTTTAAAGTATTATATTGAAGTGATGTTATTTCTTGGAGTAATATTTGTTGAAATAATAGGTAATTCTAAGCCAGGATCACTTTGTCTTCCCGTCCTAATTCAAAGAACATTTTGTTTTCTTGAGAAGCTGAGCCCTTATATATCTGTTTGGAGTAAATATTTCTGTTATGAAGTGAAATTGGTATGAGGAATAAGTGGATGAGGAATTATTTCTTAAACATATAGGTGATAATTATGATAATTATGACCGCATGCAATATTTGAATTTTTTTAGTTTATTGCACCGATATCATGTGATCCAGCGAAATCGATTTGTAGCGGTGTGAAACAGTGTTATTTGGAAGGAAGAAAACATGAGAGATTAGGATGTATGGCTGTTACAGATAATCAGCGTCAGAATGGAGTAAATATTATTTAGATTACGGTTTTTACTATTTTTTAAAAAATCTAGATTTTTTGTGGAATTAATTTGTGATTATTTTCTATATCATATTTTTATGATATAGCTACAATAAATTTTTTATAGGTTATTTATCACTACAGCTATTAATGTATTTCAGTCATTTGTGAAGGATTGTTGGCCACATAGCGATTCGATACATAAATGTTTAAGTGGTCACTGTACGGCAGAAAGACGATCTGCCAATCAAGTTGATGTTTTTTTTTGCTGCTGTTCAACTCATAACTGTAATGTCAATGTTTTTATACCGCCACAGCTTTCGACTGGTACGTCTTTAGGAAAAGAGATAAAAATGATTCTCGCTGAATATAATTATCCTGTTTCCAAATCGATCAGTGGATAATTTTGGTTATAAATTTTTATCGTTCGGAGAGAATCTAGATTTTTTCAAATGGTGATGCTGGATTAATGGTGATGATAAATAATGCAAAATTTTAGCGGCTCCATCAACGTTCGCACCAATTAGCAAAGATCCAGGATTATTTTCATCAGATACCTGGGCTGCGATATTTATACTTATAGCATTTGTATGTACATGTCTTCTTTTAATTCTTTGCTATTGGACGTACCGTGAATTGAAGAATAGTCATCTTTTCAAGGGAAAGGTATTTTTATTTTGTTTAAAATTTTCTGTGTATCTGTTTTTCTTCATAAATTGATTTATTCTCGAAATTCGTTTTTGAGATTGAGATTTTCAAGTTTCTAAGTAAATATAAAGCTAAGACTACATTTTACATTTAGGAAATACATTTTATCTTAAGGCTGTTGACTCATATGCAATTTCTGCGATTAGTGATGTTGATACGCCACTGATAAACTGCAAAAAAGATGAAGGATGGAGAAATATCACCAGTCTTGAGGTATTTTCACTTCTTTTGAATTAAAAAGTTTTTTCATAAAAAAGATTTTGCATATTTTATATTTCTGTTCAATCATTTCACTTCCAAGACAATAATAAACCACTTGAAAAAGAAATTTTTTATAAAATCAATTTTTTATAAAATGAGGCTCATTGAAATGATAACAATTGATAAAACTTTAACGGAAGTCTGCTCATAAAATTTGTTTTTTCTAGCCATGTAGAATAAAGTAAATTTTTTGCAATTTATTTATTGCATAAAAAAGATTTTTTGGTTTAACTTTTTAGTTAATGAAGGTTTAGGGAAATAAGTTAATGATAAAAGCAGATTGCCTGTTCATTCAATTAATATTCAACAGTTTAAGAAATTTCTCATTTTTTTCTTTAGTTTTTATTTCATTTCCCTTTTCATTACAGTCTAATAATAATTCTTGTAGATTGTTGCACGTGGACGTTTTGGGCAAGTCTATCGTGGCTTATTAGACGATATGCCTGTTGCAGTTAAAGTATTTCCTAATGTCGATGCTGCTAGTTGGATCCTTGAGCAGGTTTCGTATTTCATTTTTTTAACTACGGAGTTTTTTTTTTTTATTCATATATGTGTCTAATTCATGGTTGCAGGAAATTTATACACTCTCTGCCCTTCGTAAAAACGGCAATATTTTGCGATATATTGGATCGGAAGTACATGGCTCAACATACTGGTTGATCACAGAATTTCATGACACTGGAACACTTCAGGATTTTCTTAAAGTTTATTTTGTTAAATTTGTCTCCATTAAAAACGAAAAGTGCAAAAGTTATTTTAAATGTTTATTTTATTCTTCATTGATATATTAAATCTTTTTTTCTCACTTTTTCAAGTTTTTTAGATTTTTTTTTAGACTCACATGCTTTCATTATGCGATTCACTAAAAATAATATCTAGCATGCTTAAAGGACTTTCATTCTTACATGAGGAAAAAATGATTGATGGAGAGTTCAAACCATGCATTGTACATCGGTTAGTCCATTAGTCCATATTTTTTATGCTGTTTTTGTTCGTTTTTATGTTAGCAAATTATAATTCTATTTAAAAAATGGCTGTTGGTTTAAGTGATTTTAAATCACGGAATGTTCTGCTGAAGGAAGATCTCACATCGGTGATTGGTGATTTTGGATTAGCTCTTAAATGTGAAAATGGGCAAATGCCAGCCGATGAAAACCATGGACAAGTATAGTTTTTTGAATCATTGCATAAATAATGCATAAAAGAATTTATTGGAAAATGAAAATAATGCTGTCTAATTTATTAGTCTTAATCAAAATTTGCGATTTTTATGTTTCATATTTAATTTTGGTCCTTTGGCAAAATTAGATGAAGGAAACATTCTCGGTTTAAGGTCGGCACTCGTCGTTATATGTCTCCTGAAGTACTAGAAGGTGCTACTGAGTTCACAGCTTTTGCATTCCGACAGATTGATGTTTATGCGGCCGCACTTGTAATATGGGAAATACTGTCTCGAACTGTCCTTAAGGAAGGTGGGTTAATCGTAATACTTCGTATATTATGGATTTGTACATATATTCTTAATAAAGAAACAAGTGCATATATGGTGTATTGTTGACCATATAATTTATTTATTTAATTTATTATGTATTATTTTAGATGATGTCGTTCCAGAATATAAGCAACCATATCAAGATGAAGTAGGGTTGCAGCCTTCACTGCATGATCTTCGTCGAGTTGTTGTTGCACTTAAAATTCGACCAACTGTACGTCAAGAACTAATTGAGCATAATGTAAGTTATGTGTTTATTTTTATTCATTAATAGGAGCATTTGCATATAAAGAATATCGATATTTCATTTCAGTTTGATTTATCTTCAGATTGCTGGCGTTCTATGGAAAACTGTGGAGGACATGTGGGATATGGAACCTGATGGACGCATTACATCGGGGTGCGCATATGAACGAGCAAATACGCTTTATTTATCATATTCAGCCACTTTAACCGGTGACAGTTCCGAAAATGCCACAATAACTACTAGTAAGTATTTATTGCCTATATATGCCAATTCAGCTTAAAGAAATTTTGGAATATCCTGTTTTATGCTTTTATTTATACCTGCAATAATTTATGAATAATATGTATATTAGGTGATCCGCATTCACATGTGGGATCAAACTGTTATTCATACGCAAGTGAAGAATTAGTCAATCAACAACCAGCGTTACTTATCAAAGATTCAGCTCTTGGTCTGAATGGTTTTAACGCGAATATGGATATCTATTCGCAGAGCTGTATTCCACCTAATATGAAGTTTGCACCTTCAACAAATAATCATCAGCAATCCGATATTTTTCATGAAAATCAAATGCGTCAGTTATGTTTCAAGCAACAACAGCCACAGAATCAGCAACAGAAATTCAATAATAATATTAATAATATTATCAGTCAATCTTGCTTAGCAAAATCATCATCACCATCACTTCAGTCAGAGATTTTACAAACTGTAGAGAGGTGATTATAACTGGACTTAGTTCTGATTTTGTTAAAAATGGAAATACCTCAAATGTTCATAAGCTGTTTTTCTATTTCCTCTTTATACACGGCTGTTCTTTTCATCAGTAATCAAGAAAAGCATGTATAAATTTTCTAGATTGTAAATATTTTAAAAATGATTTTGTAATCATTAACTGATTGATTTTAGAAATCTTTTGATTTTTAGACTGGATTATATAGATGAAAAAAATGTGCTTTTTCGTTTTTGGATATCTTTTTAAACAATTATATCTCACTGATAACAAATAGATTACAATGGTTTTAGATTGTCAATTACGGAAAAGAATTGTTATAACGGTAATCTTGCTACCAGAAAAATAGAAAACGTTAGGTTTTCTTTTTCTGGATTTCTGAATTTTAAGAAGATTTGGGCCATTTATTGTTTTTATTTTATTGTTATTATTATTAAATATTACATTGACTTTACCCGGAGGAAACTAATGAAAGGCTAAATTTTTCTTCCTACCTCATGAATTTGTTTAAATAATAGAATTTTTCAAATAAATGCTAGGCAAGACTGACAAATAATTTACGCTTTAAGCTTTTTCTAACCCAATTCGAATTATTTTTTTCTTTTTAATGAAAATGAATTGATCTAAGTATTATATTGCAGAAAATTATTTACATGCATGTTATTGCTTACCCGTATTGTTTATAATAATAAGATTGCCAATATTTTAATATTAAGAAACTCGATGGATTTACAAGCGAATTTCAAATTCGCCATTTATTTTAATAGTTTGTTGCTTATTCGCTTATAATTGACAATTTGTACAGTTTTCATCGTTTTTTTTTCTACAGTATTCCTACATGTTATACCTGGTGATGGATGTTTGTGATCTCTATTTTGTTCTTGATTTTGGCATTTTAATATGTAAGTATCAAGCCAGGTGAAATTGGTATAACTGTAGTTGATTATTCTTTATTATGATTTTTTCACATTTAACTTCTTATTTTTATTGCGACAAATAGGAAATTCAGAGGGTTATATTTCCCGGTTTTTTAAAATAAACTGACTTAAAGATATTGCTGAAGAATTTGTTGTTTCAATCGTCAGTCATTCTGTGAGGTGTGAAGCGTGCCTTGCTTCAGATATTTGTCATATTGTTTGTCATAACATTATTTCAACTTTTCAAGCAGAGATTATTTGTATTGGTGGGACAAATAGTGATAGTGGTGATAAATGGAGACAATTATGAGTGTCGCTTTATCATTATTATATTTTTCAAAAAAAAGAAGAGAAAAAAGATTTTAAAGGAATTTGTTGCTTTGCTGGAACCAGTGAAGAATATGTTCTTCACATGGGTCTTCATTACATACAAGGATTTAAATTATCTTTGCAATATTTGTGCAGATCAGAGTTATCCTGTGGTTTCTTATTTTTTTTAATTTCTTGAAACTGTTCCTGTAGATGATTTTGAGTGAAATGTTGAAAATAATGAAATCTCCCAACATTTTTTTCTTTTTTTGAAGATTTACCTCAAAATGTATATTTTTTATCAAAATATGTTTAGTCCGCGATTTGATCGTCCTTTTTTTCTATATTTGTTATTCGTACGTTTTTTTGTTTTATGCTGGTACTCTTGTGTTGGCAGTTAGGACAAAATATGGACAATTAGGGCAAAATTTGGGTGAGCATTTCAGTTATATTCTTAAGAATAAAGAAAACCTAATTAAACCAATTGCATAATATAAAAACGAATGGTAATGAAGTTTTTTTCAAAAACTATATGAATTTTTTTTTTTTTATTTCACAAGTATAATCGAAGGTTTCCCGTAGGAGAACTGAAATCAGTTAAGGTAATCAGGGGTCATCAGGGATCAAGAGAAAAGGTAACTATAAGATAACTTTTTATCGTTTTAACTTGTAAAAAAGAAAATTTGCAGTGAAGAGGGCGTTGGTGCATTCTTCTGAATTAAACGTAGGGGAATAGAATGTTGGTTGTCGGTGCCAGTGAATTCACAAAAAATACTCGCAAGTTTGCTGCTGTATATACGTATTTGTTGGTGAAATTGCTAGATATCAACTGTTTTTATTTTATTTTATATTTCACATTTTTTAAATATTTAAATATTTTAAATATTTAATTAAATATTTTTTCGAAAGATTTCTAGTTTTTGCGCGAAGAATATATTGCGATACATCTGAATCTAAATCTTATAGCTATAAAACAAAGCATTTGGATGGGCTGAGAAAAGTAAACAGTTAACTCTCATCATATTTGGTATAGCAAGATCCGCAGATTGTTAGTACGTTTAGAAATTTTTGCCAACAAGTCGCAGATGAATCGTCACCGCCACCTGGATCACTCGTATTATTTAATGGTAGGAGAGTTATATTTCCCGGTTTTTTAAAATAAACTGACTTAAAGATATTGCTGAAGAATTTGTTGTTTCAATCGTCAGTCATTCTGTGAGGTGTGAAGCGTGGTTTATTCTCGTTGAAAGCAGAATGCGAATTTTGTGTTTTAAGACGTTGCTATTTTAAACATTTTATCCAGCCGACTTTCTTTCTTTTAATTGGATGGTTTGATAAATAAATGCTATTTTTTTTAGAAAGCTGAAACCAAATGGTTTTTATTGGTTGTCAGAATAAGAAATGTGATGCTGGCGACCCACCCGTATTTCTATCGCCATGGGATCCCTGGTATATTGCCTAATGTGACAAGCCAGTGGAGCGAGTTTAACGAGTAATGGTAAGGACTCTTAAAAAAAAAGAATAAGAAATGTTCAACGGAAAATATGTTTTACTATTAAAGCGATGGCCAAATAGATTAAGAGGTTGGATATTGAAGTGAAAAAAATATACAATCAGTCTTCAGCAGACGCAAGAGAACAATTTTTGGGATCAAACATTAGTCGCTGTGTTAAGGAAGACCGAATAGGGATTAAAATTTTGCTTCGGATTCTGTCACATTATTTCTCCAATCTTTCAAACTATTCCGATCAAAATCTTTTCCCGAAAGAGAAAAATTTATAAAAAATTTATAAAAATGGAAGAGATGATCAAAATAATTCTCTATTACTTTTAGAATCCCTTTTGTTTTGAAGCCGTTGTACCGTCACGAGAATTTTTCAAATTCTCTTACACTCTCCCAACATCGGCAGGAATCGGATATATGCTGCTGTCCCAAACGCTTGTTTACTGTTTAGCCAAGTACCGTTAATGCCGTTAACTGAGCAATATGATACGATACGTACATTAGAATACCTCTACTTCATTGGAAAAATGTTAATCTTGTAAAGATGTTGTGAGATAAAGGGAGAAGGGAGGGGAAGGGAGAAGGCTGTAGAGTTAGAAAAATTTAAAGATCAAAGAAAAGTCATCAAAGGCCGATCGATTCCACAGTTAAAAGGATTTGTGGATTTTCAAGACACTCAAAGGAGTCGGTTATCGAAGTGGATAGAAATTGTTGGTTGTAAATTGCATTCGTTTCTTTTTTTAAGAGAAAAAATTTTAGTATGGACTCTCAACCGCTGGTCTCACACAGGCTACCAGAGATCCTTCGAGCTATCAATTAGCTTGCTTTGTCAACGATATCAAGGATAAATGAAGAGAATGTTGATTAGGGTGTTTTCATAAATTCAGAATGATGGGTCAGAGTTTCATGTCATGCCAAAATAGCGATTCATTATATATATACATACAGGGATGGTGACATCCATAAAGAAAGCAAAAAGGGCCATTGAAGTGCGAAAAAATATAAAAATATGATCTAGTGATATCGGCCAATGGCCCAATGGAGGATATAAAAACCCCACAGTCTAAGCTCAAAAAGAAATGGAATAGCATAAACTGTAAGGGTCAGAAGTAGAACCAAAGTACGCCGTTTCGCGACATCTATCACCAGTGCTGATTTCTGATTCTCGTCTACTACAACAATGTACAATATCTGGTTAATTGGTTAATCTGGTACTTACTTGTTTGTCTGGATGGAGAAGTTTCATAAAATCTTGATCTCATTATTCTCCGCGATTCTCCAAGGGATCTCCAGTTTGATATTGGGAGGATCTAAGCCATACAGAGCATAGTGCCTTACAGTTTATGATATTTCTGCCTCAGCACTATGTTGGGCAGTATATTTTAGCTAATAAACTGTTAGCTAATTTGTAAAACCATCTTATTTACATATTAAAAAGCAAATATGAGAAAATTTCCTCTTGAATAAAAATAAACTAATTTTTATATAATTTTTTATCGACCTGCGATTGTAGGCCCACCCCATATGGGCAATGTACTCTCAGAAGGAAACATGTTTTTTTGGAGAGCGAACCACTCGCCTTCTCCTACATCGCTGTTTTTAATAATCACTCTCCTTTTCCAAAATTCGCATTTTTTAAAGATTATTGAATAAGTCTCTCCTTAACCACATTTACTGTTTATTTCGAATCTGTTCGAATGAATAATTAATTCATTTATTATCGTAAATTGTAATTTTCGATAAATATTTTTATTCACTGTCGCAAGTGCACTTTTTTCCGATAGTGTCTGTGAATGTCAGATTCTGTACAAAGTCAACAGGACCCTAAAGACGTTCATTGAGAACTCAATGGGACTATGAAAAACAACACTTAAAATCAATTTAAAATAGCTTCCAAAGTAGCTATGAAGTGTAGCATATACCAGGAGATGCATTGTCTCTCGTATTGCATAGGTCTAAACTACCTTAGTCAAATAATTACCAGAAGCGAATATGGATAAATTCAGGAGCTGAAGTAAGCCATGTCCTCTATATGGATAGCATTAAATTATGCGCAAAAAGCGAATTAGACATTGACTCGCTCATCCATTTAATTCTGACCTACAGCGAGGACACTGGGACGCCATTCCTATTAGAAAAATGTTGCCAGATGGTTATATAGAGAAGAAAAGCCAGTCTAACCAGTAATGGGACTGTTAGAAGAAGAAGAATACAAAGATAACTAAAGTAACTTGTCCGAATATTACTCTAGGTTACTCTAATCTGGCCAGGGAATGGAGGTGAAATTTCCTTCTAAACTATTGGCGACATTCTTATTCTTTTAACAGCTCTCACCATTACTAATTAGGCTGGCTCCAACGGCTACAAGAGTAAGATGCTTCCAAACAGCGCGGTCTGATGCCATCGTCAACAATAATAGAAGCCATTCCTTTTTCCATCGTCCAAATATTGCTGGTCCACCAATACCAAAATTTTTCCTGACCGTATCAGTTCAGGTCTTGACTGGCTCACCTCACTTTTGATACCATCCACCACACGGTTTAGCAAGTAACGAAATATGCGTCAATTCCTGTGGTGGACAACGGAGAACGTGCCCTAACCAGCGAAGGCGACGCTCTGTGATTATTAATACAGGTGGTGTTTGAACGAAGGTGGATGCGATCATGTGATATTCGGTCATGTGATATATTTGATCCGCTCGACGGACCCATAAAATATGCCTTAAACAAAAGTGGTAGATCGCTTCTTAATATCCTCCACTCTCATTGGCCATGTCTCAGAACCATATAGCAAGATCGAACGAATCACTGCTATATAGATGTACTTTTAATGTTAGTTCCACGACGGCTCAAGGTTTCGTCAAGCTCATTTCTAGAGCTCATTTCTAGTTGCCGTGATCCTGGCTATAATATCGTCTTTTGCCTGGCCATTTGGTATTAGAGTGGACCTAAGGAATTTAAAATCGGGCACTTCCTCGACCGGCAATGAATTTACAAAAAAAGGCATTTTATCAGCTTCTTCTACATAAAACGAAAAGACTTTGTATACATTGACCCTGAGACCTATTCTTGTTGCAGTTTCTGATACAGTTATTTAGCATTACTTGCATTTCGTCATAACTATCAGCAAAAAGGACTACATCATCAGCGTATTCAAGATCTGTGATACAATGCTCTGGACTGATTTGGATACCTCTTGAGTGCCGACAAGCGGTGTCCAAACATAATCTATCGCATAGTTGAATACTGTAGAGAAAAGGACAGAAACTTTGATGGACATCAGTTATTTCGAAGGATTTGATTTCCCATATATACAGACTTGCGCCGACGTACGTTCATAAAATGCCTTTAAGAGTCGAATGATCTTCTCTAGAACACCGTCGCATTCCATCACCCTCCAAAGCGCCTTTCTATCAGTTGAATCAAAGGCAGCCACAAAACACACGTGACAGTAGGTTGTAAATATCTGAAACGATATTCCAATACCTTTCTTAACGTGAATATCTGGTCAGCACAATCGCTCCCCGGTCTGAATTCTTGATTATGGCGCATCCTGCTGTCTCGTACTTCCATAAATCTGTCTCGTAAATGAGTTTTGCCACTTCTGCTTTCCTTCTTTTTCTACCGTCGCATGACTTAAAACTCCAAGATCGAATGTGATACTTTCATAATTATTTGCTATTCTGGTGTATCTCCTTATATCTCATCCATCGTCAGTTACTTGTTTATTATTACATAAAAAATCATAAATTTTAGAAATTATCTGATAGCTGACGAAATTATTATGCAGATTTCAAAATTGCGGTCTATCATAACTTTTTAGCTGCTACTGGCAATTCTGGACTTAAAACGAAAAACAAATTACGGTACCGTAAAGAAGACCTGTTAATGAGCTATAAAAAATCAATAATCTCGATATTGCGTTTGGTGTTGGTTGTGTTTTTTTCCCAGAAATGGTTGCGCTTAACTGGTTGTGTCTTTTTTTTGGTTTTTGTTTTAATCAGCGTCTGATAGTCTGGTAATTTCCGATAATTTTTCGCAGTATTAAATATTCATATTGAATTATCGGATTTTAAATTTCAGTGATGATTCCTTTCTGTAAATTTGAATTTATTTTATTCGTTGTTGTTTTTTTTTTTAGCGCTCTTTTTCATTTCATAGCGGATTTAATTTTCCCGTTTAGCGCTCTTTTCAGTTTGAAAAAAATAAAGGAGAATGTCGGCGACAGAGCAAATGGCTCAGTTATTAAATGAATTAATGGGACCAAAACGGAATGCGGACTTCGGCGATGCAAATGAGCCGGATTTCGATGAGCCCGACGTTTGCAAACATTTCCTTGTTTCATTTTGCCCGAACGAAATGTTTCGTAATACAAAAGCTGACTTGGGACCGTGCCCAAAGGTTCTTTTATTTTACTTTTATTATTGCTCTTTAAATTTTATTCTAATTCTATAAATCCCATCAATTTACTTTAACTGCAAAGTCAGATTTTAGCTTTTTCTGACTTATATAACTATTATAAACGATTAGTTTAAGTAAATTGATGAAATATTTGAATGTAATTTATTTTTATAAACATAAAGCTGAAATTTGCAAATATATATCACTGTTTCACGAAAGGAAATCTAGCAAATCGTAATTTAATAAAATTTATATCTTTATAATCAAAATATTTATCCTTTTTTGCCTAAATATTTGCCGTGAATATTAGTGTAATTAATTATTTTTAATTATTTAATTATTATTTAGTTATATAGTTATTATAATTATTATTATTATAGTGTAATTATTTAAATATTATTGTAATCATTTGTTTCAGTATTTGTACTATTCATTTTTCTGATATGAAATATTTTATTGTTTATTTTACTTATCGTTTGTGATTGTACTAATTAATTAATTATTATTTATTTTTATTTGTAAGAAATTCTACTTTAGTTTAAAGGGGTTTTTTAATTTCTGATCTGCATTAATAATAGTCTATAACAACCAATAACAAAAATTTAATTCAAGAAATATCCTAATTTTTTTACATATACATTCTCATAATTAAAGTAAATAGTATTTTAGATTCATGATCCATCTCTGCGTTTGAAATATCGCGCAAGTAGTCGCTTTGAAAAACTTGGTTATGAAGAAGAATTTCTAAATAAAATTCGAAGATTAGATGATGAAGTGAAACGGAAGATCGAAAAAAATGAACGACGGCTGGCTGTTACTCAGCCAATTCCTAATCGTACCTTTTTTTTCGAATTTTTCATAAAATTTTTTACAGCGATAAGTTTGTCTAATAGATTAAATTTTACGCGTGTTAAATACGTGTGTTAAAATTTTATAGCATTTTAAAATGTGAAAATGTAATTCTATTGTAGTTGCATCAACTAGCTCGACAGAAGGCGAAACAGATGCACAACGACGTCAGAAAGAACTTATTGCTGAACAACAGACCAGTTTATTAGCAAAAATTAATGAATGTATGGAAAAGGTGATTTTCATTTTTTCTGAAGAAAAATATATTCATTCATATTTATGCATTCCACTTTTTATTTGTTTAATCATTTTTTTAGCTTCCATTTTCAAGTTTTTTGCGGCTTTATTTAGAAGAGCGTTAGTGATACGAAAATTTTTTTGATTTTTTTTTTTTAAATGGGAAAAAGTGGGAAACGGAAGGTATTGCAATTGCTAATTGAATCTAATCCAAAATAGATTCTTCATAGATTATATATTGCAGTTGGCCAATTTGATTAGCGCAGAGCGGTCCTTTTTTTCTATCATCACCGCAGCTTGTTCTTCAAAAACTAGCAGTTAGCAGGTTCATTTTACACAAGATATCATTTCTTATCACTATTTTAATGAAGGTTTAAGGCGGAAACATTGGGGGCGTTAGGTAAAGTGGACGAAGCAAAAGAAGCCGTTCGTCAAGCCGATAAATTCAAACAGGAGCGAGCAGCACTTGATCGATTATTAACGCAGTCAACTAATCCATCTAATCATATTGAAAATCTTGCAAACCAGTTATCAAAACCGATGGAAGTTTGTCAGGTTTTTCATTTTGATTTATTACTTATTTATGAATACTTTGCTCATTTTTAAATTGCTAAAGAGGTTACTGTCAGATAAAAATTCGATTAATTTTGTTCGTTTTTATTTAATATTTTTTTGTTTAATATTCTTTCCAGTATGCTGATTGCTCATCAATTAATGATTTTCGCTATGTCTAGGTATGTGGTTGTTTTATGTTGGTCAATGACGTTCAGCAAAGAATTGATGACCATTATGCTGGAAAACAGCATATGGCTTACGCTAAAATTCGAGCTACTATTGAAGAAATGGATCGTAAGAGAGAAGAAAAGCGGAAGGTTATTCAAAAATTGTTTTTTTTTTTGAGTGGGCCATTTTTGGTAAGCAGAACTGGCGCTGTGGGATGAACCAAACGTTGAGTTAAAGTGCCGAATTTTACGCTCATAAGATCCCATGAAAGGCGTTGGTTGATATATTTGTACTAATTCTTCTAAATATTCAATGATAGATTTTTCGATTTGAATTTTTTTATATTTCAATAATTCTTTTCTCGAGTTGACTTGAAATTTGCAAGGAATCATTGCTATACTGGAAGGAATATTAAACAAGAAAAAAAAGGAAATAGAAAAAATTGATTTAACCTTGTCATCAGTGGCTTTGGCTTCTGATACTCTGTGAGGAAAAAAAAACTAAAAACAATTTAATAAAGGAAATTAAGGAAAATAAAGGTCGCTTACTTTTTTAATTTTATTTTTCTAAGAAAATTCAAAGGAATTATTGGAATACTTATAAAAAATGAAAATTTATAGGAACGTTTGGAACGTGAGAACAGACATGAGAAAGATAGGAGAGAAAAAAAAGAGAAGGAAGATCGTGGATTGAGGGATGAAAGAGATGAGCGAGATAAAAAAGACCGTGATCGAAGAAAGGACGACCGAGATAAGGGGTAATTTTATGATTTCAAAGTCGTCCTAATTTACAATTTTCGGTTTATTATCTCCTAAGTTTTTCTTCACTTTTTATAAAATTTAGCAAAATCCATTTCTTTGCTGCTGTTCCGTGGATTTTTACCAAAGGTAAGATCCTGCATTTTTATTCAACCTGATTTCAGTGACCAATAAAGGATTAAAAGATAGTATTGTATTATCTTGTCGAGTATTCAGGTACAATTCTGCGTTTGAAACTTACAGCCGATTTATGGTTATATAATCTATTCTTAAGACGATACTTTCCATTGTCTTGCCTAGCAAATTCAAAATTTTGAGACAGTTTTCTTTAATAGATGCAGTCCTTCAAATTGTCTGCTAAGGGAAACCTTCTGGTTATTAGTTTTTCATCAGCGCAATGCAGGTATTATAACTGCAAACGGCTGTAAATGGGTGGCTATTAAATTCGTAAGTAGAAAGATCTGATGATATTCAAAATCACTTCTGAATTTTTCGTTCACTAGTTGTTTATTTAATGCAGTTATTTTATTTGATTTTTATTTTCTTGTTAGTTTTTATTTTTTTCACTAAAATATTCCATTTTTTAGTCTGCTTTCTAATTTTTACGGGGTACTTTTATATGTTTATCGTATTCCATGGTTTAAAAAAACTGTTAAATGAAAAAAAAGTTAATTTTGAAATTTATTTGTGGTTATCGTCAAAAACTTCATATATATTATTAGTGCTCTTATCAGTGCAATTTCATTTATATCTTCCATAATTTTTTTTCAACGATTTTTGTTTTTAGCTCAGATAGATACCGTCATCGTTCTCGATCTCCGTGGGCTCGTCGTGATCGCGAAGATAATCGCCGTTCCGATCGATACAAAGATAACAGATACAAAGATAATCGTGATAGACGCGATGGTCGTGATCGCCACAGGGTATTTTTTGCGCTTTTTTCGTGATATCATTTTTGCCAAATTTATATATATATATATATATATATATATATATAAAAGACATTATTTCGCAATTAAAACGTCATTAAAAATATAGTTTATGTTAATATTCGTTTTCGATGGTTTAAACTATTTAAATAATTAATATATTGTTTAGCGGTGAATCCAAAAAACATCGAAAGTCCCAACAATTCAAACCTAAATGTATACGGGAAATATGCCATTTCTTCTATACGAATTTTAATGGTATAATTCATTCATGTTTAGTTCAATTTACTTTGTTATTTAAATGTCCTTAATTATTTATATTTTACTTCATTTGTGAAACATAGAAACGTCAAAAAATAAAGATGCACCTCTTTTTTTTAAATTTTGTTCTTTTGCACATCTATGCCGTAGAATTTTAAAAAACAGCGTGTTAACTAATTTATGAAAAATAGTGACCAATTTATGATTATTCCAGTTTCTTTTGTATTAAAATGTTCATTTGAATATTTAGTTGAATTGATTATGTGGCCATTCAAGCTGACGATGTGTTGTAGAGACGTTGTTTGTTTTTAAATATCGTGTTATTCTATTATTTTATTTTATTTCCTCCATTTTTATCGTATGAAACAGATTAAAATAAAGATAAGTTACTTTGGAATATGAAATAGATAATTATGAGTTATTGGATCAGGATACATTTTGAAACGTTGTTTATTCATCATCATTCAATGTCATGTTTCTGAATTGCGATTTTGTTCTAAAAATATTCCAATATTCAGTTCTGTCGAATAGTTTCAACTCTTAAAATTATCGCATATTTCTAAATTTCTTTTTAATTGGTATCATTCTTGATGAATGTATCATTCTTAGTTAAATCATAAAACATAAAATTGTGTTTAATTTAAATTTAGATAATTTAAAAAAGCTTATTGAAATAAGTTTGTTGCAGAATGCTGCTTATTCTCATAAATTTATCAACCTTTTTAATACGTAATTCATTTTTTTATTCGTTTCAGTGTTATTTTTAATGTACGTTGGGAATAGGCGGTGTGGACACATTTTTTCATTAAATAAAAAATGGCCTATATATGTAATATGCGAAATATCATTGTGTGAGGCTCCTCTGTGCTACGGAATGAGTCGTTTAAATCAGAAAGCTATGGATAATTTAGTTTTGAAAAATTGTTTCGTGAATTTGAAATTGAATCTTATCGTGCTGATCTATGCTAGATTTGCTATATTTCATTGATGACGAATATCAATTTAAAGAGGAGAAAACTGAATTTGGCAAATGAATTAACTATAAATTTGAGTTGTTAGGTGATCGAAACCAATTTTCCAGAAAAATTTTAGGAAAATTCACTGCAGAATGATTTAGTTGGGCATTATTCTGAGTCCAAATGTCCAAATTAAACGTTTATATGAATAAAGAATTTCGGCAAAATTGGAGAAATAAATAAAGACATGAGTGGAACATTTTGTGACCATTTGCCTTTTTTCGTGGGCATCAGAAGAATTGTTGCAGTGGGTTTACTCATTTGGACATTTTTATGTGGCAGAAACAAGTTTGCTTTGATAAAGCATGCTATCTGACTAAATGTTTCTCTTGATTTCCTAAGAATTTTAGGTTGCTGAATTATTTTCGCACAGATAGTGGGCGGCTCGAAATATCAGTACAGTATGCAGTCTCAGGTTCCATCGGAATCGTCCAGTGAATACGTCAGTACAAATATATTTTGTTGCATAAAGGTTCAATTTGCGATCGGGAATGTCTTTAATCCTAAAAGTTACCGAACTAAATGCATATATGGAGAACGGTTCTTTTGTTTGCTCAAAAGTTTTCCATTTTAATTTTTCATTTAAATTTAAAAAATTAATAAAATTAGAGAAAGTTGAAAATAAGACATTCCTTAATGAGTTGGGTTTGGCTCGAATTTGTACGTTTTTTTATTCTCTTTTAATGTTTGATTTATAGTTAAAAGTTTTGGTTGCAAGCGATTTGCATGTTGGATACGCAGAAAAAAATCCTAAAATTGGCATGGATTCCTATCGCACATTGGAAGAAGTGCTGCAGATTGCTCTCAACAATAACGTCGATTTTATTCTTCTAGGTATTTTATCGAAAATCAGTTTCGCCTCACTAATTTTGTTTAATCACTGTCGCTGTCACGATCTGCCGTAGTATTATGGAAGTTTTATTTAATTTATTGACCTCGATAGAAATTTTCGATCAATTTCATAAATCTGAAAAAAAATCTCATCCTTAGTAGTTGGTTTTTAAGAACTCAGGAAGTGTGGTGAGAACTTTTATATTTCTTTCGGTAATATATGGTAATATAATTACTTTTTTGGTGCAGGAAAGCAGTTCCTTTGTGCTGCTAATCCATAGCCGATTATTTTTTCCTCAGAATCTCGGATAATCTTTTCAGTTCTTATCTTCGATAAGAGTAAACATTAAATAATTCTGGTGATGTTGAGAACGAATTCTCTCCTGTTATATCACCAACTCCCCAGCAAAGATTTCTTATTGATTAATAGCAACAGCAGGAAGCTTAACCAAAAATTGATAGCATTAACCGTTTACTTATTTACTTTCATATTGATGGTAGAGATAGAGAATTACAGTCGTAATTTGACAATAACACCAGTCTGTTTTAAATAATTTCGTAAAAAAAATTTTTTTTAATTTTTAAAAACTGTATGATATGGTGCACCCATAGGAAATTTATCTTAAGAGGGAGGAGCGCAATAAGAAAGAGTAGTTTTGATTCCTCCATGAGATTTTGCATAAAGGCATTCAATAATTTTGATCTATTAGATCCTGTTACATTTGATTTTAAACTGAAATTACAATTCAAATTGATATGACTATTATGGAAATCCCTCGGAATTCGAAGCCTTTTTCAGACGAAGTACATACTTAGGCCGTTTTTAGCATTGATTATTTCATACTTTTTGAAATATATTCATCCTAAACTCTCGGAAATACCAAGAAAATAAAATTTCCTCTCTTGCATTATTGCTGTCATTCAATGATGTTTTGAGTGATAGTTATAGTTGTTTTATTAAAAGTTCAAAAAATGCAATGAAAATGAAGTGGATAATGTCAGAGATGGACCGGATATTGTCTGTCTACGCTTTTTAGATCTTATAATTATCAAAGGTTGTTACTATGAATTTAAAAATAATGCTATCGTAACATCGAATCGAATCGAGAAATTTTAGCACTTAGTGATTAGAAATTTTAGTGATGAGTTAAACCTTTGATATTCCGTCAGACTCACTGCATTCTATTAAATTTCTCAAACCCCCAAATTCCCTTGGTTTTGATGCCCATTAAACTGCCATATTATTTTTCCACAACATTGCTGACTTCTTAAAATCTTTGTACTATCTTGTCTCCACCCAGGGCAGGTTGCATTCGGCTGCTTCAGATCAGTTCTACGTTCTATAATGAGAAAATGGGAATGGGAACTGCTAGGGTATGACGAGAGTTGAAAATATGTGCGAATAATAATGAAGATTTGTATAGCCGAATTTGATGAGGTCTTAATGAACGAATACTTAGAAAAGTTAAGTAATCTGAAAAGTTAATAAGTTAAGTAATCTGATTCTTCACGTTCGCTGGATTGGTTCTTTTACATTAAACATATGAGAATTGGCAAGAATTTAATCCAAGATGAATAATTTTATTTTGGGTGGTGATTTATTTCATTACAATTCGCCGAGTCGATTATGTACTCATCGCGTTATTCGTGTATTGCGGCAATATTGTTTCAACGATCGACCAGTTTATATCCAATTTCTTAGTGATCCGACCGTTAATTTCTCTCATAGTGCATTCAGCTGTGTTAATTACGAGGTATTTTTGATTACAAATTTGAAGCATCTAACAAGATTAAACTCAGCTTTTTCTTCGCATAGTTTTATATAGCCTTGAATTAATTAAGACAACATTCTGATTTTTATTCATAATTATCGCAGATTCATCTAAATTTAAGTACCGAACAAAAATCCAAACCTTTTTTCTTGTTCTCTTTCTTGTTATTCCAAATTTGATGAATCGTTCGTAATAGTCGGTTTTGCACATAGAAATATCTTGATGACGACCAGGTTGCACTGTACTTTTTGGCAAATTTCAGGATATGAATATAAATGCGGGTCTACCAATTTTCACAGTGCATGGAAATCATGATGCACCATTTGGCGGTGTAGGTTCTATATTGAAATATTAATGAGTATATGATCTAAATTAAATACATTTGTGAATATATATACAAATATAAATACATATTTGAAGGTTTTGAGAATTGAATTTTTAAAAATTTATTTCTTAAATTATTTGGAAATTTGCGAAAAATTTTTATTTAGGGATATACAGCCCTCGATACTTTACATGAGTGTGGTCTTATAAATTTGTTCGGACGATTTGACAGCATTGATAATTTTGAAGTTGTACCAATTTTGTTGCAGAAAGGAAAAACAAAATTAGCCCTCTATGGAATTGGACATCAGAGAGATGATCGGATCTGTCGCGCCTTTCGAGGTTATTATATGGTTTTCGATAAATTTCGAAGAAATATATCAAAATAAGATTAATTTAGTACAATTTGTCCATTTAAGATTATCATTAAATATATATAGAAGAAAAAATACGATTTTTACGTCCTCAAGAAGATACTGATTCTTGGTTCAATATTCTTGTTGTCCATCAGAATCGTCCTCGACGTTCTACCGATCGCAGTACTGGAGCTCATTTGCCAGAAAATCTTATACCGTCATTTTTTGATCTTGTTATTTGGGGTCATGAACACGAGTGTAAAATTGGTTAATTATTAAATTAAATTAAAATTATTTATTTAATTTTCGCTCCTAATTTGTGAATAAGTTCAATTTTCAAATATTTTTCGAAAATTGCCTTTCTTAAAGGTGATGGCATTAGTTTTTTTTTTAATCAACTTTTATTAAGTTTATCGTCGCGGAAATATATATTTGTAGGAATTTACTTTTTCTATTATATATATTTTATTCTATTTTATATATATAATATATCTACTGATATTTTTCAGAACCTCAATATTATGAAAATAATCCAGATATTCATGGTGATGGTTAGTTTTCTTAAATTTTTAATTAATTTTTAATTCTTAATTTTCCACATAATCGAAGTGTTATTAACCTTTTAACATCATTTACATTTTTTATTTTTATTTAAGTGATCATTTAAATGATATTTCAACATATTATAGGATTTTATATAATGCAGCCTGGTAGCACAATTGTAACTTCGTTATCACAAGAAGAATCTCGACCAAAACATGTCTTTGTTATTACCATCAACGAGCGAAGTTTTATTTCAACTCCGTTGCGATTGCAAACAGCTCGCCCATTTCTTTTCGATAATCTCATTATTGACCATATTCCTCCACAAGGATGTAGTAAACATCATCGTTTGGAAAGAAATATGCCGGTGGATTTTAAATGATTATGTTTAATCGTACATGTTCTTTCTCGTTTCATTGCTACCATTAAATCATAGAGGAAAAAACTTATAATTTTCTGGCATATTAAAGAATATTCCGTAAAATGGTAATGTGTTCTATAATTCTTACGGACATTTTTCAAACATGAACATTTTGGAATATATGAATATAAATTAATATAAATATTTATGTTTAATATTTAAATATTTATATTTATTAATTTATATTTATATTCATATTAATATAAAAGATAATATAAATATTTAATTTGAATAATTGACTTTGGTTTTTTCCTTTTTTTTTGTCTGATCTATGAAACCATTCGTAAATCATCAATGTCCACCACATAATTATCTAGCAATTGATTCCTTATTTCTAGTGCACTGGATTATTTTTATATATTTTTAGTTTTTAATTTCAATTTATTGGATCATTTATAGGATGAAAAGGCAGTAATTGAAAAAATAGAAAAGATGCTAAAGCAGCATGCGAGCAATGAGGAAAATCAGGAACTACTACCATTATTGCGACTTCGAGTGCATTATCCAGAATCTTGGGAAGATGTTAAAGTATTTTTGATTATCTTAGAATTATTGACTGTTAAATCAGAAGTGAAATTTTATTTGCCATGTTATTAATTTATAGAAATTGGATAATCGCAGTATATGGAATCATTTTACCAAATCTGTTGTCAATGTTTCTGATATGATCGTAATTAAGACGAGTTCGAAAGTGAAAGGAAAAAAACATAATGCAGAGTTGCTTAGACACATTGAGAAGGCCACGACTGTCGAAGAAATTGTGAGTCCATTGTCTTTTATCAGCTCGAATTCTGTTTATTTATTTTTTCATTTTTTACAGCTATTCTTAAATTATTAGTTGTAGATTGAGGGTCATTTTAATGATGTTAGCAAATCTTGTCGTCTTATGGTTTTGTCAAGCTCATTATTGAATGATCACATGAAACACCAAAATGAAAACGAGCATAAACGGAATGTTAAGCAAGATTTACTTGATTGCATTAGAGGAGAAAAAGAACGATTTGTAAACGCGTTATGCAAAGGATCTTATGGAATAGAAGATATGGATATTTCAGTGAGTTTCATTTTTTTATAAATTTATTTTTTATTCTTCACGTAAAAAAACTGAAAAACTGAAAACTGAAAATACTTTGCGAATAGTTACAAATAAGACATGTTATAAAGTTTTTTGAAAAACAAAATAAAGGAATGGTTTTTAAAAAGCCCTTTAACTGGCCATTTTTCAACCATTTCAACGAAAAGATATTTTCTGAAGAATCTGAATTTTTTTGTAGCTTGTCAAAAAAATTTGTTTATTCTAGGCAATTTTTATAGTATAATTTTTATAGTATAATTTTTATAGTATAACCTTGAAAAAATTTTAAAATCTACCAAACGGAGTTTATTACCTGTTATATTTCTACTTTTCAGGACAAAAAAAATTTGTACCATGAAATTGAAGAAAAATTAACTGCTGAAGTGGAGAAAGCTAGAGAGTTAAGATGATTATTTTGAGTGGAAATGTGAGACATATATAGGTCTACCTTTTACAAAAATGTTAAATTTTGAAATTTTTTTCGATTTGAATAAAATGCGTAATAGGCTCGATAAATGCCTGTTGCCATAGTTTTTTGTTTCCTTCGTTCACTTGTTAATAACTTTGCGATTTTATATTTTATAATGAATTGTTATCTGTTCGTTTAATTCCAGTAAAAAAAAATTTATAATTTGCTTTCAGTTTTTTCAATCGGTTTTGCAATATTTACTCTTTAATTGCCCAGGTGAGCGTATTCAGATACGGCTTTTAAATATTCCATATGGATATAATAAATGGATGTCAAATTTGGAAAATTAGGTGTTGTTAAACAATGGTCTGTGCAGTTGTATACTAGTTGCAGAATATTTTCAGCGATTATTTTAAAAATGCATGGCCACTGCAAGAACACTTCTTGTGCTTATCCATTTTTTTTCGTGCTAATCTGGTATTGGATTGTCAAATAACATCCTTTAAAATCTTTTTTAGCTCTCGTTTTTCGAAAAATATTTTGCAAGAATTAAATTTAGGAATGAAAAATCTGCAGATAATTTAATATACTAAAAAAGAAAGTAGATCCATCTTCCGGATTTGGCGCTATATTTTTTGTGGAATTGTCTTTATAGATCAAAGCCAATTGAATAAACAAATCGATAGTGTTCCAACTGTAGTCGCTCTCAGTCTAGTAGAAATTTCAGTTAATGGTTTCCTTGTTTAAATTCAGCGCAATTCTTTAACATGCATGCGGTTTTGCGAGTAATGTTTAAAAGAGGAAAAAGTATATGTGATGAATATACAATGGATTCCATCACTGAACGGGGAATGGAGTAGTTTTTGGTCACATCGTTCAAGGGATTTGAAGATTTTTCGATTTTTAGTGGTTTAGTGGGTATGTGTGCTGAAAAGTTGCGATGAATCGGATGGTTGTTTTACTAGCGACGGGAAGTGGTAAAGCTGGACTGGGTTCTGGTTTTCATTGTTAATTACATTCAAAAGCATTTCTTAAAATTAAGAAATATTTTTCATTTGCGTGTGAATCTCGAATCTCATTCAACCTCATTCATGATGATTCGTTAACGAATATAAAGAGAAAATTATGGACCGATCGACTTCGATTAAAGTATATTCAAGAGATATATTTTATTTTCGGATTGTAAGGTTTTCTTTGAATTTGATGCTTGAATAAATTTGAATATTTCATGAGGGTTACGCGGAGATGTGAACCATCGGTCTCTATCGCGTTTTGTTGCCTTAGTGGACGTGTCATTTACGTGTCTCATGCTCTGGCCTTTTTCATCTAAGACCAATAAATTTTTCTGATTTAGTCCATCAGATTTGATATATAACAATGGTTTTCGAATTCATGAATTTAAACTGGAGCATGAGATGGAGACAACTCGAAAGTTTTGATTCATGAAGCTCGAGTGGGATGATATGCATCCAAAAGATAACTATTAAATGATTCATAAACATAGATTGGTGCGGCAATTGGACCCGAATAGCGACCAGATAGAAAAATAAAACGACATAAAAATAAAACCACTGCGAACGTCGTCGTTTCTTCCCAACGTTCCCCAATTCCATCGCTCATCCCCTTCCCTCTTTCTTTCACTTTATCTCGCCCCACTCACTTCTCACTCCTCTCAGCAAATACCAAATGACCGGAAGAGGTAGCTGCTCGGGAGCTTAGGTAAAGTTTGGGATGGGCGGAGGTTTTTTTCCTTTCTTTAACTTCCGCTTTCACATTTATCAACTCCTATTCCTCCCAAATTCTTAACGCTCTTGCCGGGAGAAAAAAGGAATCTTACAAGCGTTGCTGATGGCCCACTCTAATTTATGGATGGATTCCTTCGCCATTCAGCAATAGAGGTACTACTCCACAACTATTAACTGAGCATCAAATGAAGACACGTTTGGAGGTGTCTTGTGTTCACTGCTAATACGACATAACGATCCTTTTAACTCATCATTTAGTCATAAACCCTTAATAGACAAAACGAATCGTTTCGAAGTGGAATTTCTAGCCAACGACATAGATCACTACCACCTTCTACGGATCATGGCCCCACTCAAGGGGACTTTGGGTGCATAAAACAATCGATAGATCACTACTGGATTGTGCATTTCAAATTCTTTTCTGCAACAATTAATAACTGAGTAACATCAGTTAACATCAATTAATAACTGAGAAATTTATTATGCGAAAGGTCTTAATGGGATGGCTCGAAATTTCTGCTAAAATTCCTATCCGAAATGAATTCTCCTACGAAGGAACTGAAATAATTGCAAACAATGAACAATGAATAAAAATACGTGCAGTTTGTTGATAGGTCGATTAACGTGCATGCACCAATGCCACTTGCAAATTTTTGCAGAATAAATTTCTGGGGGTTATCCTTTTACTGTAATAAATTATTTCTCTTTAAAAAGTGCTACGATGAAATTCGACTCACGTTTAATTTCCTTAAAAAATTAAACATTTGTAAACAATTTGGCAGATTCAAACAAATTTTCATATGAACTGAGATGGTTGTGATCCGTGGCCGTTGTTTCATTTTTACTTTAGTCACTAATTTTTAAGATTTAAGAAAATTGTTCAAAATGTAAAGCGAGTTAATAGCTTTTCTCTAGCTTCAGTTTTTTCTTTATATGTTCCACAAAAGTTCATTGTTTTCTTTAATAAACGTACCCGAATATGAAGAGAGACGACAAAGCCAATCGAAAAAAAACAATGAAAATCCGTGTGGCAGACATCGAGTCAACGTCCCATGCGTGAGCTGATCTACACGTTACGTTATGGCATTTAATGAACTAATATTATATTTTCTGGTTAATAAGCTTGACTTTTGCACATCACAGCCAATCAGCAATTTGCTTATTGCTACATTTTAATGTTTGATCCTTCGTTGTGTTTTCAGTTTAAACATGACTACTGTTATTTAAATGCCATAGTAACATCGCTGCAGCATTCGGTACAACTCTGGAAGGGAAACCTAAGAGCCAGAGACAGGCGAGTCAGGCCTCATTGCGACCCGGCTGTGTCGTATTATATGCTTAATTAATATTGTACTGTACTATTACTGCATATTTTCATCATATTCACGAGTTGCTTGAAATAAAATATTCTCTGACCACTCGACAACTCGGATATATTTTCTTCTTGGAAGGGATGAAGAAAAAGTTAAATCAGCACTGGAACCGCCGTTCGTAACTGTATTCCCAAGTGATTCCAAAGAGCAATATAAGTACAAGTAAGCAGAGAGTAGAACCGTACCCTCCTCTCTCATCGGCCATGCCTCGCAATCACATAGCAAGCTCAAACGAATCGCTGCTATAGATGTCTCCATTTTCAAGGCCATATCGCTCCAATAGCGACAGAGTCATCTAGAAGGGAAAGCTAGGATTAATATAATATTTGTAAAACAAAGATCTCCAGAAACAGAATTAGAAAATTATATAGCAACATCGAAGATTTATTAACATTGATATGAGGGATAAAAACGGTTCCGTTAGCGCTGAGCACCTCTATTAGAATTTGTGGCTCATTAAAGCTGAGATGTTCAATCCTCAAACGCCGTTCACCATTTCTGATTCGTTTGGTCTCACCGGTTATTGGAGCGAAACTATTTCGCCAGATGTCGTTTGGAAACAGAAGTGTGGGTGCCAATACCATTTGGACCCCATTAAAAGGTAGAAATTATACCTTGATGATGCCTTGATGATTTTAACAGAGGGATATTTAGGATAATTTTACCTGAATATTAAAACACAGTGAGAATGAACGGTTAAGATGTACTGCAAGTGGGTCTGACGAAGTTAGAGTGGTAAAAAAATGTGATGTAACCAATGGATTATGACAAAAGAGTGATTTCCAGATTGTTAAGGATCATTAATTAGGAGATTTGGGAAGGTTTTTCATGAAATTTGATAAATTTTGAGGGAAAACAGAAGGATTTCAACAAAATTCGTTATCAATTCCACTCAGCGTTTTAATGTTTTTTAAAATTTAATTTAATTCTTTAGTTAATTAGTAAATTAATTTGGGTCACTGGAAAAAATTCGGACAAATTCGTATAAATTTTTCATTTTAATAATTTCAAAAAAATTGAATAAATAAGACGCTTATTTAGATTAAAAGCAATAGTGGCTGGGGAAATTTCCCAGGACAAATGACTCTCTCGCAGAATTTCCCACTTAAACTGATAACCAGTGGAGCGAGTCTTATCAGAAACAACGCGCACTAATCACTTACATTTATCATGTACTTTTTAAAAGTGCAGAAATTAACCCATTCTCATCGTCAAAATTTTCATTCTAATTTCCCCTCCGAAAATAGTGAATAATTCCATTGTTTTCAATTAAATGCCGTTTGCTTTAATTTATCGAAATTCGTAGATTCTATAATTTGGTTGAGTTTCAAATTTGAAAAGATCGAAGGGAATCTCGAAACGATTGTTGTAAATCTGTCGAATCGCTTTTGGCTTCCTTGATGGAATGAGTTGGGGAATTGCGGTTAATTGGGGTTGCTTTTTGGGTGAGTTTGGGTCAGTCGGGCGGCGGCATTTGATCATTTTTCGCGGATTTTTATGATTGTTTTTGACCTGAATTTTTCCAGGTAAATTGGACAAATTGGTTTTGTCGGAAGTTTATCAATCGCTTATTTTATCGTATCGAAATTTTTTCAGAGCGGTCACAGCGAAATAAAAATGAATTGATAATCGATATAAATATCGATAAGAACTGATTGCCGTTATCAGTGAGTGGGAAGATTGGAGATTGAAACAGCTTTATGGCCGGATTAAATTTCTATTTCGATATTAGTTCCACTTTAATACTTTTTTAATATTTTTTTTTAAAATCCAGTTTAATTCTTTAGTTAATTTGATTAATTTGATTTATTTCTTTAGTAAATCAATTTGAGTAGTTGGAAAAACTCGGGCGAATTTGAGGTTATTTAACATAAAATTTTTTAGTTATTATTACAATTAATACTCAAGGATCGAATGAGTTGTCGAAAGCAGTTTTTCATAAATTTACAAAGGCAAACTGAGTCGATTAGTGCAAATAAGGATTTTACAAGAATCGTTGTTGCTGGAAATAAATGTTATCATTTATCTTTTTTTCCTAATATTTAGATCTCATCAATCCTTCCTTCGGTCATTAGCTTAATTTATCGCACATTTAATTCGTGATACATGATAACGATATTTTGTAATTTAATGTGATGGCAATACTGCTAATTCTTTATTGCATAAAAATTTCTGTAGTGAAATGAAAGAGATGTGTAATAATGCTAAGTAATTTATTGAAATGAATCAGCCGCTTGTGTTATACTTTTTTAGCACATGGTTTTTGCTTTGTTTGTTTCCATGTATTGGAAAAATATTTAAAATTTCAAATAGGGGATGTTTAGACAATTGTGTTACTGGAAAATTTTTGGAATGGCGAAAGGCAATTTTGAAAAAAGATAATTCTTCAAAATTATTAGCGCGATTTGTTTCGTCCTCATTGTTTTTTCTAAAAGCGCGCATCATCTCTGGTTAAATCATGCTTCTTGGTGGACCATATAAATTTTGTCAGGAGTCACTTGGTGATAGAAACACATGTGGGTCGCCAGTACTCCACTTATCTTTGAATTTTGCAAATTTACTCCTGGTTGGAGCAGAAACTCAGCATTTCTCTGCAAAATGGGTCAACAACTTATATGCCATTAAATTTTTCCTAATTTTTCTATTCATCTCATTAAATTAAATTAATTTAATAAATAAATTTAAAATTAAATTTGATTTAGTGTTGCGAATTTTTGCTTTCGAAAACGACAATCTTAATTATGCATTAGATCTGAAAGATAGGAGATCGCATTCTGAAATACCAAATTCGTCAACAAATTCATCACTTCATGTTGTATGGAGTCCCGTCATTGGTTTGTTCAATCTTTTTCATAATTCATTCATTTTATGAAAATTATTTACAAATTATTTATCCGTCCAGAGAGTTCATTCAGATTTAAATGGATAATTTAAAGACTTTATTTTAATATACTCTAGTCCTTATTCAGGGAAAGTATTCTTATTCCTTACTTTATTCTACAATTTTTTGACATCCTTCTGTATTGAAGATATTCATCTCATGTTTTTTGTCTGAAAATTGTTAAGAGCAATTTTAAACATTGTTCGAAGATTCGAAATTTTTGCCGATAAGGGGAGGAGCAGAATAAGATAATCTGGACGTCTATATGGTGACTTGATAATCTGGACGTCTATATGGTGCGTATGGCAAATGGACTAGCAGATTTTAGTTTTTTCGTAACCAAATTAATTGCTTTAAAAGAACGGTTATCTTGCCTATTCGCTAATTCTAGGCATTTTTCATGTCTTTGTCTTATCCTTCAATTTGTCTTTTTACGACAATACTTAACATGTCTACAAGTTCATCGATGGAGAAAATGTTTTTTTCCCTTCCATTTAATCCATAACCTTTTTGGATAAATATCGCATTAGAGAAATCTTCTTCTAACAGCTCTCACCATTACTAATTAGATTGGTTCCACTAGTTGCAAGGACAAGATATAAGATATAATTTCAAGATGCGCGATCTAATGCCATCGTCGACAGTGATGGAAGCCATTCCCTTTTCCATCATCTAGGTCCATATATCACTGGTCTCCATATACATTCAAATCTTAACTTGTACAGGTTTTGATTGGTCCACTTCGTTTCTATAACGAAATATGTGTTATCTTTTCTGGTGGGCGAAAAAGAATGTGCCCTAACCAGCCAAAATGGCGAACCGTATTGATGCGAACTTTCGTTTTTTATGGTGATTTTGCGGCGGCTCCATAAAAATTTCGTCAATCGGAGGAACGTATTTTTAGCGATGTTATACGGATTGTAATTTCCTCTTTTGCGTGATCATTCCATATTAGAGTGGACCCAAAGTATTTAAAATCCGATCTTCCTCAACCTTCAACAAGAGGCATTTTATCAGTTTCTTGCACATAAGACGAAAAAATTTTTGTTTTATTTCTTATTTAGCATTATTTGCATTTTGTTTTGGATACCTCTTGAGTGCCGACAAGCGGTGTCCATTATCCAGTCTATCGCATAATTGAATATTATAGAGGAAAGAACACATTCTTGATCGACACCAGTTCTTATTTCGAAGAAGTCCATCAGTTCCCCATATAAACACACCTGCACCGACATACGCTCATAAAATGCCTTTCATGAATGATCTTCTCTGGAACACCGTCCATCGTCCTCCAAAATGCTGTTTTAATATAGACGCGGTCTTTTGTTTTCTGTGGTGATTTCGCGACGGCTCTTAACCTAGGCCTGAATCCGGCTTGATTAGGGCGCAACTTGCTGTTCCCCAAATTTTTTAGCTTAAGATAGTTGGATAGTTGATAGTAATTAATGATGGCTTCGTTTCGTTTAAGATTTTTTGCTACATATTGTTGTAAATCATCCTAAAAACTGTATTTTCTCTGCATTTATGTCACGCAATAAATAGAAAAAGGATGCGAATTAAAAAACTTTTTCTCTCCAATAATATGAAGATCATACATTGTATTATTTTAATTTTAAAACAAATGTAAATGTATTGTGCCAGTTTCTTTATTAAACATATTAATTACTGGGATAAGGTACATTGCCTTTCCGTTTTTAATCTTTGATTTTCAAAGAAACTTAGCAGAGTGGACAATTACATTATTTCTATCCACGACTTATTGTTAGTGATGGGAATATTGTTAACATTAGGAATGATATTTATACTTGTTATTAAATGCTGTGATTTCTTTAACCTTTTATAATCGTACATTATTTTCCCCTTTTCATATTTACTTTAAGCACACTGCTTCATATTTCTTAGTAATTCTTTTAGACAAGGCTCCATCTTCATATATAGATGTATTATTTCTGCGGTCTTTTTGCAGTGGTATAAAATATTTATCGATGAAAAATGCAGATAATGCACTATATTCTCTCATTCAAAATCGATTTAAAAGTATTAAATAAATAAAAAGAGTATGAATCAATTATTTTGTCGATTGTCGAGAGCTTCGGAAATTTATAAAATTATTATTCCAAGGCAGCAATCAATTTTTAATAGCAATGTATTTAGACATGGACGATTGAAAATGCGAGTGAATTTTCAGGACAATTTAATAATTTAAAAACAACATATTTTTCGAAATATTAAAAATAAAAATATTAGAAACATTTTCTCAACAAATAAGCAATTCTTTTGCTTAATTCAAGCTTATTTCATCTGAAATTTTCTTTTATTGAATAAAATTTTTTTCGAAGATAGTCTTATTGCGACGGCAACTACGAGCGGATTGGTGGCATTGTGGAATACTGAAAAGGCTGCGTTAGGTTCAAATTATTTTTCCATTTTTAAAATTTTACTCATTTATTAATAAGAATAAAATAAATTAAGAGATCATTAGAAAAGAGAAGATTAAAGAAGAAAATGGTAGTCGAATGGAATACAGAATAGTAGGAATAATCAAACTAAAGTTTTAAAGTTACATTTTAGTTTTTTAGTTTGCTTTTTTTATTCGAATATCTTTCCTTCGATAGTTTGTTGAAAAATTTTCCTCCTGGATTTTTTTGAAAATTTTTCATTTTTCTTGCTATTTCTGCGAAAATCAATTTTAGAACATTTATATAAAACTCATTCTCGATCAGTTTCTAAAGTTTGTTTTCACCAATCTGATAAAAATTTGTTAATAAGCGGTTTAAAAGACGGATGTGTTGTTTTGTACGACTTGCGATTACCTAAGTTTACCGCGAAATTCATGTAAGTGGTTTTATTGAACATCAAATGAAATTGTTTTAGAGAAAAGAAAAAAACTTTTTATTACAAATTACAATAATTTTTTCAAATTTTCAGAAGTAAGTTCTCATCTGATCCAGTTCGTGATGTCCAGTTTGGATTACATACTGGTCAGACGGATGTGTTTGTTGTTGCAGATGATGGAGGTTCTATGCATTTTTGGGATCTTCGGCGTAGTGATCGGCCACTGCGTGAATTTGTTGCACATCATGGGCCGGCTAGTATTGCTCTAAATCCCAGTTATGAGGATCGGAATGTGCTCGCCACAGCCGGTCGAGATAAATTTATACGTGTATGTTGAATTTTTTTACAAAAATTATTTTTTAAATAGTCATGCTAATCATCTCTTCACTCCTCATTTTATTGGTTCAACTGGAAATTCCATTTTTAAAAAATTTTACTGCTAATCATCTCTTCACTCCTCATTTTATTGGTTCAACTGGAAATTCCATTTTTAAAAAATTTTCAATAGCGAATTGCAGGTTTGGAAGTGGTGCGATTGGCATGAAAGTAATCAGAGTTCTGCTATATATTCCGTTGAAACGACTACATCCGTTTCGCGAGTACGATGGAGGCCGTTGCAGAAATTCCATGTAAACTATTTTTATTTCACATACATGCGGGTATTTTGAATTTCGACTTCGTTTTCTGCATTTTTCATTTATTTTCATTGATGTTTTAGGTTACGAGTTGCTCATTTGTTAACGATACAAATATTCACATATGGGATATAAGAAGACCCTTCCTTCCGATTGGAAGTTTTGATATTCATAGAGAACTTTGCTGTGGTTCACTTTTTTATATCATATCGCGAATTATCAATATTTTTTTTGCGACAAGCATTTGTTATTTACAGATTTAATGTGGAAGCCTGATGACTCGAATGTGTTGATATCTGCTGTTAAAAATGGTTTCATTGGTTTGCACTTTTTTGAAAATGCTGACCGCCCGTTGAATCATGTGAATGATGTAGCTATTGACATTTCACCTTCGGGAGAAATCGCTATAGCTCTAAGCAGCCATTTAAAACAAAAAATTGAAGCCTTAGATGATATCAAGAAAATTCAGCGAGGGGAAGCGGTACCCAGAAGACGTCGTGTGTATGAACCTTTCCAGTCGTGGATTCCTAGTCATTTAGTTATTTGTGGCTCGAAAGGTTCATCTGCATCATTATATCCCAATCATTTTATTCAATTTGCTAACGGGTATGATCAGTTTATAATTAGGATTAAAGATCAAAAAAGATTATAAAATTTCAGCTATCTAGTTCACTTGTAGGAAAATGGTGTTCAGTATCAAACTTCTTTTCTATAAGCATAACAATTTTTGACCAATTTTTTCTTGAAAAAATTGTTGAAGAGAGTAATAAAACATACAGTTTCATATTTAGTGAGAAATTTGTTGTCAAATTATGGAATCTTTCAGCGAACAAATGAAAGCTTCCAAAGATTTTCTATTTAGTTACCAACTCTGTGGGAGTGATTTGCAAAAATTATGCATGCACAATGCGTTTATTGCAAAGGCAGTAAGTCGGAGGCGTTTGGCGTGTACTTGGCGTATGATTGGCCTTTTATGTTCTCTTTCTCCGTTTTTCGAAGTGAACGATTATAAAATACAATCTGATAATAGAAGGAGTAGCAATGAAGGTATAAATCACATTTTTCCTGCTTATATTCAATTCAGAATTTATTTCTTTTTTTTTAAAAAAAAGAGCATTCTTAAGAGTATAAGAGTATATCTGCAAATCTGCAAAAAACTTTGACTAGTTTTACTAGTTTTAATAATTCAAATCGTGTTTCTCGTTCAGCGTTTGTTTTTATGCTAATAGTCGAAGTTTTCTCAGATTAAAATAAAATCTTTAAAAAACGGAATGCAAAAGTTATTATTATTTTATTATTATTAGTATTATTTTTTCCTAGATGATGAAGATGCATCCAGTGTCGCGCGTTCACGTTTTTCATCAAATAAATCCTCTGGAGGGATTCACAATATAGAAAGTGAAGATTTCAACAATTTTTCTACTGTTTCGCCTGAGTTAGCAGGTACAGCAGATTTCTTTTTTGGCGAAGGTGAAGTAAATATGGATCGACTAGATTTTAAAAATTCGGAAATGAATTCTCCCAGGTAAATTGTCTTTATTTTTTTGAATTTGTATTAATTTGAATTTTTATTTTATATTTATATTTAAGCATTGAATTTGATTAATTAGTTTATTTTTGGCTGTTTTGTCCTAAAAGGTTGAAGGTTGAATTAAAGAAATTACACTGGTTCTGCTTTTCTTAAAATGGAGGCATTTACACCACGTCTTCGTGATGAATTTGATCTTTTCGATGAAATTCGTTCAAACAGCACAGAAGATGGATCGACAATTGCTGATGATTGCTCTAATGAATTAGGAGAGCGTTCATTTTTTTTAGGTAGATAAGTTTGTTTCGAATTACTGTTTGCCGTGTTCTTCAATTTTTTTTGTAATGAATTATAACGTTTAATTTTGCTTTCACTTCTTTTAATTTCTTCCTGGAATTAGTGCTATAAATCAAAAAAATATTACAGGTAAATTGTCGATTAAAAATGATGTGGTGTCCTTACCGATGTGGGATCCTTTACCTGTCATTCGTTCATTGTTCGAATATTATTCAGATTTGGTAGAGTTGATCTAATCCTGTGTGATTTATTGAAAAGAAATTTTTCAGTTGAGAAAAATTGTTGTAGGGAGATGTGCAGACATGCGTTTCGATGCTTCTTGTCCTTGGCAAAAGGACGGCAGAGTTTATAGATATTGCGTTACAAAAGCTTTGGTTTCTTGATTACATTGGTTAGTATTTTGTCGTTTGGTTTCTTATTTTAACCTTTCTTGCATTTTTTTTTTCCTGAATGAATATTTTTTTCTTTTTCATTTTGGTTATTGCCAGGTATGCTTGAACGTTTTGAACTGTGGACTGTATCTGCTGAAATAATTAAACTTTGTTGGATACCATCAGTTAACAATCTTAGTAACGAAGTATCTCTCTTTTGAATTTCAGCAAAAATATCTGACAATCCTCTCTTAATTCAATTGTTGCAATAATCTGATTTTATTACTTGGGATTAGATTTGTAAAATTTGCTAATTTTATTGCAGTTAATTTTTAAAATTAACTATATTATATTAGAATTTTGCAGAATTTTTTCTAGTATTATCATGATACCAAATTGCAAAAAAAAATATGAAAATACAATAATGAGAAAAAGAAGTGAAACCCATTATTATTCCAGAATACATTTGTTCGATTACTTTGCACTAACTGTCAAACGCCATCATTTAGTACTTTCAGTCAGTGTAAAAAATGTGATGCTAAATTCCAATTTATTTGCTCAGTTTGGTAAATTTCAAATTTTTTATTTTAATGTCTTTTTCTTTCCTGTCTTAAATTCTTTTCCGCTCGTGCAACTTTCATTCAAACAATAATATAGAATATTTTTTTTTTACTATTAAAAATAATTGCTTTGTTAAATAGTTGTCAGCCAGTTTGTGGTTTGTGGATGTGGTGTCGTGGATGTCGGCATGGTGGTCATCCGAATCATTTCTCTGAATGGTTTAGTACGAATGAATTATGTGCAACTGGATGTGGCCATCGCTGTAAATAATTTCGAAGAAATTATTGATCTTATCGTGCTATCATTAAATTTCGAAGTTCTCACTTTATTACGCAATATTTTTTAATTCTACTTTCGAATTATATTTGGAACCATGATCGTGGTTCGCTTTAACTTTATTCAGTAAAATATGCAATTAAAATATTTATTCCATTACGCATTATTTTTATGATTATTTGCTAAGGAATTTAAAATGGAAATTGTTTTTTGGCTTCGCGTTAATTGCATTGCTGATTCTCATTAGAAGTTATCGAGCTTCAATTTGAGATTTTAACAGTTTTAGTCAATTTGTTTTATATGTAATAAAATATATAAAATAATATATGATAAAATATTATAATTTAAATGAATAAATCATTTTCTTTCGATTCGCTTTACTTCTTTTTGTTTCATCGTTCTTTTATTATTTTTGATTAATAAACTTGCTTGTTTTCATCAACTTATTTTTGCTGCGTAGTTTGGTAAAATTTGTGGAAATTATATATATTTTTTTGTGAAAGGCGCATTCTTTTGTGTTTGTGGGTGAAAATAATTGTTCAGGTAAAATATCTACAAAAAATGCGAAAAAAGATGTGGTGGCATAAAATTGCGAGCAATTTTTTGCTGATATGATACATTGAATGGGCATAACGTTTTATCCAGTAATAGTGAAATATTTAGGAATGAATGCATCTGTTGATATTCATCGAATTTTTCGTATTTGGCGTAATTTTTTATTGAACAAAAGCAAACTGTATCATTTGGTACAGAAAAGTACTCGGCAAAAACCGTTAAGAAAAAGTGGATCGTTATTATTTGCGGGAGGAATGAGTCTCATTAAATCTTCAAAGATAGCGTTTTGTGAGGTAAAATTTTAATAGTTTTATATCTGATTATTTCAAGGATCGGTGGAAATTTGTTATCTTTTGCTCACTTAATCTATTGGTGGAGTAGTTTGTAAATGAATTTCTTCATAGATCACCATGTGACGTTTTCTCTTTTAATTTTAAAAAGATGAAAGAAATAAATCACCATTTGCCAAGGTTTTTCACTTAGGTTAACAAAATTTTTGTGAGCATTTGCGGATTTTTTTTTTTTTCTGAGATATCTGATTATCAGTTATAGGTTTCGCAGAACAGTGATAAAACGAATCTAAATCCGTGGTTAATCTCAGCTGAACTGGATGATATTTATAGAGTCGATAGTGGAAAATCTATTTTTAGTTCGTTTGTCTCATTTATTAAATGGATCGTTTGGGCACTTAGGGCGATTACTAGGTTGGCTTCAATTTTTTTATAATCCTCTTTCTTTGGTATAGGAAACCTAAATTTTAGGAAAAGTAATGTGTATTACTTTGTTCTTTCACTTTGTTTATATTTTTTCTCTCCATTAAAAATCTCTCATACTATTTAGGTAAGTCATCCTCAACATCAGGTTTTCTACCAGAGGGCTGGGAGTTTAGGGGTTTTGCGCAGTATCTTAACTGTTCCTAATAGTGCTCTCTTCTTTACAGTGATATCTGATATTGTTCCTGAAATCTGTTGGATTAAAAGCCACGGCTCCGAGTCCACTACAGACCAGTTGTACCTTATTTTTCATATCTTTTTTATTTCCGCCTTTTTCAGGATCTGGTATATTTCTAATTTCTCACATCCCTTTTTCCTTATTTTCCTACCACTTTCTATTGTTGTTCCGGTCACCAATTCTGGTTTCTTTTCAAAGGCCAGTATTTATTTCTTTATCTGGATCTGGAAGTAGCACAAAGTCTTGACGTTGTTTATTTTCAACGATTTCAACGATTTCATTTAGAATCTTTTCTCTCATTTTGAGAGAGTCTAACCCATATATTATGCTCTACTATTCGTTTTTTTTTTGATATGAAAGATCCTTGCTTCGATGCTTAGCACCTATTATTATGCTGCTATATTCAATGTTTTGGTTATCTTTGTTATCTTTTGGTCCTGTTTTTTTTAACCACTGCTAAAATTTCTCGTCAGCCATCTCATCCATCAATAGTTTTCTGTCTTTTGACTATATTGCTGAATGCTTCGGATCGTTCAGAATGTGGCATTAACTCATCGAGACTCACCCACATGGTAGCCTCAACTTCATGTGAACCTGCTGGACCACAGGCTTTGACTGTTAATTATGAGGTGGAAATAATTGTGCATGTAAGTGATTTCCTAATCTTCACATCGGCAACCCCCATGTCTTGCCCATGTCACTAATCTGATGATTGATAAGGCTTACATATTGACGGCCTGGATTTTCTTCTTTCCGATGAGCTGATTCTTCAGAGTATGTCTTATTCTTTGGTGGTACTTCGATGTTGCAATCGCAATCTTTCTTGTCTCCTTATCGTGGTTGCCATGTGATTGTGGGATAGCAAGATATTTATAGTTAGCTTGTATCTATAATCCTTTCTTTATTACCATCCGGCCACATTTCTCTAATCCGAATGATATCACAATGTCTTCATTGTAGATCCGAATTAGATGGATGAGCGAGTAAATATCTCGATGTAGAGAAAATAGAGGTAATCCTGCGGTAGTCTCGCTCTTGAATTTATATCCTTATCCATTTCTGGTGTTTATATGATTGAGGGGATTTAGACCTATGCAGAACAATAAGGGAGACAATGCATCGCCTTGGTATATGTTACACTTGATAACTATAAGCTGTTTTGAATTGATTTCAAATGTCATTTTTCACAGTCCCATTGAGTTCTCAGTGAACGTCTTTAGAGTCCTGATTTTGCATAGAGCCAGGCATTCATAGATTCACGTGTGGGGCATTGAGTCACAACCTTTCTTACAGTAACTCCACAAATTTCTTGCACAAATATGCACAAATTTATGTCTGTATTTCTTATGCCTTAAGTGACTACCTTATCTGTGAGCTGGTTTTGGAACCTCTGTTGTTGTTGTTATTCCCATTACCTTTTTAAACTTTATTCTTGTGCTGTCTCATATGCTCGTTAAGCTTGCTAGCTAATATGCCTGACACATTGAGGAGAGGCAGATTGTCGGCCAGTAAATAGATGGTAATCCCTTGTGAGAGTCTTTCATGATTAGTCTTTCACCTTCCTTCCTTGTGTTAACCAGTCTAGTCTGGGGAGACCCTACCACAAGCAGCTGGTTCATCTGTATTGCTAGGCGCTCACGAACTGTTAGCTTCTTTAGCCAGTAGGTATAAATCATGTCCAGACCATGTGCTATTTAGTTATTTTTGGACCACTTTTGGATGTCAGATTTTGCAGCCATTTTGCACTATGAATCTTCTTTTTCTACCATATATTCTTTCAGTACTATATAGTTTCTGTTGTTGGTGGCAGTGAAATTGAGAATACATCTTGGATGGTTCCTTGGAGAACAATCATTTGTCTTTTTCGTTCTTGCTTCTCTATTGTACCTCATTTAGTGGTCAATGCTATAAACCTTTAGCAGTCTCGAGGTGTAGCCAGACTGTTTTTTGTTCTTTACATTTTTCTGTAACTTGCTCTGGTCTTATTTTCCAGTCTATTTTACCATGGACGTATTATTCTTTTTTCATTTCATGCCCGCACCATTTCGAGAATTACAGTGGCTGTGGCGTACACCAATTCTGTTATAGTGGCAGTTAGAAATTGTTGCGAGAGCTCTATCTATCTGCATCTTCGATTATGTTATCTGGTGATGCATCACTGAGCCTTGTTAGTCGGTTTCAGTGATTAATTGCCGCCATTGATTTTCTTCTATGCTTTGCAACGGAAATATTGGAAAGCAATATATATATATATATATATATATATATATTATATATATAAGTTTTTATATGTTTCAATCAAATAATTCATTAGCCAGAGTGTGCAATTTTAATTTGTCATTTTAAGGACTATTTCTAATTTCCTGTTTGAGGATATACATGCTTTGCATTTTATTTTTTCCACTATTCTCTTCTTACCCATTCGTAAAACGATCTGAAAAGCTGTACACATGGTGGTGGCATGCATTGCTTTGGTCAGTTCAGAGGAGTGGACCGACCATTATAAAGCTTTGCCAGTGGGCAAGCACTAGACGCGATTTATTTTCGAAAGAATTTTGCGACAACGTTGGTTTTTCGTTTATTTTTTTCCTTTTTTGTGCAGAATTTTTAATGTTTTTGCCACAAAATTATTAGCGAAATGGACCTCACGTTAAACCATTATAAAATCCTTTTGCCAGAAAATCGCTTGGCAACAGCCACAGATGATTCACCATCTCAGGGAGTCGGTATCTCTTGACTATTTATATTTAGATTAGCCATATAGAAAATTCTCTAAAACAATTTTTTAACTGATTACTGATTTATTAAATTATAAATTTGAATAAATTGTAATTAAATTATAAATTTAAATTTATTTCAGATGGCTTCTCTTCATATAAAGACTACACATTCTCAATGGAAGTTTTCAAAAAATATGTTGAACGAACTTTTTGGCAGCAGTGTTTGGGAATCATTTCTTTTGTCGATAGAAAAGGATCCCATCGGATCTGGTTGTGTAGCACAGGTAAATAAAATTTTTTTTTCAATTATTATAGTAAACTTTTTATAATATTCTTTATTCTTTATTTTTATATTCTTTCAGGTGTATTTTAAGAAGAATATTCTTTCAGGTTTATAAAGCCAAATTGGATCTTTTGACTTTGAAAAAAAAAACAGGTGTAAATTTACTCGAAACGAATAAGGAGCGTTTTATTGATGTCGCCATAAAAGTGTTTATTTAATATATAATTAATTTTTTAAGAAAGAAAGAGATTTAAGAAAGAGATGAGATTGGCAAGAGTAGTTTAAATGTTTGGCTGCAAAAAATTCTGCTTTATGTTTTATAGGTAGCGAAACCTGGAATCCGTGACCAAATTGAATTTGATCTCTCAATTTTACGAGTTATTGCTCATATTGCCGAAAAATTCATACCTTGTCTTGTTTTCTTGAATCCTGTGTTATGTCTTGGCCAATTCGAAACGGTTTTAAAACGGCAAATTGACTTGAGGAATGAAGCAAAAGCATTAGATGTAGTTTTTATCTAATTGTTTGTATTAATTTTTTATCTTCTATTATTCAATTTTTCAGTCTTGTGGCTTTCTCAAATGTCTATTACAATAGTGGTGATTTTGTTTTTAAAAAGTTCAGAATATTTGCAAAGGCCTTAAATTTTTTCGAGCCAAATAAAAATTTTAGCGCTTTTCGAACAATTTCGACTTAAAAACAACAGGAGTCTGTTTCCCATCTGCTCTGCTTTATAGTAGAAACGTAATTATCGAAACTTTTGAAGAAGGGATATACATCAATCATCTAGTCACTGAACAGCATCAGGTTATTAAAAATGCTTTATTTGTCATTTCTGTTAATATAATTGAAAGTAACATTTGATTGATTGATTGATTAATTAATTGACAGTACCATCACTTTTCCGACTTCTTGCGACCAGGTAGATAGATGATCTCCAAGACAGTCCACCTTGATCTTTCAGAACTGTCAGTTATGCGCTCACTTGAAATTGGATCTATCCATAGTATTGTAGGTCATCCTCTTTTTTCTTTTCTTGTGCTATTCCCAGCAATAATTTAATAATATGCACAAAGAATGTATGATTTTAGCGTGGTAATTTGCTTTTCGGCCTGACTTGTTCGATAATCCAGCGGTTTGCTTTCTTGGATTTTCTCAGACCACAGTATTCTCAGGAGTCTTCTCGAATATCAAAGCTCAAATACATTGATACTCTTTTTATCCTGCTTCTTTGAAGTCCAAGCCTCATACCCATAGCGAGTCATCGCGAGTAGCATGTCTTGCAGTTCTAGGCTTTTTAGACATAATCATACCACAGCATTTGAATATCTTTCCAAGACATTTGTGAGTGCTTCCCAGAGTTGGTCTACGGCATATTTCTCATCTACTTGTATTTATTGAAAGTTTATTCTAAAAAAAGTCTACCATTTCAGAGTTTTAATTCTTAAAGCTGGTTGTGTTTGTTACCTTTTGCCATTAGTTTAGTCTTCTCTACATTTAGCTTTAGATTTGGCTTACAGCTTTTCCACAGTGCTCTCTGACTTTTAAAATTAAAATTGAATCTTGGAGATCCTTTATATTCTCAACGATCGCGATTATCAGCATAACGCATATTATTGATATTTCTTCCTCCAAATTTTAAATGTTCATCTTGCAAACCAGCATCTTTTAATTTGTTCCTTATATAAGTTGAATAAATAAGAGGAGAATATCCACTTTTATCAGCTTGAACCCAGTCTGTTAGACCATATTCTGTCCTGTACTGTAGCTTATATATAAGTTTATAATAAGAATAACAAGGAGAATCCCATTTTCAAAACACATTCCATAGCTTGAGATGATTAATAGATGAGATGATTAAGCAATCATAGGCTTTCCTATAATCGATAAACGATTTATTAAAAATTATTATCTGCAACGAATGAAAATTAATTGAATGATTTTTTCATTGATTCAATCAATGATAATATCATGAAAATAAAAAATACTAGGACGAGAATTATTATTCGAAAAAAAATTGCCAGTAAATGATTTGCAATTAATGAAGCATCATATGTTGGCTTCTTTTTGGTTATTCTTTATTAATTATTATTCTTTATTAATTATTCAGCGTATATCAAGCAATGATGTTTCGTGTTCCTCGGCATTTTCTAAAATTAGTTGAGGGTCTGATTTGTTTTTTTCCAGTCTGCGTTGGATGATCCTAAACAAGACTGTTTTGTTTACCTGTTCTATTTTCAATAATTTGATGCATGGAATTTTTCTTGTATTTTTGAAGTACCTCCAATATTTTTATAGATTCCCAGTTCTTTCGTACCAGCCATAAGAAAACGTGTTGCTTTAACAGGAATTCGCGCGCTTTTAAAAATGATTTTTGTTGATAATTTTGTCCATGGTGATCTTCATCCTGGTAACATTCTTGTTCGGTCAGTATTTGTTCGCTAAGCAAAGATGTGCTGGCTGATGTGCTGGTGCTTTTAATAAATATTAAAATTTTAAATTATCGCCATCGCAGTTAGCAGGAAATATTGTAGTTGAAGAAGATTTTGTAAAATTGGTAAGATTTATTTCCATTTTTTAGGTTTGGTGATAGAATCGATGAACTCGAAAAGATGTCGTATTTTAAAACATTTCTCAGTTGGACGGTAATCTTTTGGAATTTTATTTCTCTTTAATCTCTGTTTGTCTTCTAAAGTTAAAGCGTGTCACACAAAATAAACTAAAAAACTAAACTAAAAAAATGAACATTTATTATTATATTAAAATCATTTCTTATTTATTGACATCTATTTATTGAATAACTAAGCAGACAAATGGAGGGAATGAATTCACTACAAGTAATTTTTTCAGATCGAGTTCATACGAGAAAACTTTGGCTTTATGCACCAACCTGCTATACGTCTTTTTAAAATTGAAAAGTATAGCAATGAGCCTACTTTGGTAGTACTAGATCCTGGAATCGCCATAGAGCAAGCTCCTAAAAATCTTCACAACCTACGAGCTTTATTTAGAGCGGTTATAGAAAAACGCGTAAGTTTTTTCAATTCTCTTAGTATTTTGATTATCTATTTACAGTTTATTTTCAGGGAAAAGATGTTGGTGAACTTTTACTGAGTCAAGCACCACAGCAAGATTGTTTAGATCCTATTCTCTTTTGTTCTGAAGTTGATGATCTTGTTCAGCGTGCTCGTTCAATAAATAGTTTAAAAAAGGTTTGTTTTCGATTTATTTTCATATTCTCATGCATTTCGGATTTTGGTTTATATGGTTATCGCTTAACTTATTTTAGTTAATTGTAAATAGAATTGGCATCTTTATTTATTAATAGTGAATAATCAAAATCGAAATTCGATTATTTAATAATACTTCTTTTTATATTCAGTTTTGGTCACGTTTCAAATTGTTAATTGTAATATAATAATATAAAATCAATGTTAAGTCAATTTTAAAAATCAGTTTCAAAAGTTGCTTTTTTATTTTTTTTCCTTTCGAGTCAGTTTTTATTTTAGTTTAATATTTCCGAATTACTCAATGAACTATTTTCAATTGTCAGTCGACATCATGTATATTTGGATACATCATTCACAACTGTTATTCTTGCAGTTATGGTGCTAGAAGGATTTGGTCGATCGCTTGATCCTGAGCTTGATCTATTTAAATGTGCTAGGCCATATTTACTTTCTGTTGCTCATTGATTAGCATCCAGAATTCTTATAATGGGAAGATGTTTGGAACTTTGAGAAAACCATTGAGTCAATTGTGTTATCTTTTTTTTTTCATTAAAAATGAATTCTTGGTTTATTTTTAATGATTCAATAATTTAAAAGCGAGGTAATTATGGTATGAGGCATTAAAAAATGCTTCTTTTTTCCTAGATCTCTGGTTGATTTTTGGTTAATTTCATTTTAGATCGCTTTTGTTCGGTGATTTGTTATTTGTTGATACGCTTTACTTCATTTATTAAAAAAAATAATTTTTTTTTAAAAATTAAAAATTGTCTTCCCAGCTGATTTGAATAAAATTTTTTTTCTCATTTCGATTTTTCTTAATTTCGAGTTTGTTTCCTCAAGGTGCAATGAAATATATCCAATCAATGGGTTCCTAAAAAATGGGACTAAAAATTGTTTCGAAGTGACAAGGATCTCACCGTGTAATATCACTAAAAGAAGAGATATTTGTAGTCAATTATTTTTCTGTAGTATAGAAATTAGTTAGTCACTTGACGAAGATCAAAAGACTGGTTTTCTCATTAAAGTTTATTAATGTTTCCTAAAGATATGAACCGATTTTAGCAATGTGTTTTTAAGCGGTTTTAGAGAGATATTTTGAAAAAAATAGACGGATAAGGAACGGATAAACGACTTTAAAATCCTTTTTATATACTTTTTACTTTAAAATCGGAGTATTTCCATTCCTTGGTTATTTGTGATCGACTGCAGTCATTCACATATGTATGTACACACATATATCGAATATATTTAAATATGATGAAATTTGCATAGAAGTTGTTTGATGAATTATCGCTTACTGAAGGCAACAAATTTCTTTAAATGAACGCAACGTTGAAAAAATTGGACTCGTTGATTCGTTCAGCGGAAAAGGATGATGTTTTACTTTACATAACTGCATTTCTTGGAGTGGTGACGCCTGGTTTGGTTTATATCTCCTATCGATTTGTGCATCAGTTCTACGCAAATTGTGCCAAGGTTGGCTTCGCTCTTACGAATATTTTCTGTTTGGTCTCTACAGTAATGAGTTATTGGCTAAAAGAATCGTCCTGTTGGTGGACTGGTAGAGCCCTATTTGGCTTCCGATATATCTTTTGACTCCTCTCAAAATCCCATCATCCGCGCTCTTCTCTTAGCACCTCCGTCGCATTCCTCAGTTCACTCTGCTTATTTGATACTCCTATCCCACTTACCCATAGTTACTGCTGTATTTTATCGCCAATGTGTAATTTGTTGATGTGGAGGCGCAAAAACGAGGTTTGATGTTTAAAAGAAGGTAATGGAGATGGATGCTGTTTAGGTGTTGCAGCTGGATCTGAAGGGACTTAATGAGGTGTGGTGGGATATTTGATGACGCTTTCCTTTTTTAAACTTGAAAATATTTTTTGAAGAAGCGTGAGGCTGAAAAACTTGTTGAGCGTCGAATTCAGTCGGAAGTTTCGATCTTTCATGCGTCAGAAGACAATTATACTGAAGAACTGGCAAATACTGTCGCTGAACGGGTAGGCTATGATTCAGCACCGGTGATTGATTTAGCTGCAATCAGTCCATCAGTATTTTCTAATTTCATGGTCAGCACTTTGTTCTTCCTTATAGTGCAGTTTGTGTAACGATAAGGGCATTATTTCTACACTTTTTTGTCATTTCCACAGGAAATCCATAGAAAATTAACATAGTGAAGAATTGCAACTATTAATATTGTCCTTTAATATCGTAACTTTTATACGATAATCAATTTTTTTAAAAATTATTTTGATCTAAATAAAGGTAAGGAATGATTTAAATTTGCAAAAATAAAATATTTTTTGAATTTTTGGTTGATTTTAAAAATATTCCAACATAACTTACCTCACCCTTCACCCTTCACCCTTTTTAGGAAAATTGGAAATTTGGTAGCATATGATGTTATATTATTAACTTTGTCCACATGATTTTGTAATTTTGGTATGTTCTTATGTTCTTATTAAATGTAATCGAATACTGTTAAAGAAAATCCATTTTTTATTTTCTCTTTCCTTAAATTTTTTCTAAATCTTATTTTATTTTGTGATGTCATCATTTTTAAGGGTATTGGTGTTTTTTTGATACAAAGTACGAAGCAAGGTCACGAACCAGAATGTGCTGAATGGTTTTTCGACTGGCTGGAAGATATGTCGAGTCGAAAGAAAAAATTGAAGGAATTACCTTGCCAACGAATGCATTATGCAATTTTGGGTATCGGTGATTCGAAATATAGCAAGACCCGATTCAATCGTGTAAGAAAATTCATGTAGCGTGTCGCACGCAGTATTGCATGAACCTATTATTCGTTGTAAGAATTTTAGTTTTTTTGTGACCGTAAATAATCTATTTCATTTCGAATGATTGTTTGCTAAATCCTAGTTTAAGATTATCTTTATCTTTTGTTTATTGATTATCTTTTGTTTTTTTTCTTGAATCATGATTCAGATATATTAAAGGATAAAAACGACCTATCTTCTTTTTCAAGAAGTGTTAGCGAAAATCTTAAATAAGCAACTTTTGTATAAATCACATTAAAATATTTTATAAAATATAATCTTATTCTTCGAATTTCAGCAGTCGTTTTTTGTTTATTAGTTTATTAATCTGATACTGAATATTCATAGAATGCATGGAATATTTTTATTTTCATAACTACATTTTTCTTTAGGTGCTTTTTCTAATTTGTTTATTTTCGTTTTTAATTTTCTTTTTTTTTTCATTCACATTCATTTAGGCAGCGATAATTCTTTCAAGGCGCTTGAACGCGATTGGCGCATCTCAAATTTGCAAATTAACACTAGCGGATAAGAATGCCAAAAAAAGTTGTTCAGTTTCAGTTTTTTAAATATATTTTTATTTTCGATCCTTATGAAATTTGGCGTTGTATGAAATATTTTATAATATTTATTAAAATTTTCAATATGGCATGCTCGATATATAAAGTGTTTGTGCTAAGTAGTTGGCATAGTTCGGCTGACCAAAAATAGCGAACACTAATCACATTTTTTGCTGTATTCCTTCCTTTGATAATAACTGGCATGGCGATTTGTCTGCCTTTAGTCCGTTGAAGGAACAACGATATATATTGTTAGAAAAATATTATATATTATATTGTTATTGTTATATATATTATATTGTTATTATTGTACTGTTGAGTCGGCGGTTGTCGAGACTTAGGTTCGAATCCGCGGATGCACCACGATCCATCAGGCTGAAGTGTCACCTAATGGAAAAAAGTAGGATGGCTTAATGGGTATTGCTCAGTTTGGAGCGGCGATTCTGAAATTCTGCCCTGAGCAGGAGTGGACCTATCCAAAAATCCAGGTGGCGTTGGCGACTCAGCTATACTTCTATCGCCAAGGGACTTTCTGGTTTGTCTAGTGCGACAAATCGAGAAGCGAGTTTAACCAGTAATAGTGAATGCTTTTAAAAAAGAAATATAAAATATTATTTAAGGTATTGAAGAACAGATTGATAATTGGGCTGATCTGATACTTGAATCAATTGATATTTTTATTGACAAACAGGAACGCAGTTCATCATCGGCAGATTCGAATGGTTCATCATCATCTACAAATAGTTTGGAATTATTATATTCTGTGTTCGAAGAAGGTTGTAGCCACAGGTTCTGTTTACCTTATTTCGTGAACCAAAATCCAGAATCTTTTTATTCAAACGTGGACATTGGTTGAGTATTTGGTTGCTATAATTTGAAAAAATCCCAATTAGTTATTCAGTGCTGATGTCGTATATTAGTTCTAGACGTATAAGGTCATTCTTAATTTGGATACATTCTAGATTTTCATGAGTGCAATGCGTTCCTAACCTGATCTTCAACTCAAAATTAAGTGCCATGCTACCACTGATTCCTACGCAAGGCTGCATCGTCTTATGCCAAAAATTTCAATAAAATTTCAATTTCAATGAATTTTTCAATAAATTATGAAGTGGTATTTTTTCAGTAATCGAATAGAAAAATATATTAATCGGGATAACCAGTTAGAAACATTTGAAGAATATGAAAATAGTGGAAGTGGCGAATCGGATGCTTCGTTTGATTGACTCTTTTAAATTCGATATAACCACAAGTAAAAACGAGCTTAAGGATCGGCAAATAAGGTTACATAGGACCATATTTTTGTTGTTAAATCTGCCTGTGAATTTAATATTTGGTTCTATCATCTAAACGACTATTGAAAAAAGATATTTTCTAAAAATTTTTGTTTTTCACCGAAAAAGATTTTCTTTGTTCTCTTCATTTTTATCTTTCTTGTTGTTTGTGGGAAAATATTCGTATTTGCTGTTTATATAATTGAATTATTTCGTTATTATCTCGCAATATTTTGATGGTAATTCGTATCATTTATCGTTGTCAATATTCCATTACTTATCGTTATCGTTAAAAAAGAATTTGAAGAGATAGCATATTTATACATATAAATAATTCTTTTTAGTTGAAAGAAATGAAATTGAATGAAAAATGGGGAAAGTTGTCAAATCGAATGATTCTTGATGTAGAATCACGTTCAATAAGAGATGTAAAACTTCCTTCTTCTTTATTTCATCTTTCATTCATTCGTTTACTCGTTTTAAAGGCTTAAAGAGTTGGATTTATCCGTTCCTTTTTTCTAATTTTACCTTAATTTACTCAATTTTATTTAAGCATTACAACATTATAGATAGGAATCAATCCACAAAATTCGAGTCGAAGTGGGAGCAGATTGACCATTTCTTGGGAAATTCGCGAATTCGAAAGATGGGTATTCGCACAATTTTTAGGTTCTTATGAGCTGGGAGGGAATGTAACCTCATATCACTTTGTCTTGGATTTGCGTCCACGGCGTTGCGCCAATTAATTCCTCTTTTGTTGACCGATTTTCCTTTCTTATGTTATTTTCTGCGGATTTTACCTCCTCCCAGATGATGTACTCACCTAAAAATTTATAGCACCTCCACTTCAAGCACCATTGGTGACATCTCGGATGACTTGGCTTCCTTCGTATCGATGCTTTAATTTTGGTCCGATCTGATGTTTAGTAAAATCGACAGATTTTATAGTCAATAGATGTAGGTAGTAGGTTCTGCGAAGGGACGTAATGGGCTGGGTGTTGGGAATGGTTTGTCATTAATGGCCCTACTGGCCGCTTATCCCGAAATTTGTCTGCGGGACGATAGGACGTTTGAAGTAGAATTTTTCGGCAGCCGCTTTGAGGTCATTGCAGCAGATGCGGCGCGTCTGATGATACGCGTTTTGCTCTGTTTTGCCTGTTTTTGCCTTGTGGTTTTGGTCGCGTTGTCCTCTGTGGTTTTTTGGTTTATTCTTTGGGGTTCTTCCTCGTGCTGTTGGAGGTTCTTCCAGGGGCGTGCTTTATGCAGCGACAGCAGTTGTTGGTCGATATATTGGCCGCTTTTTTCGGAGGTGGCCTCTCCGTGTTTTTGTTTTACTTAGTCCTCGGTGAAGTTCATCTGCTTGCTGTTCGAAAGTGCGTTGGTTCGAATCTGCTTTTCGGCCATTCTCACACGATTTTATTCTTTTTCTTTTTTCTTGCGCTTTGATTTAATTACTTCATTGTTAAAAATTTGTCATATCATTGTAAAATTTATTCTAAATTTTTTTCATAACTTTTGTTTTTTCAAAATATCATTTCCTTTATTAACGATGAAAATGCAAATTTCTACGATTGTTGAGTTTTTGAGTTTGCAAGAGAAATTTAATATTTACTAACTGTTGGACAGTTTTTTTAATACTACACATTTTGCAATACAACAATAATTTTCTCTTCACCTCTCTTTGTTTTTGTGAATTTTCGTTTTGCTTGACGTGTTCGCTCGTTTTCTCACAGAAAAAGACATCTTTTATTTCTTTCACATTATTCTCATACAAATCTTTCATATTCCCTTATATTCTCACGGATGTTACTTATCGCCACTGCAGTTGGGGTTTATCTTCTCACTTTTTTTATTGTAAATTTTTTTGTTGTAATATTGTAAATTAACTAACAAAAATAAAATTTTCAGCTATTGTTCAACATATTTTTTATCAATTTCGTTAGATTACAAACCTGGCAATAAGTAAGGAAGAAAAGAAAACATGGCCACGCCGTTACCAATTAAATTTCAAGAACACATCTCGGTACGTTTCTTTCTTCAAGTTTTTATTATGCTAAATCATGAATAGGATTTGTTTCAGGTTATAGAAAATAATTAGATAAATTAATTATGGTGATATTTATAGTTGCAAAATTTGGGTATAAATGCAGCAAATATCGGATTTGCGACTTTAACAATGGAATCGGACAAATTTATTGTTGTTCGTGAAAAAATTGGCGATTCATCACAAGTTGTTATTATCGATTTAAACGATATCAGCAATCCTCTTCGACGACCAATAACTGCCGATTCGGTGATTATGAATCCGGCAACGAAAGTTTTGGCACTTAAATGTTGGTTTTAAATTGGTTTTTATTAATTCGTGCATTTAAGGCAAAGAGCAATTACCATGGAAGAAAAAAAATTTTTTTAGCAAATAAAACTCTTCAAATTTTCAATATTGAACTAAAATCGAAGATGAAAGCATATAATATGCCAGAAGAAGTAACATTTTGGAAGTGGGTAAATATGAATACTATCGCAATTGTTTCAGAGACATCAGTTTATCATTGGTCGCTTCAGGGTTTGCTTTCTTTTTCATCTAGTTTTTTTATTTCGTGATTATTTTTCTACTTTCAGTTGAATTGTTTTTGGTTCCCTTATTTTATTGATAAATTTGCAAATAAATTTTCGCGAAATCAGAATTAAAACTATTCAAAAATAACTTATTATTTTTGTTTAGGAGATAGCATCCCAGTAAAAACATTTGAACGACATGCGACCCTGAACGGTTTTCAAATAATAAATTATCGCGCTGATTTTGATTGCAAATGGCTCTTGCTTATCGGGATTGCAGCTAGGGTTTCTATTTATCTTCCTTTTATTCCTTTTATTAGGCAAGAAAATTGCTAGGTGTTGTGTTAAATTGAGATATTTTAATATGTATATGCATGATTGCAGTTTTAACTTTAATTTAATTTAACTATATAGGATAATCGCGTAGTGGGAGCAATGCAGCTATATAGTACAGAGCGGAAAGTGTCGCAACCAATTGAAGGTCATGCTGCTTGTTTTGTTCCTTTTAAAATGGAAGGTAATCCCAATCCAAGCAACCTTTTCTGCTTTTCTGTTCGGACAACACAAGGTGGAAAGGTGGTATAAAACAATTTTTTAAATATTTATGATATCTTTTTTGAATGTCTCAGTTTTACTAATTTACTATTATTCTGTTTTTTTTTTAAATGCTTACCTGAAAGTTCAATTTATTTTTAACGACGATTTAGCTGCATATAATCGAAGTGGGAACCACCACAACACAAAATAAACCATTTCAAAAAAAACAGGTTGATGTATATTATCCTGCTGAAGCAGCTTCTGATTTCCCAGTTGCTATGCAAGTACGCTTTTTTATGTAAACGAAGTGGTTTGCATCTAGATGTCATGGTGCATTTATTTGTTTATTTTAGTTTGTAGTCATTGTATATTTAAACGGTTGGCAATTGTTTAATTCAATCTCGATTTTCTAACTATTATTTTCCATTGAAAAATTTTGGTATTTTTTTTATGAATTTGGAATGTTGTTAAAATTTCACTTATATTAAAAAATTTCAGGCTTCATCTAAACAAGGTATCGTCTATTTAGTGACAAAGTACGGTTACGTCCATCTTTACGATATTGAAACTGCTGTATGTATTTACATGAATCGAATTTCATCGGAAACAATTTTTGTCACGGCTGAATATACAATTACTGAAGGCATTATCGGAGTGAATCGTAAAGGACAAGTTAGTTTATGTTTTGTAACTACTTTAAAAAGGGAATGCTAGAGGAATTTTATTTGGGAAATAGTTATTTCATTTCATACTTTTTTGGGAAAAAAATACTTTTTCAACCTTTAATGGAATTTTTTAGCATATCACTTTTATTAATTCATTTGTATCAATCGTATAAATATTAGTTGAAATATTTTCGGTATGATATTTAAGGTGTTATCAGTAAGTATTGATGAAAACAATATGATACCATATGTTACCCAGACTTTACAAAATCCTGAATTGGCGCTTAAATTGGCTATAAGATGTGATTTACCTGGTGCAGAAGAACTTTTTGTGCGGAAATTCAATTTGTTATTCGCAAATGGCAATTACTCTGAAGCGGCCAAAGTTGCTGCCACTGCTCCTCGTGTAATTTTTATTTTCTTTCAAATTTTCTTTGAGGAAAGAAAATTTTTGTGGTTTCTTTATCATTTTGTTGCATTTTTTTATCTTTTTATCTTTAATGTGATCTTAATGTTTCGTTTTTTAAAGGGTATCTTGCGTACTCCTCAGACTATCCAGAAATTCCAGCAGTGTCCTGCTACTGCAAGTGGTGGTCCGAGTCCACTTCTTCAATATTTCGGTATATTACTCGATCAAGGACAGCTTAATAAATACGAAACATTGGAATTGTGTAAACCAGTCGTCGCCCAAGTATTTTTAATGAATCTAGTTTATCACTGCATATAAAATTTGGGTGTTTTTCGGTTATATGGCTCTGGAAATATGTGGAAATGTTTTTGCGTGATCCGATAATCCTTTCATCTTTACTATCTGCCGACATTCTTTTTTTTGTTACCAATAATTTTTGTAAATGATCTAAAAAATCCAAAAGTTTTATTTTACCACCTTGCTCTTTCATTTTCAATAATTTATTATATTTTTCTACATTAATTAAGAACTATTATGTTTTTCCGTTTTTATACCGTTATTCTGTTCCTTTTATTACTGTTTTTAGCAGTAATAAATATTATATTTTTTTCCTTACCAGTCGGAATGAGCAAAAATGATGAAAAGTTATAACGTGCATAAGCGTTCCACACTGCTACTGCTAACATCTGGTCACTTATATCATTTTCCTTGATAGAGTTCGAGAAATTATGATAATTTTTTTGTATTCACATTAAAAAAATTTTTCAGGGCAGGAAGCAGCTATTGGAAAAATGGTTAACAGAGGGTAAACTGGATTGCAGCGAAGAGCTAGGTGATCTTATTAAACCTCATGATGTTAATATTGCTCTTTCAGTTTATTTACGTGGTAATGTGCCTCACAAGGTAATTTTCTAAACTTAGATTATGCAGATATTTAGGCACAGTCGTTCTTCATTTTCCTATATTATTATTTCTTTTTTTCAGCTATATTTTTCAACTTTTAAAATTAATTTTGGCATATGAAAATTAAAAGTTTGTCGCTAAAGGAGATATCTCGTTTCGTTTCTTTTAAACATTTTGGTTATTTTATTAATTAAAATGTTAAACATTCAATTATTAAACAAGATATTTGTCGCTTTTGCTTTTGCTTGGGTTTATTGCTAAGGTGTATAGAAATAAAAAGATTATTGATATTAAGATTATTGATATTCTTTTAATAAAACTTTCTATATTTATGCTGTTTTTAGGTCATACATTTAGGTGAGTTTATAGGTAGTTCAGTGTTTCGCCGAAACTGGTCAATTTGAGAAAATTATTTTATATGCAAAGAAAGTTAATTTTGAACCAGATTATTTATTTCAATTGCGCCAAATCTTGCGATCAAATCCAGATGTTGGAGCTAAATTTGCACAGATGTTAGTTACCGAAGGTGGTGATGAACCTCTTGCTGATATCAATCAGGTTGTTTCCTTTTTTATTTCAAAGAATTTTATCCACCTTTAAAATTCCGCTATTTTACGAGTCACTGTTTCAGATAGTATCATGTTTCGAAGAAGTACAAGCTATCCCTCAATGTACTTCATTCCTCTTAGAAGTGCTTAAACGTGATAATGAAAGCGAGGGTTATTTGCAAACAAAATTACTTGAAATGAACCTTCTTTATGCTCCTCAGGTTACTTTCTTGATTAATTTTGTAATTTTTGTAAAAACATTTTAACACTTTATACTTTTGGATTTTATTGATTTTTTGGATTTGGATTATTGGATTTTATGAATTTCTTAATTCCTTAAAATTGATAGGTTGCTGATGCTATTCTGGGAAACCAGATGTTCCACCACTATGATCGTGCAGCGATTGGACAATTATGTGAAAAGGCCGGGCTTCTGCAGCGTGCACTAGAGCATTTCACTGACCTTTATGATATTAAAAGAACCGTCGTACATACACAGCATTTGAAACCAGATGTCAGCCCTAAGCCTTTTTTCCAAAATTCTTTTAGAATTCACTCAAAAAGCATTATACTTTTTAGTGGCTAGTAAATTATTTTGGTCAGTTATCCGTGGATGATTCATTGGAGTGTCTCAAAGCAATGTTGCAAACAAACATGCGGCAAAATTTGCAAATAGTGGTCCAGATAGCAACAAAGTATCATGAACAGCTTACAACTAACGCTCTTATCGATTTATTCGAGTCATTCAAGAGCTATGAAGGGCTTTTTTATTTTCTTGGAGCAATTGTCAATTTTTCACAGGACCCAGAAGTTCATTTCAAATATATTCAGGTTAGACACATTTTTGGATTTAGTTTATTTGATCTTTATATTAAAAAGTTAGCACATTCATGCAATGTTTGATTCAGGCTGCTACTCGTACTGGTCAAATAAAAGAAGTTGAGAGGTTATGTCGTGAATCGAATTGTTATGAAGCCGAACGAGTTAAAAATTATCTAAAAGAAGCCAAGTTAACTGATCAGCTGCCTCTTATAATCGTGTGTGATAGGCATGGAATGGTCCACGATTTAGTTTTGTACCTTTATCGTAATAATCTGCAAAAATACATTGAGGTATTCGTACAGAAGGTTTGTTTTATTGTCCTTTATCGTATTCTATATGATAAATATCATAAATGAAGCCAATACAATAGGAGAATGAAATTCGATTTTAGCAGACTATTCTCTTTATTTATTTTCTATTTTCTTTATCTATTATCTATTTTCTTTCAATATCTTTTTTAGGTGAAATTAAGTTAAATTTTTTTGTCGATATTTTTTGCGAAATTCAAAATTTCACATTTAAGGTAAATCCATCCCGTTTACCAATTGTTGTGGGTGGCTTGCTTGATGTAGATTGTTCGGAAGACGCGATCAAACAGCTTATCATCAATACAAGAGGAAAGTTTGATATAGATGAATTGGTTGAAGAAGTTGAGAAGCGAAATAGGTGATTTTTTATTTGATATATCAAAAATACCTTCATAATTTAACTTATAGTTCCATTTTATATTATGACTATTTATTGGATAAATTTCTAAATTTATTATAATTGTGCATTGCAGACTAAAGCTGTTGGCTCCTTGGTTAGAAATGCGAGTACAAGAAGGTATGACAGATGCCGCGACACATAATGCTCTCGCAAAAATTTATATTGATGCTAATAATAATCCAGAGAGATTTCTTCGTGAAAATCCCTATTATGACTCACGAGTCGTTGGCAAATATTGTGAGAAAAGAGATCCTCATTTTGCATGCCTTGCTTATGAACGCGGACAATGTGATTTAGAGTTGATAAATGTACGACCAGATTTCTTTTTTTCTGTATTCCTTTTGCATTCTATATTTTTAGATTTTACAGTTTTCATTTATAGTCAGATTATTCTATTTTTTATTAATTAAAATTTTTTAATTTAAGGTATGCAATGAGAATTCACTTTTCAAAAATCTTTCGCGTTACCTGGTCAAGCGCCGTGATTTTGTATTGTGGGCACAAGTTCTGGCTGAAGACAATCAACACAGAAGACAATTGATAGACCAAGTATGTTTTTTAATTTTCATCTAAATTTGAAATAATCTAGCTATTATTGTAAGTAATTATTTAAAGTATTGATATTCAGGTTGTACAGACAGCTCTATCTGAAACGCAAGATCCAGAGGACATTTCTGCAACTGTGAAAGCATTTATGGCTGCTGATCTTCCTAATGAGTTGATTGAATTGCTGGAAAAAATCGTTTTAGATAATTCAGCATTCTCGGAACATCGGTTATTTTGATTGTGCAAAAGGATAATTTTTTTAAGAATTTTTTCTTACATTTGGTTTCAACGTGTAATTTTCAGCAATCTTCAAAATCTGCTTATATTGACTGCTATTAAAGCTGATCGCTCAAGAGTTATGGAATATATACAAAAGCTTGATAATTATGATGCTCCTGACATTGCCAATATTGCTGTTTCTAATGAACTTTATGAAGAAGCTTTCGCAATTTTCAAGAAATTTGATGTTAACACAGCTGCAATCAATGTAATTATTTTTTTGAATTCAATTTGAAAATTCTCTTAAAAGCTATATGGACAATAAGTATATATTCGTGTTATTAAAATCCTCATATCGAATTTTTCGTTTTATTTTAGGTTCTTATCGACAATGTTGTAAATCTCGACCGTGCTTATGAATTTGCTGAACGATGTAATGAACCAGGAGTATGGGCCTCATTGGCAAAAGCGCAGTTGAAAGAAGGGCTGGTTAAAGAGGCCGTTGATTCATTCATAAAAGCAGATGACCCCACAGCTTACATGGAAGTTGTGTGTAAATGCGCGGAAACAGGTATATTCGATTATTCTTTATTCTCTTCTCGTAGAATTTATTTGATTTGTTTCTCAAATTTAGATAGTTGGGAAGATTTGGTCAGATATCTACAAATGGCACGCAAGAAATCGAGGGAATCTTATATTGAAACTGAATTGGTCTATGCTTATGCTAAAACAAATCGCTTGACTGATCTTGAAGAATTCATTTCTGGGCCTAATCATGCTCAGATTCAGCAGGTTTTTTTTTCAAAATTCTATTCTTGAAAAAAATTTATTTTTGAATCTTTTGTTTAATCGATTTTCGAAGACAATTTCTGTCAAAATGGGTTGTAGATTGGTGATCGTTGTTTCGATAATGAGATGTATGAAGCGGCCAAAATTCTATTCAACAGTATTTCTAATTTCGCCAAACTATCCGTAACATTGGTTCGACTTGGTGAATTCCAAGGAGCTGTAGATGCCGCGCGGAAAGCCAATTCGACAAAAACTTGGAAGCAGGTTATTTTTTTTTTACTCTCAATATTTTTTATACTTTTTCCGGGCGATAGTCTCTTGATTTTACTTGTTTTTTGATTTTTTTTCCAAATTTATTATATATTCATATTCTTTATATTCTAAATATTCACTTAAGTTATCAACTATTGTTGTCAACTATAATTGTAAAAATTTTTTCGTTGTAGGTATGCTTTGCTTGCGTTGATAATGAGGAGTTTAGATTAGCTCAGATCTGTGGATTGCACATTGTTGTTCATGCCGACGAATTGGAGGAATTGAACAATTATTACCAGGTTTCTTTTTATTCCATTATTGCATTACTCAAGGAATAATTTTTGTTAATATTTGATCGTTTTAATTATTTTAAGGAAAGAGGGCATTTCGAAGAGCTTATTGGCTTGTTGGAGGCAGCCCTTGGACTGGAGCGTGCACATATGGGCATGTTTACTGAATTAGCAATATTGTACAGTAAGTATAAGCCTGAAAAAATGCGTGAACATCTTGAATTGTTTTGGAGTCGCGTCAATATTCCGAAAGTAAAGAGCCATTGGTTCCTTTGACTTTATAAACGATTGAGTTTTTTGATTTTTGATTTAATCATTCGAAAGATAGTAATTTGTTCCGAAATAAAGAATCTTTGTAATATAATTCAGGAATAGTAATATAATTTAAATAATAATAGAAAAAATAGTAATTTATCTGGCATAATTTATTCGTGGTATAACAAATATACCTTAAGAAACAGAAACACAAGAAAATTTCATTGTGTTTAGAAAAAAAATTGTTATTTTAGGTTTTAAGAGCAGCTGAACATGCTCATTTATGGTCAGAACTCGTTTTTCTTTATGATAAATATGAAGAATATGATAATGCAGCACAGACCATGATGCAACATCCAACAGAAGCATGGCGTGAACAACATTTCAAAGAAGTTATCACTAAGGTATGAAGTGAAAAAATTCTTAGTGCTTTATCCATTGTGATGGACGATTTGAATAATTACAGGTTGCAAACATAGAATTATACTACAAGGCAATGCAGTTTTATTTGGACTATAAGCCACTACTTCTTAATGACTTATTGATTGTTCTCACACCACGACTTGATCATTCTCGAACAGTCTCTTTCTTTCACAAATGTAAAAGAATTTTTTGATATAAATTTAGGGCATTAACTCTTAACTCGATTCATAGATATTCAATTGTGAGTATTCCAGCTTTAACGTTTTAGTTTTATTTTTCTTTTGCAGTGGATCAGTTGCCTTTGATCAAACCGTATTTGCGGCAAGTACAAACACAAAACAATAAGTCGGTAAATGAAGCTTTAAATCAAGTCTTAATTGAGGAAGAAGATTATGCAAGTCTTCGAGCTTCTATTGATGCTTATGATAATTTCGATAACATTGCTTTAGCTCAACAGCTTGAAAAGCATGAATTAATTGAATTTCGACGAATATCTGCATATCTCTATAAAGGAAATAATCGATGGAAACAAAGTGTTGAATTATGTAAGAAAGACAAGCTTTATAAGGTAACGAAAAAAGTTTGCATTATTTTATTGAATTTTTTTATTTACGAGAAAGTGCTGGTTATACTTTTAATAGACAGTATCATTTTTCGGCTGGCTGGCTGCCAAAGTCAGGCATTTGTAAGCTTGTCGATCGGTGACGATATTTCAGCCGAAATAGACTGAAACTTTTTTCCACCACCACCAGAGTTCATATATCACTGAATCGGGTTTATATTAAATTAAATATATTTTATACTTATATTTATAGAGTTGTCATCCATTGTAAGGTTTCGAATATGATGAGCGTTTTTTAAATCGTGTAATAAGGTTAACAACATAAATGTGAATATCCCTTTCGACATTTGTGATTTTCTTCAAGATTTCACGGAGAAGAAACGATTTTTAGCTGCAATTATTTTAGTTTATACAACCACACTTTGGAAGAAATCTACCATAGTTCCCTACAGAATAATATATAAGTAATAGAAGAAATAAAAAAAATAGCAACTACACAAAATACGAATTGCACACACTATAGTAATTCAAAATGCGTGCATAATTCATGATGCGATAAAAAATATTGGACAATTTACAATGTGCAGATAATACAAGCCTTTAGCCGATAGCGAAACTGGTAATTTGACGGTTAATAGAAGATGTGGATGTAGCTATCATTTTCTTGGAATGACAGTAAATAAACAATTATCTAAAGGCAACCAAGAGGCGACACTATGTAGTGATTGAAAAAATTGTAAGGAACGAAATTAGCCTGGCAATGAAAATTATGGTAATCAGCACAGTGATATTCTCAGTTTTGTTTGGACACGAGTACTGGATGACTAAAAAAGAAGTCAAAAAAAGACGATATTTTTAAGTTATAGCTGGAGGGAAAATTTCTCAACTCATCGTAGATGGAATAGTAAAGTAAATGAATCATAATGTCAGAAAATACGAAATGCGCTTTGAAATGCATCTAAGAAGTTAAACTGATTTTCGATCATTCATTACATTCGCTGTGAAAATAATAAGACAGTAATAACATTAGACTTCTCTAGAAAAAGAATAATAAATGGGAAAAAGAAACGATACGACGTACCATTGCAAAACCTAAGAACTCTGACGCAGGAGTAATCGGTGGATGCATATGACAGTAGTGAATCGAAAACGAATCGAAAAGCTAATATTGATTTCAATTTCTTTCTTCTCCCTTGTTCATTAGTTGTGATTGTATTTAAAAGCTAATGTGATGGGTTCATTGAAATAGTTTTACTACAACCAATTTAGAATGTGAAAAGGTTTGACGCTGATTAATTGATTTAAGAACTCCTGTCTATCTAGCATTAAAAGGAATAGTATCGTCTACATATTTGCGATACTGGGGCATGAACAGGCGTCCTTAATCAAGTATCCATAACCCAGTCTGTGATGATAATTTAAAATTGTATGAAAAAAAATTCGGATCATATGGTCGTTTAAAATGATAAATGATCATTTATCGTGTCGTGCGGCAGTCGTTTGGTTTATTTTTCGTATGATTGTTGTCGATTTCAGGATGCAATGGAATATGCCGCGGAATCTCGTCAACCTGAAATAGCAGAAGAACTTCTTGCTTTTTTCTTAGATAATAAATTATATGACTGTTTTGCTGCATCGCTTTACCAGATGTACGATCTTTTGCATCCTGATGTCATTATGGAACTTGCTTGGAAACATAAAATCATGGACTTTGCTATGCCATACATGATTCAGGTCATGCGCGACTACCATAATAGGGTAAATTAAACCTATTTTGAAATAAAAAATAAAAATCTCAATTCGGAAAAATTCAGTTATTCGTTTCTGGATTATTGTCTGATATACTTTTTCTTTTTCAGATTGACAAATTGGAACGTGCGGAAGCTGAAAGAAAGGAAGAAGTTAGAGAAAAACAACAGCAGAATGGAGGAATGAGTAAGAATTATCCTTAAGTTCATTGAAGAAAAGTTTCCTATTATTTTGGAATGTTAAAAGTTTGAATATTTGTCGGTTTCATTGATATGTAAATTTTAATTTTAGTAGAACCACAACTTATGCTTACTTTTGGCGGTGCACCGATGAATGCTTTGCCACAAATACCGGGAACATACGTTGCTCCAGGCGGGTCCTATGGTGGATCGCCGGCTCCTGGCATGTATGGTGCTGCAATTTATCCCGGTGGATCTTATGCAATGTGAATTAAATCCTAATTATGTTGATTATTCCATTATAAACAGCAGTAGTGGTTTTTTTGAGTATTTATTAAAATAAGTAATAACAGAACTTGATAAAGATAGAGATGGAAAATTGTTAATTTATATCTTTAATATTCGCTGCAATTTAAGTACGTTAAACTCATTGCAGAATTTTTCGAACTATGTGATTGTTTTTGTTGTGAAGAGCATCTCTTTTTTCCGTTCTTCCATGTATGAAATAAGGTTTGAAATTGCATAATTTCTCGCAAAATTGTTTGTTTTTCCCATTCATTATGAATATATTTTTTATAAATAGTTCTCTGTGATTATATTTAACAATACAGTTGCATTCACGTTTGTTCTGTTGAACTGTTTTTCTAACTGTTTTCCTGTGATTAATTCGTGATTTTTAATGCTAAAAGGATTGTTTCGAAAAGTTTTGAATTCTTTATTTATTTGATGAAGGTAGGTGGTGCATTCAATTTTTTAATGCAAAAATGTATGGAGAACATTGTATTTTGAAATTTCTTATCTATATTTTTAATTTTAAATCAAACGGCTGTGCATTTAAAAGTTATGAAGCTAGCGAATATTCTTATATGGTTTTCCATTATATTTCTTAGCTAAATTTAAATCTATCTGAAAGTAATTTCAAGAGAAAATATTTTGATTATTTATTTATTAGTTGTTGCACATCATTGAAGTAAATGTGTATGGTTTTATCATTGATTTTAACGGCCAATTTTATGTTATCAATTTAATATATTAGGAGATATGGTGATAATTTATTCGAGTGGTATGTATTGGAGATAAAAATATGCACTGATTAAACTGCAGAATAACCGATTGAATGGCGAGCAAATTGATAGGTCATCGTTTTATGGAGGAAAGCGTTGGAGCTGCCCTTAATTAGGAATAAAGCGGCTATTAGAATATGCGAGTGGCAGCGATCCACGCAACTCAACTTCTATCGCCAGTTGATTACATGGCAAAAATTTCAAGATTTTCTGAGTATATTCAGACTAACTGGAAATAATGAGCATTTACCCGTTTTTAAACAGGATTTTTGAATAGATTTGAAAATTTAAATGTGGGAAATAACAGATAAAAATAAAATAAAGCTGGTTAAGAATAGAAAACTCGGCAGATTTTCAATTTTTAATTTGATTTTAGTTAATTAAATTTTAATTCTTTAATCCTTGTATTTAATAAAAACTGAGGAACTGAGAAATGCCAGAAATTTGGGAAAAAAATTTCCATAAAATTCGCTCTCTTACAAGTGCTAAATCGTTGCATCTACAATGCAGCAATAATTAGGTGATAATTTTCTTTAACTTCTTCAATTCAATTAACAGTGTGCTTGAGTTCCATAATCGATGTGGATATATGCTTTTTCTTTTTCAAATTTCCGTTTTCGCTTTGCAAGTTTTTGCCATTGATTTTATAATCGGTTATTTATTATTGTTGTAGATTTCATTGAATTTTCATGCCGAAGGAGATGAACTGTGCATGTGAACTTCCGTCTGTAAAGTCTCTTAAAGGAGACTCTCTTTCTATCTCTTTCTATCCGGTGAAATTTACAATATCTTCGCAAATTTTGTCTTTTATCTTCTTATGTTCCATCCATGGAATTAATCCAAACTTCCTTAAGAATATATTTCGATTAACAAAATTTATTTATTTTTTAATATCAAATTTGAAAAAAGGCGGAAGCACGAATAAGTTTAGTTCGAAAGAATTAATTTCCAAAATTTGGCAGGCTGCTGTCAATCTAGCGTGCAAGTTAAATACTCGGCATTTCTGGCTGCACTAGCCCCACTAGCTGTTAGTCGGTTAGAAATTTTTCTTAAAGAATCATTTGGTGATAAAAGTACCAGTAGGTCCCCAGTACAACCTGGACTGAACTAAGGTCACTGCTGTAGGCCTTTATATATCTGATGGCAAAAAAATCCTGAAAATCCTGAAAAAATCCAAATGAATCATTGAATCATTTGTGGCTCACATGTGAGCTTCTCTGTGTGATATTATTTTACGAATAAAATAACAAGGAAATAATTGATAAATTTTGAAAGCCTTATCATAAATTACATCCATAAATCCTTGGACGCCATGTATTTTATAATATCCATATATTATAAAATAAAACCTTTAATTTTAAAATTTCAGATAATTTTTTTTCCCTTTGTCGCTTTAAATATAGATTTTCGTTTCAGTTTGTATAATATAGTCTGCCAAAATCTTCATTCATATTTCAATTTCATGGCTGGAAAATGGCAAATTTTGTGTAGAATTTGTAATTGTGAATTGTGTAATTTTGTGTAAAAGAATTTTTGGTTTCATACACGTGCACCTTATATGTATTGAAAAATATTTTTCCTTCATTACTTCCCTACTTCCCTTACGTTGCGTTAAAAAGATTTAACTTTAACAATCTTCAATTACTCGAATAAGTAAATGGAAAATGTTTAGCTTGACAACTGGTTACGCTCGCTGGTAATACATTGAGAGATTTCATAATGAGGCATTGAATCAGTTGGTCGCAAAGTTTAGCTGGGTCATCCACTTTTTTTCTTTAAGAGTATTCGCCATTGCTGATTAGATTTATCTGCTGGCTTGACTTCGGATTAGACAATTATGCTAGGGAATCCCTTGGCGATAAAAATACGGGCCAGCATCACTCGGATTTTTGGCTAGCTTTACTCTTGCGTGAATAGAAGTTTATTATCGACGCTCCAAGTTAAGCAACAACCTATTGAGCCATTCCACTTTCTTTCTATATTAGGTCCACTGCCGCTCGATGAAGCGTGGTACGTCGGCCGGATTCAAATCGGAGCCACGATTCTCGGTGGCTCAGTCACCAACGCGCCGAAGTTGGTCATCCATTAGTGACACCTGAATTTTTTAATGAAATGTTTATATTCGTCAAAAGCAGATTCTAAATCTTGATACTCCATATGATAGTCTGAAGAACAATCGCATCCTATATATTTTTTTTAATTAATTACTTATAAAAATGGTAGTATTAAGAATTTGATAAGTTATGTTTTTTGTTTTCAGAAATGAATTGCCAATAAAACAATCACGCTATCAGTTGTTTCTTGTTGATTGCCATTACTGAAGACTTTTCTTCTAAGCATTATCAAAAATTATAGCAGTTTCATCATTCATTGTTTAAATTGTCAACGATGTGATTAATGGTGATAGTAAGGTTTAGTTGTTTTATTTAAAGGATTCATATAGCAATGGAGCCTAAAAATGCAATGTTGAAATTTATTTCTTCCTTTATCAGTACATGTGATATGATTGGCTTCATTTCAGATCTTTTTGCCAGAGAGGCATTTGAGGATTACAATACAAGTGGATTTAGAGCAAGCATCATTCATATTTCACATAAATGGATGGCTTGTCTTCAATAGAACACTCGATAGTGCACCACTCGACCATCCTGTCCTGGCTCTGCTGTCCATAAGGGCGTTTCCAAGCCACTCAATCCAATGCCTGTAAATAACATATTATTACCATAAATATATTTTTTTGTTATTTATTCGTGATGAAAGATGTTTTCAATCCAAATTTTGCTAATTTTGAGTTTTTTCTATACACTTTCAATAGTCTTAAATCTGTGAAATAATTCATCAATTGTTCTCGACCATTTCCTTTATTTTTTAATTTTAGCAAATTAATGTCATTTGATTTAATGAGAAAATTTTTTAGAAAATATATGGTTTTTTTTATTTTATTAAACTATATTTAAAGATTTACGACGACATCGATTTTAAAGCGAGTATCTTTTCGGTTTATATCATCACCATTTTTGATTAGACTAGCTCCACCGGCTGCTCACTTGGCTAGAAGTTCGCTACCACCACTTCTTCCAACAATTACTTAACAGCTTCAACTAACAACTAAAAAAAAAAAAAATGTCTCCAACTCTGACAACTAACAACAACTTAAAAAAACAACTAACAACTCAAAACTTCCATTACTGGTTAGGCTGGTGTCGCCAGCTATAAGAGTAAAATAAAATGTCTCCAAGTTATTCGGTATCCGACGCTATCACTATAGTAATAGTAATAGAAGCCATTCCTTTTTCCAACATCTAAGTCCATATATCGCCATCACCACATGCTCTTATTTCTTCTTCTTCTGAAGAGTCCTCACCATTGCTGGTTAAACTCGCTCCACTGGCTTGTCGCATTGAGCAATATGCCAGGGAGTCTCTTGGCGATAGAAGTATAGGTGAGTCGCCAGCATCACCCGAATTTTTGTACAGGTTTGCCCCTGAGGGGAATCGAACAGCAGCTTCGGTTGCTCCAAATTGAGCAACAACCCACTTCCTATCCCCAATGCTTTTATTTATTACAATGTAAAAAATCCCTTAAATTTTTTCTAATTAATGGGTCTTTTTAAAGATTTTATTTCATAAGATTTTATTTTCTGCAAGATGAGGCAGGTCTGTGGATTATGAGCTGGAGAGATCTACCAGTTATATTAAGGAAGTCCGCTCACCATTTTTGGCTTCGTTAGCCCAACTGTAAAATATATTGTTCTATTGCTGTATAATGTGAGAAATTTTATGGTCTTTATGGTCTTTTATGGTCTTAAAAATGGTCTAAATGTGTATTTTTCAACGAACTCTCATGCTATGTATGCAATTAGCATATAATGGATGACGTGTTTTGAGTTGAAATTTGAAAAAAAATTTTAGTGAATATTTTTTGTTCGAAAAAAGAATTGGCTTCTAAAAAAAGTTGGCATGAACGAACAGCTTTAGTTTAACAATATTCCACCATAAAATATGGGCATCTTAAAAAATCCTAAAGTTTTAAAATTTTCGGATGTCTCAAATTGTCGACGGAGTACTATGGAATATTGTTAAACTGGTAATTATCATCAGTGATAAACGATCCTCTTGTTATCAAAAAAATACCTTTAAAAATTTTATTTTAATATTTTTTATTAATATTTTATTATTGTGGCATTTGAAATGTTTTATTTTTTCG